CTCTAAACTCAAACCATGTGCATACAATTTTACAGTATGATGATATTTCTCCACATTAACATAGTAAAGCAAAGTCACCTGCACACTGACTTAATCATAGTAATATTTGATACTATGTGGATGTTTTTAGTATCCAAAGTAAATGAGACGGCCTACTTACTAAAATCTGACAATTTTACATAGATTTACCGAAGATGCTTCATGCTTGTTGAGCGCTATTTTGAGAGGCCAACAAATTATACAAATGTCGTAAAGCTCATCCCATAAAACATATATGTTAGAAATACGAAAATACCCCCGCCGCAGCATACCTGCAGACTAAGCGAATTTCAACTTGTCTGATTACATTTTTACTAAAACTCTCCATAAATGGACATATTTATTCCCAATTTAAATAACATTAGATTTACCAACTGCTTAGGTTTGCTGCTACGGGGAAGGTAAAAAGTGTTTTTTTTTTGCAATACGTCAATAGTATAGGATGAAATAAATAAATTTGCAAAATGTTATCAATTTATATCCATAAACAAGTAAACTACAACAGTTTTCATTTTGTCCTTAATAATAACATGGGAATTTTAAATTACACTATTTTTTAATTTCCTCCGTGACCGTTAGGCATACAACAGCGCTTTAATATACTAAATTATTTCTTTTTTTAATCTCTACAAAACGGTTTAAAAATAAATTGCAATTTCTTTTGTTTTTAGGGTCTAAAATGGGAAAACCCCATTTTTACCCCCATAAAACCCTCCATAAACCCCCGTTCCCATGATCCGATTATGCTGGTTCGCATAAATGTAGGTTTACACGTTTGTACCAAATTTCATCCAAATCGGATCAGTTTTGCTCGAGTTATCGCGCTAACGGGTATATATATATATGAATTTGAACGGATGGTGTTTTTGGCCTTTAAGGATCTCAAAACGAAAAATTAAATCGGTCCCGGGTCCAGGCCATGAGTACTACGGTAATAGCTTATTCCCTATATGGGCGTTAAACTAATTGATTACTACATAGCGACTTAACCACGGTACCGTAACCTTCGGTAGACCAAAATACGGCTTAAAAAAAAAAATGCCAATACAATTATGCTAATTTTGCTTATGTCATTTTTTTTAGTTTCCAACGTTAAAAGACAATACGTGCAATTTTTGTTTTTCTTTTACCGTTAGGTTAATTGACACAGCCGTAATGCCAATATAGCCAATACGAATTCACAGGCCCACACCATTAACAAATCAAACCAACATTTGTAAAACTAATACACTCTATTAGACACAGCTACTATGTTTATAAGCGCTATAGGGGCTGAACACTTATTAGCCCCAGGCACACCACTAACGCGAACAATTCGTTTAGCGAAATGCCCATTTTGGATTGCGGTCAAATGCATCCAAGCCTTAATGGAGATTCCGAAAAATCTTTATCACAACCATCAGTGTAGTAGTTATATTTGAAACAAAATTTAGGCAAATTTAATTTTAGTTTGGAAACTGTTCTAAACCTTAGCTGTTGTGAAAGATGCATCATACTCTTCCCATGATATTATCACAGCTGAGTGCTAATCTAAAAAAAACGACCGAAATCAAGGTCCTTCAGTCATAAGTAATTGGACGTTAGGTAATTAATTTTAAAATCTGAAGCACAGTTGAATTGGATCCAGAAATCAGAACCAGTTAGTCTAGACATAAGCGTCTAGACACTTCCCAACTACATAGCTCATAAAGTGTGGTTGAAAAGTCCCGGAACGGTGTAGTATATTTTTCACCACACTACGAAGTTTTTAGCCGTTGTACAAACGTTAATTTGATGCTGAAAACTAAATACAGGATCGAGATGCCAAAATTAGCTGTCCCCTTATACTTAAAACACACAGTACTCCCTATCCCGCCCATGTTAAAATTACAGTTTTTAGGTCCACATAACTTTTACAAATATTAACCTATCAACTTGAAATTTTTGTACTAAGTTCAATACATTATTACCAACAATAAAATGAAGTAAAAAAAGTTTTTGGGCAAAATTAAATTGTTAGTATGATTTTAAACATTTTATATAATATTTTGTAATTTTTTAACATAAAATATTGTTTTTATTTCAAAGGTTTTTGGTTGTCATGGAAACTGATTCGTATTATTGTTCCTTATCATATGAGGAGCACACACACCAATTTTTATTGAAATTGGATTCCTCCTTATAATTGAGGAAGAAAAGTGTACCTGACTAAAAACCACTTGACTTTCGGAAAACGACAAAAGTACCCCCTGTCACGGGTAGTAGTAGGACCCTTGGGCATGCTAAAGTAAGAGTGTATAAAAGTAGCTGTATAACTTAAAATATTTTTTTCTTCCATAATATTTGGTATGTACGTGTTCAGGAAAGTGTGTTCTACAAAACTAAATAATTTTTTACAAAATTTTTAATATTTGACGTCGTACCCTCTGCGTCATGATTAGTAGTAGGACCTTGGGCATGCTAAATTAGGCTGTAAGAGTTAATAAAAGTAGCTGAAAATTTTAAAAATAATTTTTTTCTTCCTTAATATTTATTATCTACGTGTTCAAAAAAGTCTGTTCTACAAAACTAAATAATAAAAATTAAATATGTATACATTGTAATAACAGGCAAATTTCAATGTGTTTTTTAACGTGAAACTTAAAAGAACTGTAAGACACATTTTTATGACAAAACAACCATATATTTCTTTATCCCTGTTTTCTTTACTTCATTGCCAATCAGCTGATATGCATTGTTGCATATTTATCTATGAGGTCTAATGTTATTGGCAATTTATTGTAAATAATACACAAACAGGGATAGCAAAATTCGGGTTGTTTTGTGTTGAAAATGTGTCTCACAGTGCTTTTAATTTGGGTTGCACGTTAAAAAAAACACCCTGTACTTGTATTTTGAAGAGCTATGTTTTAAATAAACAACTAATAATCCTCTTTCCTAGATTATTTATTCAAAATAAATTATATTAAAAAAATACTAAAAATATAAAAATACTTAACACTATACAAACAGAAAATACTGTGGAAATTCGTTACCATAAAACAGAGTTAATATATTTGAAATTCTGCTAAAAGATGGTGAAAAATAACAAAATAATTTAATACAGTTGATATGTCACTACAACAAACTGTACAACAATGTTATACAAAGCAATGTTTTTAAACTAGAGGTATTGCTTGGTAAAATCCTATACTCTAATACGAGCAATGTTTGCTTGTATGTATGTATGCTTGCTTGCACAAAGATCTCGAAAACGGTTCCGACGATTTTCTTCAAATGTTGTAAATAGTTTAATTCTGGCCTAAAAACGAGTTTACTGCAGTTAGAACAGCCAACAAAAATCTAATTACGTAGAAAAATGAAACTGAAAATCACATTTTTTTAACATTAGTCTTATGGGTTGCTAGGTAACCTTGTTGGCTGAATTAAATAACAAGGAAAAGGTAAACAAAAGACTTGAAGTTGTAGCATGTGTTCATAATAAGCCAACTACCCACAGTATACTAGCAAATTACAAATACAGTACAAAAGGAAAAACACCATTTAGCAAAGATTATACTGAAGATTACTCGATACATTGTCTATGATTGTAGTCAAGGGTAGCAGTGAGAAGTCTGGGATCTGTTTATAACGATTAGATAAGGGTATGGGCAATCCAAAAATGCTATGGGAAGGGAGGGAAACAGGTCAGTGACGTAGGAAGTGGTGAAGGAAGTAGTCAAGGCGAGCTGTCCGGAGTGTGGGAACTGTTTATGACGATTAGATAAGGGTATGGGCAATCCTAAAATGCTATGGGAAGGGAGGGAAACAGGTCCGTGACGTAGGAAGTGGTGAAGGAAATAGTCAAGGCGAGTAGTCCGGAGCGTGGGAACTGTTCATGACGATTAGATAAGGGTATGGGCAATCCTAAAATGCTATGGAAAGGGAGGGAAACAGGTCCGTGACGAAGGAAGGTGTTAAGGAAGTAGTCAAGGCGAGCTGTCCGGAGTGTGGGAACTGTTCATGATGATTGGATAAGGGTATGGGCAATCCTAAAATGCTATGGGAATGGAGGGAAACAGGTCCGTGACATAGGAAGTGATGAAGGAAGTAGTAAAGGCGACCAGTCCGGAGTGTGGGGACTGTTTATTACGATAAGATCAGGGTATCTGCAATCCTAAAATGCTATGGGAAGGGGGGGAAACAGGTCTGCGACGTAGGAAGTGGTGAAGGAAGTAGTCGAGGCGAGTAGTCCGGAGTGTGGGAACTGTTTATGACGATTAGATTAAGGTTTCTACAATCCAAAAATGCTATGGAAAGGGAGGAAAACAGGTCCGCGACGTAGGAAGTGGTGAAGGAAGTAGTCAAGGCGAGTAGTCCGGAGTGTGGGAACTGTTTATGACGATTAGATTAAGGTTTCTACAGTCCTAAAATGCTATGGGAAGGGAGGAAAACGGGTCCGCGACGTAGGAAGTGGTGAAGGATGTAGTCAAAGGCGAGCTGTCCGGAGTGTGGGAACTGTTTATGACGATTAGATTAAGGTATCTTTAATCCTAAAATGCTATGGGAAGGGAGGAAAACAGGTCCGCGACATAGGAAGTGGCGAAGGAAGTAGTCAAGGCGAGCTGTCCGTAGTGAAGGAACTGTTTATGACGATTAGATTAAGGTATCTGCAATTCTGAAATGCTATGGGAAGGGAGGGAAACAGGTCAATGACGTAGGAAATGGTGTAGGACGTAGTAAAGACGAGCTGTCCGGAGTGTGGGAACTGTTAATAACGATTAGATTAATTTATCTACAATCCTAAAGTGCTATGGAAATGGAGGGAACAGGTCCATGACGTAGGAAATGGTGTAGGACGTAGTAAAGGCAAGCCGTGTGGAGTTTGGGAATGGATCTATGTGTCTCCAATACAGTACTAAGACTGCTTTCAGAGTGGACTAATGATTTCCCCCGAGCAAAGCTCGGTCCCCAGGTACTTTGACATAAACAAAGGTACTCACACTGAATGTGTAGTATTTAATAAGCTAAATGTAGATAGTTGTAGAGAAACGTAGTACTGTAAGAGTGGCGGGGTGTTCACTCATGACCGTACCATGGGTTACTGAACTTGAAACTTGTAGAAGTATGTTATCAGCTGATCTCCCTCCACCAACAATGATGCGGTGATCAGCTGTTTCCATTGTTGGAGCCGACTCAAAATTAAACAGTTATTAATAAACTGCAAGTAACAATTATTGATTTAGAAGTAATTTATTTCAATATAAATCTATGCTGAACTGATACATAGTGAATTATTTAAAGGTTAAGGGTACTTTTAATAAATAGGTACATGTTATTTGGGCTTAACACTAAAGGCCCCATTTAATTTAGTGTTAAGCCCAAATAACATGCATTTGATATAGGAAAATTAGGTTTTTTGTTATTTACACAAAAACTAAAAGAGATACAAAGTAATTGTGAATTAGAAAGTTGTTAAGAATTGAAAATAACCTATAAAATAAAGTGCCACTTGACATACCGTATCTTGCTATTTGAAAATTTTTTACAAAGGGCATTGGCAAATTTTCAAATATCTTTTATTTATTATTTTTGTTATTTAAAAAACCGTTACTTGTAGCATATCACAGTAAAGCTAATTTCATAACGAGTAAGAAAATTCAACCGGAGAAGGGCTAAGTGTATTGGTATAGGAAACACAGAGTATTAAAAACATATTGATTTTTTCCAAATAAACTGCCGCCATTTTGAAACGGAAAAAGATAATTCATTACTGTTTTTGCCAGAATGTTTGTCTATTAAACACCTTTAAAATGATGTAGGCCTATAACACCACATACGGTATGTTTACATTTGAAAATTCCGAGATTTGTACTAGTGACCCTCAGTTTTTGGCACACTCTGTATCGAAAAAAAGTTAATAATATTTTTATGTTATTTCTTGGGGTTGATTTAGCAGGAAATAATTTTATTTCATCCTTGTACGTTAAGCCGTTTTTCCGTAATCAATTTGAGACACCTTAAGTGGGACACCCTGTATAATTAATTATAAATGTATAGTTGCATGGTGGAAGGAAAATATTTTCCTTCCACCATGGTATAGTTGGTTATCGTTCAATCTCTTGCAATTTGCTCTTATGTACTACAGTTTTACTGAGTGCAATTTGTAACCATTGTTGTTAGTTAGTTATTTATCTATTTCCACATTCATTTTAGCGAATTTCCCATATAGGGAATAAGCTATTACCGTAGTACTCATGGTAAGACCTGGACGCGGGACCGATTTTTTTTTTTGGTTTTGAGGTCCCTAGAGGCCAAAAACACCATCCGTTCAAATTCATATATATATATATTTATATATATATATATATATATATATATATATGTCCGTCAGCACGATAACTCGAGCAAAAATGATCCGATTTTGATGAAATTTGGTACAAACGTGTAAACGTACGTTTATTCGAACGAGTTCGCGATCCAGCATGATCGGACCATGGGAACGGGGGTTTACGGGGGGTTTTATGGGGTAAAAATAGGTTTTTCCCATTTTTGACCCAAAAAACATAAAATTGAGCAACTTCTTTCCAAACCATTTTGTAGAGCTTAAAAAAACAAATAATTTAGTATATTGAAGCGTTATTATGCGCCTTATGGTTACGGAGAAAATTCCAAAAAATTGTAAATTTAAAATTCCCATGTTATTCTTATGGAGAATAAGTAAACTGTTGTAGTTTGCTTGTTTGTGAACATATTTTGATCAAATTTGGAAAATGTTTTTATTTCTTACTAACTATTCACATTTTACATAAAAAAAACAGTTTTACCCTCCCTGATGCAGCAAACCTAAGTACTTGTTAAACTAATTCTATTTAAATCAAGAATAAATGTTATATTTTTAAGTAGACATTTCAGTGTAAATCCAATCAGTCAAATGGAAATTCGCTAAGTCTGCAGGTTTGCTGCGGCGGGGGTATTATAATATAATCATTAACTGTTAGATAAAAATTTAACTACTTAATCATCAATTTGAACGTCTTTAATTGTGAGTTTGGGGGAAAATCCCTCATCATTAGAAATGTTATGGAAATTATATAGCCTCCCCCATACTGCCGCTTACCGGCTTACCAATCTAAAGTTTTGTCTACTCGGTTTATTAAATTGGTGAGGGGTTGTAACCTATTATTTATTCTTATAATGGCTTAGTACAGAGTTGAAACATTTAGATACTGTTAAATTTAGAATTTAGAATTTGTTAAAGCAGATGCAGTTTTATATTGAAACCAAACAAAACTAAAACAAGGCTTAATAGAAAGCCTTGGAATGTCAAATACTTCAAGAGGTCAAGCAAAAGACCCCAGATAATAATTATCTTATCTTCTTAACAAAAAATATAAACACTGATAGTTTAATTGTTGTGGCCATCAATGACATTATCATGTTACTGATTGCCCTTATATATTTATCTCCTTAACTATATACCAATGAATATATACGGTTTGTATTGTATTTATTGGTAATACTCACACAATCGGTGAGCTTCAAACCTACTCTATCTCATGAATATATGTCTTTACATTTTGAGTAAAATAAATACATTTTAAAGTTTTTCTAAAAGCTATTTCATTTGAGTCCTAATGTTTAACTTAAGTAAAATTTATGTACTCTATTGTCCTACTCCAACTCGCTCCATCCAATCCAACTCCCTGTTGGGGAGCGATTTGGTCTGGTGGTAGAGCGCGGGACTTCGGTCCCTGAGGTTTCGGGTTCAAATCCTACCAATTATAAATTATAAATTATTTAAGATGGGGACGCCACTATATGTGCGTATTTTAACCCAAATATGAGTGAAGGATGAGTGGCGTGATCTTGTAGTCTTATTAGTGACTAAGGCTGACATGTTCCTTAGACACAGCGGTTAATTAAGAGCCCATACAGCTAATGGCAACTAAGGTACCGACAGTTTATAGTGGAATCCAAACCACATTTTTTCCTTGTAATTTACAAATTGGTCTAATTACGTATCAGGATAGTACTGCGGATAGTCGTAGTACTCACTAGTGGGGACGTTAATCCACACCAGGGAGCATCGCATCCACAGTGCATCCCTATAAATATCCACAATTTGTGACCTACTAGTGGCTGGATTACAGGACGGCGCCACTCGTCCCTGTCATATGGCCAATGGTTTTATATTTCAGTAATAGTGATGAAACACCTGAAGTAATATGAAAAACTATTCCAGACTGGTGGCTAGCATGTTTAGGACAGAACCGTGTTTAAATTTAAATTTCCTTTAGAGATTGCATCTAGACTATACAATAATAAGCAGCTCATAAAGTAATCTAAGTATCCATTCCTTGTACACGATGGACAAGCGTGCGTAGTTTAACATTCTGCAGTAGTAAAACTATCCACCATCATTCAAGTGAAATAATTTTCATGGTGTTGCAGAGATGTGGCTAATTTGAAAAACCTGCATTGTTAGTTGTGCTTGGTCGGTCTAGCTTGATATCTTAAGATCCATTGGGTGCAAGCTTCATCAACGTCTTTGTCTTTCTTCTTCAGAGCATTTTTAGATTGTCAGCAGCTCAGCTAGCTCTATAAGTTAATTTAATCTGTTACAGATGGAGTTAAATGATTTTGTCATGTTTGGCCATGGTCTTGCCTCCTGGTACCTCAAGATATTAATGGTTATAATCTTCATCAACATCTTTGTCTCTCTTCTCCGTAGCCCTCATCTTCGCTACTATGGCTGCTACTTCTGCTATGTCCTAACTACATCGGTAGTCGCATTTGCCTACATCCCTATATTAATATTGAGATTTCATGACCCAGGGAACGTTTTGTAAGTAATCAGTTTATAATGAAGTAAAATTAACAATAGGTCAAAAACTAGTTTATTTTAAAATTTGTTTGCTACTAGATGGATCACATCTTGATTTTACTGTGTTCAGATTCTCTTTCCAATAAAAAAAGGAATTAATGCAAACTCTTGATGCCCACCAATACTCCAATGCCCTTTTAGCAATTTTATTTATAAGATGGAATATAACATTGAGTTGGTGCTAACACAGCACCTTTACTACCTGGGATTGGCTCGGGTTTTAAACCATTACGAGCTGTTGGCCTGTCCTACGTACGGGAATTGAATAGTCAACTAAAACTGAAGTTATGTCAATATTTCCATTTCTAATCCAAGCAGAGTTTAAGTGATTAAACATTTATTGTAAACAAAAAGCTGCCAAGATGAATGAAAACATGGAAAATTGTTATTTTCATTTTCTTTCCTCAAAAAAGTCGAACAGAAAAATATTTTGCACAAACTTCCTCTGAAGACTCGGGAGTAGAGCCTCAATTTGTATACATCAGTGGTTATAGAATCTTACTCATTTCCTATAATCAATGGCAAAATCACAGAATAATAAACTAACCTGATAGTTCTATAAAATATTTTGATATTCAACCCGCTGTTAGTTAAAACAAATTATATTGCAATAAAACAAATCAAAGATTGCTTTATAAAATAATTTGAACATCCTAGTATTTTACTATGTATATTTAATTAATCTGTCATCCTTTTACCGAAGAATTGAATGTATCAATGATCAGCATTACAGCATTACACATAGTATAAATAAGTCAACCCTTATGTCTTTTAATTTTCATCCAAATGCTGAATTTGTGTCACAAACGCTGAATGTTCACAGCTGTTATGTTAAGCAAATTATATCATACAAAAAGCTAGTTTAGAATGTTAGCAGCTGCTAGACTTTTTAAAAATTTGTGGTGATGTGAACATTATCACCTGATAATATTTATTATTTGATTTGTTTGTAAATATTGTATTTGTTCTTAACTAAAACATGGTTGTAATTTTGAATGAATAAAAGCCATACTTTTGGTTTACTAAGTCTTTCTTACAACAATTTTATTCATTCATTGATAAACTCAGTTAGTGCTACATTACAATGGAGAAATTCCTTAGACCAGACAAATTGCAAATTGACCCGGAATCTCCAACTGCCTCAGAGGAATGGACGCACTGGTTACAAACATTCAAAGACTTTCTAACCATGACAGAATTCGTTGAAGACAAGGACAAACTGAAACTACTAACTAATCGATTATCTTTTACTACTTATAAATTTATCAAGGAATCTGAAACTTACCAAGACGCTTTGAGAGTTCTTAACTCAATTTACATCAAACAAAAGAATGAAATATTCTCAAGATATTTAGTAATGACTAGAAAACAGCAACAAGGTGAGACTATTGACAAATATGTGTCGGAACTGAAACTTTTGAGCCAAGATTGCGTTTTTGAAGCTGTTAATGCGATTCAATACAGGGATCATTACATTCGTGATGCTTTTATCAATGGCTTAGCCTCGTCATACATACGACAGAGACTATTTGAAAATAAAACTTTAGACCTAGCTGAAGCAGTGGAACAGTCTAGAGCTCTTGAAATGGCTCAAGCTCAAGTCGAGAGGTATCCAAAATCTATGTACGGAATGCAAACTTGTGCAACGAATGAATTGGCAAAGCAAGCTTGTCAGTACGAATTCCCACTACAACAAAAGGAAGAAGCGACTGTTTCCGCTATTAAAAATGTTGATGGCAAGTGTTATTTTTGTGGGCATGATAGACACTCTAGAGATCGCTGTCCAGCCAGAGAAGCAACTTGTGGGAAATGTAACAAGACAGGGCATTATGCGAGAGTCTGTAAAAGTAATCCAACTCAACATTTTAAAGTAAAACAGAAGACGTCTAGTACATCAGCTGCACTAATAGCAACTACACATAATACATCTGTATTGAAGGACTCTACAGTTGAAGCTAAAGTGAATGGCCTGAAAGCAAATTGCTTAATAGACACCGGGAGTACATCAAGCTTTGTAAACTTGAAGTTTGTTCAGTTAAACAAAATTAAAATGTATAATGAAAGTGGACAAGTATCACTAGCTGCTTCTAATATGAAATCAAACGTCCACGGGTTTGTTAAAATCAACCTAAATCTGTTGAATCACAATTACAACAATTTTAAGTTGACTGTTCTTGAAGATCTTTGTACTGACGTGCTTATCGGACATGATATCATGAAACTCCACTCAAATATACAGGTTTGGTTTGGAGGTAAGAAACCTCCTCTGTTGGTGTGCTCCTGTGCCAAAGTTGAACCACCCAAACTATTCTGCAATTTAACTCCAGATTGTAAGCCAATAGCCACAAAATCACGACGTTACTCAGATGAAGATATGCAATTTATAAAACAAGAAATGGAAAGACTACAGACTGAGGAGATCATTGAACCTAGTTCGTCACCTTGGCGTGCACAAGTGTTGGTTGTTACAAACGACAAAGGGAAGAAGCGACTGTGTGTGGACTATTTGCAAACGATAAACAAATTTGAGTGAAAATTTAAAAACGTACGTTTTCAGGAAAAGCACTTTGCAAATATTTTACCCCTTTTTTCAAAACTTTTATTATTTTTTTAAATTCATTAACAATTTAGGTTTCATAAAATGTCCATGGTAACACAATATCTTTGGTAGTTTTTTTAAAAAAGAGCATCTTTAGTGGAAAAACACAAAATCCTGTCACGACCATAACAGACATTTAAATGAATATTAAAAATAGTTAATATTATTTTTATAACTATGTTTTGCTATAAACTAATTTACTTTTATGACCATTATACAATAAAAAGGTCACTGAGCTTTTGGCATATTTGGTCTTTCTAGAAAAAAATAAAAAACCTCAAAAAATTGAAAAAAAGCCAATAAAATCTTTTTATGTTTGTATAACTCCGAAAAAACTTACCTGAGACCCGAAAAATCGTTATGTTTGTATAGAGGTGTGCTTTTTTTGTGTATAAAACATTGAAATATGACAATATTTTAATTTTTGAAATTTTTATGATAGAAATCATAAACGTGATGGTCAGGGACAAGCGGTACGGTCGTGAATTTTCTGAAATAATCTAAATCTTTCTTAACAATCCTTCAATTATACTGTTAGTTATAATAAAAATATGTGTTTCAATTGAACTAAACTGTTCAATTTACAATTATATTAAAGTTATTGTCACGACCAAACACACTAGAATCCATAAGGCTGGATTGGTCGTGAAAAAACCCGCGATGGTCGTGAAACTTTGGTCGTGAAATTACGTGTTATTTGGCTCTGTTCTGGTGGTAGCCCTGCACCTCATGTTCGAGGATACAAAGTGGACTTCTAGATTAATCTAACAATTGAAATATCTTATAAACAAAAATTAACACCATGTCTACTTCATTGAATGACTACGTACGGTCATGGACACACCAAAATTACAAAAAACACAATCTTTCCTTTATTAATCTTGTAATTCCTCCTTTCAACTCGAAACGACCGGAACTACAATCCTGACGTACACCCCGAACTAGTTTCTTAAACCAACTGACTCCATCAACGCCAGGCTTGCCACTGTCGTGCTCCAAAGTAGAAAATTTTTCCCAAATGGTCGTGACGCCAAATCGAGGGACAGACTTATTTTGTCATGGTAGTCAGTTTGCAATGACAATAAAATTATAATATGCTCCTTTTTTGTAAGTTTAATAACCATTGATGACATAAAAATATGGCTTTATACATTTCGGCATGAATAATTAGTCTAAAAACAGCGTGAAAGTTGGAAAATGTACCCTAGGGACACGTCATGGTCGTGAATTTCGAGACTTTAAAATTACGAAAAAAATACCTAGAACCTATTTAAAACCAAATAAATGTGTGTAACATGTTGCCCCCGTCCCAAAAAATATTAAAACACTTTATAATAAACTACAAATCCAGTATCTACGAAGTAAAAGGACAGGGACATGAAAACGTACGTTTTTAAATTTTCACTCACTTACTCTGTTAGACGCCTATCCCTTATCAAACATAGATGATCTAGTATCCACTGTAGCGACGAACAAGGTTTTTAGTGCCATTGATCTAAAGCAAGCATACTATCAAATACCAATTTCTGACGAAGAGAAGAAGTACACTGCTTTTGAGGCTGCTGGTCGTCTTTTTCAATTCAGAAGAATCCCATTTGGCGTAACCAACGGGGTGGCATGTTTTCAAAAGATCATGGACCAAATCATTAGAAAAGAAAAACTGAATGGAGTGTATGCCTATCTGGATGATTTGACCGTATGTGGAAAGGATCAAAAGGATCATGATGAGAATCTAAGAACATTTTTAGATGCTGTAACTAAGTATGGACTTGTAATCAACAACGAAAAGAGCAAGTTCAACCAGTCTTCAATAACCTTGTTGGGACATTTAGTTTCCCATAACTCTATTCGACCTGATCCAGATCGGCTAGAATCTCTACTGTCACTTCCTGTGCCCAAAGACCAAGTTTCACTAAAGCGAGTCCTAGGATTTTTCGCTCACTATTCAAAATGGATACATCGGTTTTCCGATAAAATAAGAAACCTGACACAAGTCAATTCTTTTCCTTTGTCACAGGAAGCGGTTGCAGATTTTGAAGCCCTCAAACTTGACATTGCAAACTCAGTAATTACTCCTAGGAATGGGCAAGAGCCACTGGTAGTGGAGACTGACGCATCTGACATAGCCGTGGCAGCAACTTTGAGTCAAGATAATCGGCCAATTGCTTTTTTCTCACGGACTCTAAACAAATCTGAGAAGCTGTATTCAGCTGTTGAAAAAGAAGCCGTTGCCATTGTCGAAGCCCTTCGAAAATGGAAATCATTTCTTATCGGAAGAGACTTCAGATTATACACGGATCAGCAAGCTTTATCATTTATCTTTGACAAGAGGCATACAAGCAAAATCAAGAACGATAAAGTTATGAGATGGCGACTAGAGCTAACACCTTATCAATATGAAATAGTGTACCGACCTGTTAGGGAGAATGTAAAAGCAGATACGCTCTCTCGGGCATGTGCAGTTCGCTGGGACAATGCTAAGTTGTTTGAATTAGGCCTACACAAATCTCTCTGCCATCCGGGAGTCACTCGAATGTTTCATTGGATTAAAACTAAAAATCTAAACTACACTCTGGATGATGTAAAAAGGATGACGTCAGCCTGTCAAACATGTGCAGAAGTGAAGCCAAGATTTCACCAATTCCAAGGCAAATTGATAAAGGCAACAACTCCCTTCGAACGTCTAAATATTGACTTTAAGGGCCCTCTTCCATCAACAACCAGAAACCGTTACCTTTTAACCATGGTGGACGAGTATTCTCGTTTTGTATTTGCTTACCCCTGTAAGGACATTAGTTCAGCAACAGTTATCAGATGTTTTTCAGATCTATTTTTTATGTTTGGAGCCCCGTCCTTTGTACATTCAGATAGAGGTTCATCTTTCATGTCGCGAGAGCTGACGGACTTTCTTCACAAGTACGGAGTAGCTACAAGTCATACGACACCTTATAACCCTAGAGGGAACTCTCAGATTGAACGCTTCAATGGAACAATATGGCGAACCATCCTACTAGCTTTGAAAAACCACAACCTACCAGTTGCTGCATGGGAAGAAGTATTACAGGAGGCACTTCACTCAGTCAGATCTCTTTTATGCACTGCGACAAACTGCACACCGCACGAAAGATTCTTTATACATAGCAGAAGATCTACCAATGGAGATTCCTTACCATCTTGGCTATCCGCTCCTGGTCCTGTCCTGCTTAGAAAGTTTGTAAGATCTAATAAATATGATGACCTTGTGGAGCCAGTTCAACTTTTGGAATCAAATCCAGAGTACGCTCTCGTCAGAAGAAGAGATGGGTCAGAATCACAAGTATCCCTGAGACATCTTGCACCCGCTGGCCTACCTCCTGGTGATCTACCTCATGAAGACAACACTACTGAGAGAGAGATTGTTGAAAATATAAATTCAGACATTGACCACAATGAAGTTCAAAATGAAACTCAACAAACGGTATCTCAGACCCCAACTTCAGAGACGGCTGTGGGGGAACTACGTCCAAAGAGGAATGTCAAGCCTCCGTCATATCTAAAGGATTACATATGCTATACCTACCTTGAAAACTAGTGGGGGAGAATGTGGTGATGTGAACATTATCACCTGATAATATTTATTATTTGATTTGTTTGTAAATATTGTATTTGTTCTTAACTAAAACATGGTTGTAATTTTGAATGAATAAAAGCCATACTTTTGGTTTACTAAGTCTTTCTTACAACAAAATTAAAACTTAATTTCTAAGAAACTGGGACCCTAACTAAAATTATGGCTTTGACATTCCCTAGTTCTCAAAATTATCTTGCTTTCAACACAATAAATCATGAAAATCCGTCAAGTGATGATTCAGAATTGTGAAGTAAAAAAAACCCTGTCACGTTTTAATATTATAGATATTCAGTCCTCAGGTACAGGCAAAGGCTCAGGCAGGAGACAGATTCCATCATACAGACTATAAAATATAGCAACTACCTGTAAATGACCTATTTGAAGTGGAGAATAAGAGAAGGGTTGGGTGGTTAAGAGAAAAAGGTTTGTTCTTGCACTATAAGGCTCATTTCTAAATGTTATGTTAACCAGGCACTTGCTGCTGTGGCCAACATGTTTGTGTCCTTACAACATATCCATTTTGTGTCATATCTTATTGATACATGTAAAAAAATCTGTAATTTTTTTGTTGAAAAATAAAAAAAAATTATTAGAACCGGTCAGTAAATGTTTGTAAATTTAAAATATTTTACTAGATGCTAAATTATATCAAAGGAGAAACGGAGACAAGCTGAATACATGCTGGTTTCATTGTCTATCTCCTGCTGAAAGGGACTTGCTGTCTTGATTTTAAGAACTTTTACCCTCAGAACAAACTCCTTGGTTACCCAGTCCTAATATTTACAGCATCCATGCATTGTATTTCCTTGCCGCATTAATTGATAATTAAACATCTTCTGCAGTTGTATAATGCGTGAGTGAGAAGGAAGTGTGGAAGTATTGTGGCAAAACCTGTCCTGATAATCTGAGGAAGGATTGCACTGTTTGGTAATAATTGGTATATATCCACTGAAAGCACAAACCTTTCTCACATCATTGAAGGATTTACTAATACAGTAACTTGTTTCTTTGCAGACTAGCAACACCTCCGATTGTGATGCTGACCAAACTGCTGGGTATAGAGTGGGAGTTACGAGGCGCCAAGAACTTCATCCACGATGAAGCAGCTGTTGTCACAGTCAATCATCAGTCCATGTTCGACATCATGGGTCTGTATCAGTGATACGTCTAAACCGAGTCACCAAACTCAAAACCAACAAAATTTTAAAATAGTTTTGATTTTGAGATTTGATCTGTGGATTTTGAAGTTCAAAACTCTAAACTGAAACTGACAACATACTGCACACTATACAACAATGCCGCTACAAGAAAACAATTTTAATTGTGATTTATTCCACAAAAATTGTACGGATAAAAGACCATTCACATTCCTAAATACAATAGTTAAACAAATTTGAAACGATTTGATGAAATCTGTTAGAAGTTAAAGTATGTTTAAAGTGTTTTAGTCACATAATCATGTTAGGGTAAGGACTTCAGATTCTTTCAGAATTCGGCCATTCTCAGTATGATACAAGTTTTCTTGTTAAACTTTTTACCTGTATTATTTATGTATCTTAAACCAATTACTGGTTAAGAAGGTTATGGTTTAGATTTTAAGATTCTAAATTCAGAATTTGAATTTGAATTTTGGTTTTTGAGATTCAAGATTTCATCCCTTGTCTGCATCAAAGACTAACCAACACAAGTATTCTCATCCCATGGTAAATATTGAATCTCGTTTTTCATGTCTAGTTCATGTCCGGTGACACAGATCGCTAGTGTCGATGAATTTTTGTTTCTATTATATAATTTTGTTTGGTTACACAGTATAACTAAGGGATGAGTTATTGCTTATGATTTAGATCATTTTATTTGGTTAAATGAGGTTTTAAATTACTGAAATAACAAGAGATAAATTGTAAACAAAACATGACTACCTATAGTGCACCGGACAGAACTAACAATATAATATTGGCTTCAGCTGTTCCATTAGGATCTACAAATCTACCAAGGGAGTAGAATTTGATGTGTAAATTCTGGTTCCTCCCTTATTTTTTGTCTACTTTGGTTAGGTTAGGTTAGCCCAAGGGATGTTTTCAAATATTTAAGGTCAGTTTGCAAATCTACACGATCCGCTCTTTCCAATGAGACATCAATGGTCAAAATCGGTTAAGAAATGTTGGAGGAGTTCAAAGGACAAATTTCAAGTTGGCGTATTAATTATATAGAAGATAATAATTAGTATAGCATAAGAGATGCTATAGTTGACCGATCAGTTTGGCTAGGTTATAAAGTAATGTAATATGTATTAAATCAGAAATCAGTAATTTAATCAGAACAACTCTGTCGGTGGCTCAATTACACTACGTTAATTTTATTTTAAAACAAGCTACAACTGTAAGAAAATGGAATATCTTGTTCTACTCATAGTCAAAAGACAAACAATAATTATTAGCCCACTTGTTTACTTTTTTAAATATGTCAGTACCTATCCAATAGTCAATGATACCGAACATCTAAAGATTTCTTACTTTTGTATTACCGTATTTCAAAATGAGATTTTTTTCCTTATTGTAACTTTTATTTCAATCAGGTCTTCTCGCAATTGGTCCTGCGATGCAAAGAGCTTGGGCTGTAGCGAGGAAAGAAATATTCTACTACTGGCCTTTTGGTCTGTCAATTTGGCTGTCTGGTATTATCTTCATAGACAGAAACAATGGCAGAGAATCAAACAAGAAACTCATGTCTGCCATAGATAAAGTAAAAGACCAAAAGGTAAGTGAATAATGACTTAAATTTAGGGAAGGGAATATTTCCATGATCACAAGAGGTGTTGGTGATGTCTGTGTTGAAGAAAATAGTTTAATTTTTTCTGTTCCTCAGGTACCTGCCATTGATTGCCTTTGACCATTATTTGTGGATATTTAATCATTTCTGGTTTAGGTGAAGAGACCCGCCCCGGTTTTTTTAATGATCATGGCCAACTTGGCCGTTTAATCAATTCAAAATTACCCAGATATTGTGACTATTTAATTGTCCCAAAAATTTCCCAGTAATATTGGAAAGTGAATGTCCCTAAAAAACATTTTTTTTCAGTTAGTTAACTTTTTCACTTTAGTAGATCTTTGAAATTTGTATTTTAGTGTGGGAAGGGGGCAGGTGGATAAATTACTGGGGGTTGGTTGAAGGGGAAGTATGAGAAATAGGGGGATTTGCGCTCCTGACCACTGGGGGATTAACATTAATTTTAGTGGACTAAAAAGTCTGCACGAGTAACAAAATTCAACTTGAATACAGTTTGAAATACACTCTAACCAAAGATTCAGGGACTTATGCACCTGTTATGTTTCATACTCCCCCATACAAATTGGTGCACACATAAACGCTTTAAACTTTATCCTGCAAAACTATTTTCATTTTTCACAAACTGTTTTTTGCTCTCTTGTATTAGCTTAGTAAGTGACATCTTCAGTGACTAGGTGAGACTTTAACGTAGCAGAACCACAAACCAACAAAATAATTGATTTTTGTTTTACAAGAAAATAGTAATTCCTCAAAAACCAAAAGAGAAACATTACACTTTGTATTTAAAAAATCTTCTATTGATATAAGCAATATTTACAACATTTCAGATCAAGTTGGTCATGTTCCCTGAAGGAACAAGGAACAAAAAGGGAGGAGGATTGCTACCTTTCAAAAAAGGAGCTTTCAGGATGGCTATTCAAGGTCAGATACCGATCACACCGATTGTTTTGTCTCCATATTACTTCATCAATTCAGAAAAAAGGATGTTCCATAGAGGTAAACAACTTAATTCATCAATATCCCAATTTTATATATTTAAAAACTTTTGCAAAAATGATGACAGCTAGCCTGACGATACTACTGGACCGAATTACACATGGGTTGTACCAAAAGAAAGGTTATCGGTCCTATATGTGCAGGTTTTATTTGCATTTTGAGAATAAATATGTTAATATGGGTCGAAAATGGAAATTAAACTTTTCTTGTGGAGATTTAGAGACGTAGGAATTGGCTAGCTCAGGAACTCGCTAACTCGGTTGTTAATCGGAACTGGCCAACTCTGGAACTGGCTAACCATCTCAGTCAGGAATTGGCTAACCCCGGAACCCGCTAACTCGATTTTGTCTCGCGGCGGAATTCGCTAACTCTGGAAGTCGCTAACCCGGCCGTGCCCACTGCACGGAGCGTTGCCAACCTTGTACGACAAAATAATCGTACACTGCCGTATTTCAAAATGTCAGTGTCAATGAAGATACAGTAAAATGTTATTGTTTTTTGTTTTCCAATTCCACTTTTAACAGTTAACTAGCCCAAAGTATTAAAAGGGGATTTAAAAATTAATGAAAAGTGTTTTTAATTTAATTGTACAACGGCGGCCAATTAAATGTTTATGATTTCGATCTGAAATATAAATGCTATGAGTATTAGGACAATAATAGAATATGAAAAATATTGAACATTCAGTTTAATTGGTACTAAGCAATTAAACCTCTATGAAATTAAGCTAAAATACACGCAAGTTCTCAAACACGGAAAATAAATTTAATCGTAATGTCGTAATAAACCAAAACCATTAATTAATACAGTCATCAACCATCGTAACTTTAATACTAATTTATAGATTTAAAATTAAAGGTACGTCGTTGAATTGTCCAACTTAGTGTAAAAATATAACATAGACCACGTTCAATATCAATTCATAGAATAGCTGTAGGCCTAAATCTATGCCTAATAGTTTAAACCAAAGCATTGTAGGCCTACTAGTAAATAGTTGCCTAATTCTAAAATGTGTTGATTTTTTTGTAATAATGTTATATGTTTTAATAACAGTTTTTAGATTGTACACCTAATCCCCACTACTAAATAACAGAAGAATATAAAAGATTCTTATATTAAAACGTGACAGGGTTATTTTAATTCACGATTCTTAATCAACGACATGACGGATTTTCCTGATTTTAGTGTTGGGGTTCCTTCATATTGCTTTTACAATCGAAATAAACTATACCAAGCCTAATGATTCTAATCATAACTAATAACACATCCCCTAGTTATATAACCAAACAGCAAAAAGAACAAATCATGAAGTTAAACTATAAAATAATAGAAACACAATTTCGTCGACACTAGCGATCAGTGTCACTGGACATGAACTAGACACGAAAAACGAGCTTCAAAGTTTACAATGGGATGTAAAGTTTAATTGTGTTGATTAGTCTATGGTAAGACTATAATGCATTTTCCACTCTAATGATCATAAGAATAATTAAACATACTTCTAAATATATTTATTTTAACGACTACGTTGCTCTTGCTCCTAATTATTCGTAGGATACGACATTATGGTACTACACTTTCGGCAACACTGGCCAAAAATCTTTGTGCTTGGCTCCCATTGGACGGCGTGCGAGGCTTCTGATTGGGAGTTAGCGAGTTCCGCCGAGGGACCGAGTTAGCGACTTCCGTACGAGGACGGAATTCGCTAACCTGGCTCTAGAGCGGGTTAGCGGGTTCCGGAGTTAGCCAATTCCGAAACCGAACAAGTTAGCGAGTTCCTCTCATCAACCAAATTTGAAGATAGGGCGTTTAACATGAGGTTAGCGAGTTCCAGAGTTAGCCAATTCCGCGGACCCGAGATTTAACATGGGGCTAATCTATATTTTAATAGGCAAGCATGTTTATTGAAATAATTTTTTCTCAGCTCCTGTGCATCGCAGGGAAACGCATACTGTCAGAAAGATATTTGCCTGTAAATGTGCAGAATCCCTTTATAAATTAAAATAGGCTCAAAAATAAACACAAAAAATGAATTTAAAATTTTAAAAAATTAACATGGGCCTTATGGGTGGCTATGTTGGGGACGAAATAACAAAATAAAAAAAAAAATATTTAATGGAAGAAATTCCAATCACATGTTTTATTTACAGCGTGGGGTGAAAATAGAGAAGTTTGCACAATACATACATTTGGTTGAGTTTTCAACCACGGGGCAATCTCTAGTTTTTACAATAAACTTATTTTCAATTTTGTCTTTCTCACCCTCACCTACCACAAGAATTTTGGGAACCGGGATCCCTACAATCTCTCCCATGGAAAATTTAACATTGGAGTGGACAATTATTTTACAAGGTTAATATGCTTACTTTAAAACTTTATATTTTTCAGGTAAAATTATTATGTCAACTCTGCCTCCAATTTCCACAAAAGGGAAAACAATGGCAGATTTAGACATGCTCATGGAAAAAACACGTGCCATAATGGAAGAGGAATTCTTCAAGTTAAAAATAGAAATTGAAGAGACATATGGCTTAATTAAAAAATCTTGAAATTATGTTTTAGCACCATTTTTGTAAAATATCATCACTTTTGATTATTTTCATCTGATTGTAAATTATTTAGGTTTAGGATATGAAAAGTGATAATCATTGTTATAAATAGTATTTTTAAGAAGTTTATTAGTGAAGGTAGACTTTTTACGTGATTTAATTAAATGTAGATAGCTTTTGTTTAAATTAGACAAAATAATATGTGTAACAAACAGCTTTTCAGTATGTGTAAATATTTTTGTTCTTTTCTATTAAATGTTCAAAATTAAAAAAAAAGAAACTTCAATCTTTACTATCCTAAACATGGTGTAAATTAATCAGATTGATTGTTAGCTTTTGAGAGGTTATATTATGCTTGGTTTTCATTAATGTAAAGGAAAAAATACCCCAGCCACAGCAAACCTCCAGACTAAGCAATTTTCACTAACCCATTTTGCTTGGATTGGAATTTTCTCCATAACCAAAATGCACACAACAATGCTTCAACATACTACGTTATTTGTTTTTCAAGCTGTACAGCATGGTTTAGAAACTGCAATTTTTTTAATTTTGACGATCAAAAATGGGAAAGCCCATTTTTCCCTAGAAAGCCCCCCATAAAACCTTGTTTGTAGCCTGATCATGCTGGTTCGTTTGAATGATCGTAGGTGTACACGTTCGTATAAAATTTCTTAGTAATTGGATGATTTTTCCTCGACTCATCGTACTAGCGGAGCCATGTATATAAATTTGAACAGTTGTTGTTTTAAACCTCTGTGGACATAAAAGTGAAAGAATTGGTCCCAGGGTCAGGTCTTATTACGGTAATAGCTTATTTCCTATATGAGAAATTCGCTAGAAAGAGTTGAGTAAAGAAGATAATCACTAACCTTCCTTTCCTTAACCTTAGACTTTTGTACTAACACTGCAGCCAAATAACTTCTAAATAAATTTTACTCTCTCTAAACATACTAGATATCAGAACCATATCACGAGTTCAAGTTCCAACCACAGGATAGTAAACCAAATTTCTCATATTTTTTTAGAAATGAAACAAAAGTGAATGTATTATCATTTATTACAATACACAAACAACGTATGATGGCACACAAAGATAACACATAACACAGAGGTGATTTTAAAAGGGTAACAACACACTAAAACACTTATCACATATTACTTAGAGTAAAGTGACTATAGCCGCAAATCCTTTCAGGATCTACAGACAATGCAAACAGATAAACATGTTTTAAACAAATTAAAATGTTCACGGGTAAATAAAAAAATGGGGTTGATTTGCACAGAAACTATTCAGTATTGAATACTGAAATTATGTTAATACTAACTTTACACATTAAGCATCTAAACAACATAGGAAGCATTTTACTTTAAGTGGTAATCTGTAAGTCATAAATAAATTTATTTCAAAGGGATATAGAATTATCTTACTGTTAGAACTTAGAAGTTGATAAGTTATATAACATTGCATTTATTCAATATAAGTAAATAACAACATTGTATTGGATGATATTGTGATAAAATTGTAATATAAGTTATCGATTGTGCAAACAATGTAGCTTTAAAACGTCTGCTACTTGTAAACAAAGTTGCTTTTGGATCAGTTGCTTTTCGATGGTTCATAGACACTAATTGTAAATACTTGTTAAAACTAACTAAAATAGCACGTAATCAATAAGGTGTAGTATGGCAAGAAAGAAAGCTATTTCAGGAGCTTTATAAATAACTCAAGTACTCTTTGGGAAATAACTCAGAGGTTAAATCAGTGAGTTGATGGGGTCACTGTTAATAAAATTTATTCTTCACTAACAATAATTAATTTTTAATGTCTCAAAGAAAACAAGGGGAGCATCTACAACCACAACACTAAAGAGTGCAGTATTATTGACATAGTAACACCAATCATAACTAACATTATGTTTTACTATAATTTAACTTGGAGGCAGGAAACCCACCACTTTTTCTCGTCTCACCCGGATGATTGCAGCATTCTGACGATATTCCACTAAAGATAGCTGATTTTGGCAAACATTTATCATAAAAACAAATTAAAGAAACAAACTGACTACATTACCTTTTGACTAGTCAATGCTATTACATTATTACATCATTACATCATGTCAGCTGGTCAGAATGGTCAGCTGATGGTTCCTGGTTGGATAGTAAAAGCCTTGTAAATTTGCTCTACAGATACCTATAGTCGGGACCACATAAGTTTGTAGTTGAGGGAGGAGCCTATTTACCATATGGTTTTGAATGAACCAATGAGAACGGTGCGGTGTTGCCAAATCTAATAATACCAGCTGATTTGAAAATATTGCTTTATTCTAATTAGTGTTGTCAATGGGCGATGTGGCAACGTGTGATTGGCTGACACCAACTGTAAACTTACGTGGTCCCGACAATAAATAAATATCTTTTACCCTTTACTGTCGCATTAACGTTAGGTAGTCTTAATAGCGTACCATAGCTGATAAACAGGTGACATAGACAGATACAGTATTATATTATCTTGACTTATTAATTATTACTCATTACTACCATGTAAACTTTTTGGTAGATAGTTAATCAATAGTATAATGACAAAGTTTATCTGGGACTAGAATCAATCTCACTTGGAATCAAACAAGCGACCTTCAGATTTGAAGGTGGGCAGTCCTTTCTACTCTCGGTAGCAGCAGAACTAACATTTCTTTCCAGTAAACATTGGTCTTACAACAATTCCATCTAACTAGTTTATTTTACATCCACATTAAAAGCTGTAACTTTGATTCCAAACAGTTTCTCTACCAGTTCCACTCAAACTTAAAACTGAAATTCATGGTTTTCCACAATCATATTTGTGTATTTTTGTCACATTGATAAGGGTCATCAGTACAAGGACCCTCACAGCGGACCTCAGAGACGACCGGAGTAAAGTAGGGCTGCAAGGCAATGTCCCTGATGTTGAAATTTGTAGTCGACAGACTCCAGGTAAACTGGATGTAATTCCCTGACTAAGTTATAGCCACTAAAAGAATAGGTAAAAGAGCACCAAGTCAGAAAGTCAAGAAGAGACAAGCTTTTATTCTCGCGATCGCACAAAGGGGGGGGGGACAAAGGGTCAGCGAAGATCAAGAATTAGACAGCTGTATTAAATGACTCATAGAACGATTGTTTAAGTTAAATCAATGATTTACTCATAAATAATACATCACAATTTTAAGAGAATACTAAATTTGAAAGCAAGGAAAAACTTAACATACCTTTACCTTTTCATTCTTGTTTTTTAGGGATTTTAAAAACTTTGGTTTGTTTTGGAGACAGTAATCGTGAAATTAAAAAAACAATTGGAACAGCTGTATTTATAGTTTCCATGAATAAAAATTCATGTCATCATTGAGATCATAGAGCAGATAATAATTGCATTGCGTCACCCCAGTTGCAGTAGATGATCACTACAAATCCTAAAGCACAAAGTATCGAAAATAAATGTGTTCTCAGTAACGTCAGTATTGAAGTTTTGTGGAATCAAAAATTGGAATAAGCCCATCCATATGAGGTTTATCTGCTAAATTTACGTCTTATTTCAAGTTTTATTACAGTTGACAAAACTCATGGCTCTTTCACAGTTGCGTGGGGACACTGTGTTCATTAATGTTGTATAAAGAAATCTATTACACGGCAATTTGTTTTTGTTTTAAGGGAGTTAGTAAATGTTTGCAACCATATCAGCAAGTAGCTGTTACTCACTTCTTTCCCTAAGTACCTGCATTCTCGCCCACGCTCCAAACGCTGGGTTTTCTCTCAATAGACAATCTAGCATACATATTTATGATTCACTATCCTGATGTTAATATGGTATTGAATCAGCCTTTCACAAACATTGAAAGACACATATGACTAGAAGGAAAGTAACATTAACAACATTAACATCAATACTACTGGGAATTTTGTGGACTGGTATAACACGCATGATCATAGAACTTAAACGTAAAGTGAACAATGAAAAAATCATAACACATCATGTATGTTTTTTTCTTATAAATATTTTTGTTAGTATCACATGAGGGAAAACTAAAAGATAACACACAGTACTCACAAACTACTTTGACAAAACACAAAATAAATAGGTACTTTGGTAATTTTCAGATTATGTATAAAAACGTAAAAATAACACTTATCTTAACTACCTAAAAGTAAAAGGAACAACATATAAATAGATTGTTTGATAAAGGTGAAATACCTTGAAACAAACAAAATTGGGTAACTAAACATAACAGTTCTTTGGCAAAAGTGTAAAAAAGGAACCATTATGTCTAATGATTGAAAATAAAAACAAAAAAACAAAATAAAAACAAAACAAAAATAAACACAAACAAAATACTTTCAATACCTATACACTTTTGTAAAATGATAAATGGATCGTCATTGTACGTAAATAAATTTCTTTGGTAACTAAATAATAACTTAAATATTATTTTACTTCTTACTGATGTGAAGTAAGAATCGTTTCTTTGACTAGAGTATTTGACAGTCTTTGGTAAGGTTAATGCATTGCTTTATTCAACAGTCGATTTAAAATATCCAGGATCCTGTAACATAAGCATAAACATTGATAACAGTATTCAATACAAACAGAATTCAATACAAAACATTTATAACATCTTTGATAGCTATAAGTCAATACATGTTTAAACTTCTTTCAATTTAACATATTATAGTAGTAGGCACTGTACGCACTTTCTTCTAAGTTTGCTTTCTTATTTTTTAGAATTAATTTACAGGCCTCAAAGAGTAGTAGGGCCTACAATCAAGGGCGGTTCCAGGGCTAATTTTCGGAGACGGCCATTCTATCGAGGGTGTGGGGGGTATTCTAAATTCTAATTCTAGGCCAGCATGGCCACAACTTCCAGGGGGTTTGCCAATACCCCCCCATTGTGGAAGGGGGCTCCTCCCCCGGAAATTAGTGAAAAATTATACTTACAAAGTCAAAATTTTAAGCACTCTGACGAAGAAAAAGTTTAATCTCTTGTAATCGAAAAGGAGAGTTTAAGTACAACACTTCCTTTTTTCATTGATAAAACTTTTTCAGTTCTTACCGGCCCTGTAATTTCACCTATCTCTTTTTAAATGTTCTGTTTCATAATGTCGATGCGCATTGTATTCCTTCAACAATGATTGTTTCAGAAAATAAAAAAGTTACTCGTTTACTACATTTTTGAAGTTTTTAGTGGTGTTAAAAACGACTATCAATCTTCATTTGCCTAAATAAACTATACAAATTTGTTAAGGTTCAAACTAACTACACAGTAATAAGCAGTCTTAAAAAAAACATATACATTTGAAATCTTTATGTTAAAAAATAAGTGTAGCAGAGCAGGTTGAGAGAATGTTCATACAACCAGCTGGCCTCAGTATCCCACCATTTAATGGTGGGCACGGGCCCTTTTTCCACCACACAGCGCGCCAGTATCCAGGGGAGTATTAGATTAAGCATACTCGGTATTAAGTTATAATATAGATGGTATCCGTACGATATTTCCCAGCTGGGCCGCACCGGCGCACCAGCGTGCGACACTGCGACTTTTTTGATGTATACACTTGAACGCACATGTCTACGTGAGTGAATACTCTGTAGAAACGTCATTGTGGTAGTCAGGTAGACATCGGCAACGTCGCACTCGTAGTACTGTAATGGCGGTTGCTCAATCTTGAGTCTAGACTAACCTAACTTAAGAAAACAGCTAAGCTAATATACTTCTCTTAAGCCTTAAACGCTTCCATTACTTACCATTATAATTTTGTCATGTGCTTGTGCTTAAGTGGAGGGATGCACATAGGTTAAATCTTGTAAAACTGTGTTACTAACAAAAAAAAACCGTAAAAAAACAAATACTCAACTGACTACTGAGCCACTAGTGGGTAGTAGGATGTACTGTATGACTGACGCACTGACGTGACGAAGGCATAGGATGGCGGGAAACGGGGATGCGTGCGGCAATTTTTAAAGCAATTTTTCAAATTAAAGCTTGAAAAAAATAAATAAAAAACCTGATTCTCGGGGAGGGGGGCGGGGGGGGGGGCATGGCCCCCTCTCTGGAACCGCCACTGCCTATACGAGTCAGTATAAAATTGCAGTTTAACAAAAGGAACAACTATTTCCTGCATTAACTAACACCCTGTTTCAAATAATCATTAACATCAAAATATACTTATCTTAGTCTTGATTTTTGCAACAAAATATTTGAAATTGTGATTTTTACTATAGGTATGACTTGTTTGATTGATCTATTAATTAGGAAGTTGAGTAAGTTGAAAAAATTTCAGAGGAAGATTCTTAAAAACAAGTCACTCACCGGTTTGAAATGATGGAATTTGCAGTGTTTAGTGAGCTCTTCCTTACGATGAAAGCTAGTTGGACATTCGGTACACACAAACGGACGATCAGTCATGTGGACTCTCTCATGGCGAGATAACTTGTCCTGGATAACACAAAACAAAAAACTCGCTAACTCATGAACTCATGAAACTCATGAATATCATTATGCAATCTCATCAATTTAGAATAGTAGTAGTGATGTTAACAAACAACAGGAATTATTGTCTCATGTATTTGTTGAGTCTGTATTTAATGTATTTATTAAGAGCATTTTCATCATCTTTCGGCATCATTGTACTTGCATGTTAACGGATTATTAAGCTGCAAAATCTTTATTGTAAATAGATTATAGTTGCAATTTTGTTATTAATTGATTGTATACTATTGTTTGTTATTTATTTAAAATCTAGCTGTCTTGATTGTTATCATTACTTACATTGTAAAAAATGGTGGAACCGTTGATAATAAATAAATAAATAAATAAACAGGTTAAATTTAATTTTAGCACCTGTGAACAGAAATAATTACAAAATATCACTTCGGTTTTTTAAAGGTAGTTTTTGCCCCTTTCAGGGGATTCTTCAGAGGTAAAATATAGAAAGTCACGAAATATAATTTAAATTGTATTGCTTTTATGTGTTCCTTCTGGAACTTTTTATTCAGTTGAGTTAGTTGTGTATCCTTCCTACTCCTTAACAAATTCTCTTTTTTAAAGTAATTCAGTTTGTAGAACAAGAGTTTAAGTATTATTTTTAGAGTCTCTAGACGGCAATAAAGACAAAATACAGGTTAATTTATTCTGTCAAAGTAATCCAAACTTTTTAGAACACACTGACACATTTGCTGTAAATAGAACATTATCAGGGCATGGGCTTGCCCATTAACCCCTCAAGCCCCGAAGTCAGATATATTAGCTGTCTATAGTGACAAAACCTTCACTTACATCCGCATATGCAAGTATAACTCAACAAAATCAGCCAACAGCTGTAGGCCTACCTGTTGTGTGCTGCGATCTAAGTATAAAAATTTATAACTGCTCCGCTTTACCATTATTACCAGTGAGTGTTCAAAGAAAATTTGATTCACAAAAATGTGTTCCTTTTTATTAATGAGACAAGGATAAACAAATATCTTAAAAATAGGAAAAAATAAATAAATTAACAGACTCTGTGACTGAAGTGGTTAGCTCTTTGAACTGTTGTGGATTATTCAGTGATTTAATCATGGCTATTTTAGCATGTGTCTCACTCAACTTATGAATATAACAATCCAAATCATTTTTAAGTTTCAAATGGATGAACAAATTGCAGTAAAGTGCTTGATTTGACATGCAACTAACAAATAATTCACTTATCAAATTCTACCCAATACATGTGATTGCGTATAGATAGGTGCCTGCCACAAACCGCCATGGAATTAGTAGCGCTAGAAATATTTATATTTGTTAAAAATTGAAAAGAAAAATGGTAAATTTTGTTTATTAATTTTTGTGAATCAATTGGACCTTGCCAACAAGTTTTGTAAACTTGATGAGGCCAAGATGTTGTATTATCACAAATAAATATATTTGAATTTGAACATTTATACACAGTGGACCTCTAAAACAGACAGTGCAACTCCTCACACCAGTGAGTTTCACACCAGACTTCAATGACACTGGATTCAAACCCGAACCCTCAACTGAGCTGTCTCCTAGCTGATGAGACAAAACTGCTTGCCCATTGATCAAACTGTATAGTCTACCAGCTACCAGAAGCTATTGTAGTAGTTTTAAGCTTGACTCGGCCAGGTCAGAGTATAGCTTGAAGTTATTTTTGCTGAGCATAGCCATTCAGACATTTGTAGGTATAAGTGTGGTTGTGTTAGTTTTGCGTCCAATATATTTACCTTTGGAGCTCAAAGAAATAACAATAACACTATTAGGTCTACTGCTATTTTGGAAAGTTCACAGACACTGCTAACTACGCTATTTTACCTTGCGATTGAAGGCGAGAGAGCAGATGAGACAAGCATAAGGTTTCTCCCCGGTGTGTATGACAGCGTGTCTCACAAGGTCTCCGCGAGAAGAGAACATCTTGTCACAGTGTTCACACGGGTAGGGACGACGGCCGGAGTGTACTCTGGCGTGCTTGTTGAGGTTGGTACTGCGGGTGAACGTCTTCCCACACACCGGACACTTGAACGGACGTGCACCTACGAGTGATTGCAGTCATCTTTGAAAATCTTTTATATACTTAGTGCAATAAGCATTTTCTCTGTAACATCCCTTTTTCTGTTGTCTTACTTAACCGATTTATACAATGTCATTTAAAGCTTATGAGCTAGCGGAGGGACCAATAGTACCTAAAAAGTTAATTTTTTTTAGGGCTTCACCTCCACAGCATTTGGATTTTGATCATTTATTTGATTCAACAGCAATAAAAATTTAAGTATCTTCCATCAAAACATCCAACATTTCCAATCTAGGATCGACTCCTTAATTATAACAATCGAGGAATTAAACCCGGAAGTAATTAAGGAAACAGACCCTTCATCTCAAAGTTATTTAAATACTTTATTCGAGGCAGTATTTGTTGATTGTATTGATAGCCCCTCTATGGTCACTGCTTTTTCTAAAATTTATGTTGATCATATATTTATTGTTATAAATGATACCAGTCGGGTTAATTCGGGTATTATTCAATCAGAAATGACAGATCATTATTTCGTTGCTGTGGAAATTAAAGCCAAATCAAACCTAAATCCAGTTTCCAAACAGAAAAATACCAAATCAGTGTCTTATATTGATAAAAAACAAGTCTCACTTTATGTCCAGGCTCGTGATTGGGCAGACGTCAAACATTTAGACATTGTGTCTATTTATTGGCTGGCATCTCAAACTTTGTGAATTCATTTGTACCCCTGTCTGGAGTTGATTCGATATGCGATGTGCATACAGTGGCTGTATATGGCAGTTTGATCATTTTTTTTGTACAAAACAAACATAAAAACAACATAAGTAAACACAAAACATAAGTAAACATAAACATATAAACATAAGTAAACATGAAAACTGATTTGTTTGTAAGGATTGCCCAAAAGTATTTGATTCTTACAAATTCTTCTGAACTTGGATTTGTATAAACTCCCATTACTGAAATTAAGTGCAAGAACTGGAAATATTTGTTTGGTTTATGTTAAATGTTATTTCTGAGAGTTAGTGGAATCATTTTAGTGTTAAACCCCAACAAAATTGCAACACGAGCAATTTTTTTTTTAAATGATAGCTAAGAGTGCCCTTAATAAGCCCTCAAAAATCGCCATGAATCGTACCTTGGCAACATGCCCTAAAATTCAAAATGGCTGCCAAGATGGCTGTCAAATTATATATTTTGGCATATATCTCGAGAACGGTTAGTTTGATCAAAAACGTTAATTTGGCAAATATGTAGCTCTTTTCATGCCGATCAGTTTTTATACATGCATTTTGTCTGTCAGACGTATGGTATGGCCGCTATTTGAAGAGCCGTACTTCATTATAATCTGCCTTTTTCACAAAAATTCAGAATTTTCAGTTTTTGATCACTTAATGTTAGAAAATACAAATTGTACCTCAAAATAATTTAAAAGTTGTTTGTCATGTGGTTTCCTACTTATTTTTAGTTTTTACACAGTCGCTTTCTTTCCTTTAGTGCTACAGAGTCGCTGACATCTTCTTATTTTACTTATCTATTGGTGTAATATTACAACAAATTACAACTTGCTATTCAGAAGTGACAAACGACTTTCAGATCATGTTTATAACATTAAAAAAATTAGATCCTCACTTGGAGAAGATTTTGCTAAATCTCTATTAGCTCTGCACGCCTATACAGGGTGCGACACTACTTCGAGGATTTTTCACATCGGAAAACTATCTGTATTCAACAGAACATTAGAAGACGAGTATTTTCAGGATCTGCTGTCATCTTTCAGCTCACAAAATCTGAGTCCAGATCAAGTTGAAGTAATCGGTCTGAAACTAATGGCTAGTCTGTTCAATGGGAATAAGAACGAATCAATGAACACATGTAGATACAAAAGTATTTTGTCAAAATTAAAAAAAAAAAAGATAAAAGCTTTGTAAAGCCTCAGCAACTTCCTTCAACAGAGTCAGCAGTAAAGTTTCATAGTCTGCGTGCCTATTTACAAATTCAAATATGGAAAAGGGCAGAAGATAGTATGATAACTACTGGGGATGGACTTTGCAGGACAACATGTTTGTGCCCCAAAAGATGGATTTGCCAGCAGCACCAGAGACATCGTTAAAAATGATTAGATGCAATTGCAAAACTCCTTGTAATTCAATGAGATGTGTGTGTAAAAAATGGATTCAACTGCACTATTTCCTGTGGTCATTGTTTAGAAAACAATAGTAAAATCAGTCTCCAGTTTTCATTGGACGAAGAAAAGACGATGAGAATAGTATTTTTGAAAATGTTGACTAAACTTTTAAATCATTGGGCCAAATTATGTTAACACTATGGTAAAACTACGTTTATATGTTCATGTTGTACATATTGTATATAGGAATCTTTTTATTTTGTAGTATTGAATAAAATTGTATGATTTAAATAACATATATTTTTTTATTTCATATCCATATCCTGGCTTCTTACTTATCCCTTAAAATGGGAGATTATTTAAATCATGCAAAAAAAATTTTTCATAATCATAAAATCCCAAGTAAAACTGAAAATAAGTAGGAAACCACATGGCAAACAACTTTTAAATTATCTTGACGTACAATTTGTATTTTCTAACATTAAGTCATAAAAAAATGAAAATTTTGAATTTTTTTTAAAAAGGCAGATTTTAATGAAGTACGGCTCTTCAAATTGCGGCCATACCATAGGTCTGACAGACAAAATGCTTATATAAAAACTGATTGGCATTAAAAGAGCTACATATTTGCTAAAATAACGTTTTTGATAAAACTAACCGTTCTAGAGATATATGCTAAAATATAAATGTTGGCATCCCTCTTGGCGGCCATTTTGAATTTTTGGGCTTGTTGCCAAGGTACGATTGATGGCGATTTTTGAGGGGTTATGAAAGACACTCATAGCTATCATTACCAAAAAAATTGCTTGTGTTGCAATTTTGTTGGGGTTAGGTCAAATTTACTCATAAAATGATTCCACTAAGTGGTCCTTGGTGTTAAATGTTTGACTTCCACAACGCCACTATCTCTGTACAAAATGTGTTCTGGATAAGAAATAAATAATACTATGAAATCAAAAATTTCTATAAGAATTAAATAAATAAAGAAATATATGAAATGTGTTAACATTCAAGCAAAAATATGTTTAAACGTGGCTCACCTGTATGGATGATGGCATGTTTGCGCAGATCACTCCTGTAAGCGAAGGCCTTGCCACAGCCTGGACAGTGGTATGGCTTGATGAGGTCATGTACGGCAAAGTGTTTCAGCAGGTCAGCTCTGTCAGCATACGCCTCTCCACAAGTTAGACACATGTGGGGCCTGTGGCAATGTAGGTGTATGATGTAAATACACTTGCATTTGGCAATGAAACTGGGTTATTGAACTGAGCAACGCAAAGCTCTTTAAAAATCAACAGTGAAAACTTTCTTACATCATCACGCAATAACAGCTGAACATATTTCAGCCAAACTTACCAAGGTTACCTATTTTGACAAATAGTAGGAAGGATTGTGAAGGAACAAATTTTAACTAGATAATGCCTATACAATTTAAAACTAGCTTAACATTTTAACTTTTGGTTTTTCACCTATAGGCCTACATAGTGCTATATGGAGAAAATATCATTTTTGTCAACATTTTTGAGTTTGAGTTTTGGTTGAAGATATCCTGAACGAAAAAATAATATTTACAAAGTGATGTCTGTGTCTGTTTGTGGATGTGTGCCTGTAGGGGCTCACCTCTTGCTTTGCTGGATACATTCCACGTACAGACCTGGCACCCATGTGGACCAGAATGGACTTATGTGATACAAGGTTAAAAGAGACTTCCGATCCCTTCAAATAAAGAGAAATAATCCAGAAGTAAGTTTACCTCTGCCTGGCATGAGTCCGCCAATGAGCCTTCAGCAGAGTCTTTTCTTCAAACTCTTGGTCGCAGTAGTCACACGGATACGGTGGCTCCTAAAACATGCATTAAATTATACTGGCAAATAAAAACCATAATATTACAGGCTAAAACTCAAGAACTAGAGCTGGTGATTTGCTAAACATATCGAATAACAATTAATGAGGCCATTCAGAAGCCTGCTGATGTTTGAAAGACAACACAGCCAAGTTTTAGACTTAAACACGTTCGCTGCGGACCATCAAATGGCAGGCGTAGCCCCAGTGCGGCACAGGCCGCAGCGTCGAACAAACCCGATTGCCGGGTGATTGGCTTTCAAGTTTTGGTCTGAAGAATAGCAAATAACGTGCGGTTATGTCCTTGTCCTACTATACGACGAGAGTCGACTAGTAGTTCGCTAAAACACCCACAGATAACAGCACTGCTTGGAATGTAGCCGGTCCCAATGTATTGCCAATTGGAGAGAGAAAGATGGGACAAGTTGATTTTCAAGCGTGCCAGATGGGGATTTTACGGGGAAATTTACTACCAACCTACACCACAACAAAAAGCAAGTCACACACTACACGCCAACGTGGTACAGGTCCACCTTCGACCGACGCTAGAACAAAAACAAAAATATACGAAAGGCATTGCCGAGCGTATCCTATCGGTTATGGCAGCACCCGAACCCCGCTCGGCACGTATCCGATCAGATACACCCGCATTGAACGTGTTAAAAATACCTACATGTAGACTTTTCTCTGAGGCAGTCAAGCAATTTTGAGAGATGAGAAATGTAACCAGCTAAATATTTAAAAGCTGGGTAGTAAGACAGTTATATCAGTGTAAAATTGAACATCTTTAAACCATGCAAAACTACAGGAACAAATTAGCTTACGTTCCATATGACACTAAGGATGACTAGAGGCCTGTTCCCGTTGGCTTTGTCTTGTAGGCTTTCAAAATTTTAGGTAGGCATCTGGGGAAAATATGATGGTCTTGATGATAGTGATAAGAAAATTTCCAAAACCAACATTCGAATTATTCAACACAATGGTGATAACCACCATCTAAAGCAGCTTAAAATCACTTTTTACTGCGTCCATGGCCTGCTGTGAATCACGAGCAAATCTACAAATACAAAACCAACGTAACTCACTTGTTTGTGTATGAGCTGATGTCTCTGAAGGTCCGAGAGGTTGACAAAGCCCTTGTTGCAGGCAGGACAATGGTTGCTGCTGACTGGCACATGGACCGGCTCCACGTGTTCAAAGTCATCACTACACAAACACATAGTGCCAGTGTCTGAGGGAACAAATCTGATGCGACTGAACAACAAATTTGTTAAGCTGTGACGGTTAGTCACCCTAAAATATTTTCTAAATCTTGGGACTAAGTAAAATGTATGGTAAATTACTTGGATTATTTGTCAGGCTGATTGGCACATAGTAGTCACAATTTTGTGATGACCGTAACCATGAGACCATTTTGTGTTACCTCCTGATTTGATCAAACCATAGAATCTATCTGGTGGTCTCAGCTGGTGCACACTGAAAGGGTCCACTTGGACCATCTCTTGGGGTACTTTATCTGGTAATGTACCTTAATCTTTAGTGCTTGATAATACAAAATTTCAGAATGTCCAGATAAACACAATAGATTGAAGTCTGGTTTTCAATTTATTGCTGGTGTTTGAAAATAAAATAAAATTTCTTGGTTTGCAAAGCGTCTTTATTTCAAAAAATTATAATTAGGTTATCTTCCTGTGCTGCTATTGGTACATATTATGGTCTAGAACTATTTTCACTATATGAATTTGGTTTTCTTTTTTGAATGAAATAAGCATTTTATTTGCATTCATTCTGTTTGAAATAAGTTTTTGATATTTTGGAATATTAAAATTGTTTAACTCTCACATTGTAGTTATTTATTGTATTCCATAAAATAATAAAAAAAACCATTGTAAAATGTTAATATCATATCAAAATATAAACATTAAAAAAATACAATTAAGAATTACATAATAAGCACAATAAACTCAAAACTTTTGTTCGTTTTGTAGCCTGCATCACATAGTTAAAAATCAACACTACAACAAACACTACACTTTGAAAAATCCTTATGTCTAAGAGTGACGTATTAAGATTGAATGATATCACGATCAAATTGCTCACAAAAACCTTGTAATAAAACAGAATCAGTTACATAAGGCTTAAAGGTTTCACAGTGTATGATAAACATGTATCATACACCATTCCCAGCTCTGCCCCATTATTAACTTACGCCTGACATTTTAACATTTTGTAAATTTGTATCTACAAACTACAAATAGTTTAACAGGGGGGAAACCATTTTATATTTTAAAATCAACATTCAAATATTCAATCAACTGATTATGAGACAGTAACTCTTTACATAGCAACTATGAAATAAGTCGGCAATTACCTAGCCTCGGACCCAGATTCGCTCCACTGTTCCTCCTCCGCCAGGTGTGTGGTTGGATACACCACGACGTCCTCCACTTCCGTGTCTTTACATTCCGACCGCAACCTCACGCTACACAGATCAAGGCTGAACGGTTCACTGCCGAACATACTCTCCTCCATGTCATTCATGTTCTCTTCCATCTGAAGGTTGTTTTCAGCTTCGCCTTGTAAACTTTCTCCGTTCCCTTCAGTCTGCTTGTGAACTTCTGTTTCTGTGTCGTTGACTTTCTCAGCACTGGTTTCAAGTTCACCGGTTGATGTCTGGTTGTTGTCAAGGACATTCTCTCCATAGAATTCTGCTTGGCAAGCAGAATCCTTCTTTTCAGTAGGCTGTAAAAACGCATTGTTTGATATAACTGAACAATATGATAAAAAATTCAGGTTCGGTGTATTGAAGATCAGGAACTGATGCAAACTTGAATAGTATAGGAAATGAACAATATTGTTAAAGAATATGCCTATTTTTAACAATTTAAAGTGAATAACAAATTTCAATATTCCTCTTCCTAAACCGTAAATAAGCACAAAAATAAGTGACTTTGATATTACAAAAGGTCAGTGTTGGGGAAGCTACTTTTAAAATGTAGCTAGCTACAACTACTGCTACGGTACATTTCCAAAAAAGTAGCTTAGCTACAGCTACAGCTACAGTTCCGAGAAAGTAGCTAGCTACAACTACAGCTACAATGAAATGTAGCTATAGCTACAATTTTAGCTACTTTTCCAAAGACGTTACTTTTATTCCACGCACATTAGGTAAATGTAAAATTATTTGCAACTATATAAACCTAACATTACAGCAACAGAACCAAAATAAGTTAGTTGGGTGTTCCATCATATTTAGTACTTATTTTTAAATATTGCATTATTTTTAGGCATCTTATATGTAAATTTCATTAAGTTTAAAGGACATACAACCAAACTATATTTTAAAAGCCCATTTTATTTCTTTAATATACATTCATTTATAAGAAATCCGGTCTTTTATCAACAATTAAAAACAATAAAACTGTAAAACGATTATTTAAAACACGTTTTTGTGTTACAGAGCCTAGCCTACTGAAATTGGAGTTTATTGCCTGTCGTTATTTTTAATGTTAAAAACAACATTGCTATAACTATTAACCATAGTAATATGTTACTTGGTCTATGAATAACACTTTTCAATGTTAATAAATCGTCTTTTGTCATTATGCATAGGTCAAATTGTGCTTCAACAAACGTTGGTGCAGAAAACAGTATTTAGCAACTTATCCTGAAATCGGCTTTTAATTTAAACATGTTGAAAATTGTTAAGTAAAAATAACATTTAGGCGTACTTGGCTTTGTAACAAGTTACGGCTATAGTAAACTTGTTCTTACAAGGACTAAACAGATATATTCCTATTAATTGACCTTGGTATTCGTATTAATCCAATAGCATAGCCTAGGAATAGTCCTTGACAAGAGCTGTTACCAGGAGCAAACTACTGTATGCTACTTTTTCAATGCAAGTTTCATGTTATATGGAGATGTTTCGTTACAATTATTATGTATTCTAGGCATATCTTAAATCTCATCAGGAAATTTCCTCTTCGTTCATTTAGTAAACCTTTGAAAAATCTTTGTAATCTAACCAAGGAAGGGCTTGTGATGATGAACCACAATCAACAGCTGAAGCAAAGGTTGATAGACCAGCTTTCTCATTATTTTAAGGTTTAGTGTTGGTTTCCATTAAAACTCAAGTTTAAAAAACTAAATTGATACAATAAAGAAACTAAATTGATTACTAATTTCCCTGTCAATCACTTGCAAGCATTCAATAGCTTCTCTTGTCACCGGTAACGTTTAAACGTCATCTGCATCTAGCAATTTTATTTTATCTGACAGTAATCATAGAGTAGCAAATGAAGGAAATGAGAGCCAAAAATGCGGATAATATTCAGATAATGGCCTAAATGTCCACGCAACGTTGTTATAGGTAATGAAACGACTGTGACCAGCTGTATTAAGCCAAGAAAGTAGGCCTAATTTTCTTGAAAATCTCAGTTTGAAAAAGGTTGTTTCACGTAAGGTTGTGATAAAAATAACTATCTCAATCAATGTTAATGTAGCGAGAAAAGTAGCTAAAATCCCGCTACAACTACTTAAAAAATGTAGCTAGCTACAGCTAAAGCTACAAAATCTTAAAAGTAGCGTAGCTACAGCTAACGCTACAAAAAAAGTTGCGCACTACTGTAGCGTCGCTACTTGTAGCGCGCTACTTCCCAACACTGCAAAAGGTGATGATCACTATTTACAGCATTACGGTATACATCACTTAAACATCCTGGGGATGGAATAAACCCCGGTAAAAAGGGTGGCCTTAGAAATACTTGATTTCCGGACAGAAAAACTTTTTTTTTCCAGTCTTCATTCATAGTCCACAAAAGAAAAAAGTACCTTATACAAGGGGTCTGCGGGTCCAAGAACTCCATATTTTCGAGTCTGGTCGGACCAATGGAAGGCACGAGAGATCCGTACAGGCAGAAAATGATTGTCAAGCCAAGCTTGGATCGAGTCGAGCCGAAATGAGCACAAATTTTCGTGACCGTGGAGAGCGTTTAGGAAGATGCGTAACCGAAAATTTACGATTTTACTGTGATCGTGATTATGATGTCTTGTGACCGCGAAAGATCTCCAAGGTTTTTTTAACCTCGGAAGATGCTCATGATTTTGCCGTGACTTCCGAAGATGTTATCAAGTTTGTCATGAAAACAGGTTCCTGATTTTACCGTGACCGCGGAAGATGTATACGGTTTAGCCACGATCGTGGATTGTGTTCATAATTTCGCTGTGACCGCAGAATTGGAATATGTTCTTGTTCTTGCCGTGACTGCTGAAGGTGTTCTCAATTTTGTCGTGACCGCAAAAGACGTTCATGGTTTTGCCGTGACAACTTAAGATTTTATCTATTTTTCCGTGATCGCAGAAGATGTTCTCAATCTTACCGTGACCGCAGAATATGTTCTTGATCTTATCGTGACCTCAGAAGATGTTCTTTATTTTGCTGCAACCGCAGAAGATGTTTTTATCTTACTGTGACCATGTAAGATGTTCTTGATATTACCGTGACCGAGGAAGATGTTATCGATATTACAGTGACCATGAAAGATGTTCTAGATCTTATCATGACCTCAGAAGATGTTCTTTATTTTGCGGCGACCGCAGAAGATGTTTTTATCTTACTGTGACCATGTAAGATGTTCTAGATATTACTGTGACCGAGGAAGATGTTATCGATATTACAGTGACCACGGACGATGTTCTAGATCTTATCGTTACCTCAGAAGATGTTCTTTATTTTGCTGCGACTGCAGAAGATGTTTTTATCTTACTGTGACCATGTAAGATGTTCTTGATATTACCGTGACCGAGGAAGATGTTATCGATATTACGATATGTGGCTATTTAACAAAAAAACCACCCGTGCAGGGAAAAGGTTTTTGGACAAACTCCCAGCTGAGGTGAGGAATATTGATAATATTTCCAAATAAAAAAAATAAAAAACATTTCTTAACTGATAAAACACTTTATGGTTTCGAAGAATTGTAGGTTAGTTTGATTTAGTTTTAAGCCTAGTGACGCCATTCAATGTATGCGACTGTATACGATATGAATAAAGATATTTTTTCATGTCATTCATTTCATTTCACAGTGACCACGAAAGATGTTCTAGATCTTACTGTGACCGTGAGAGATGTTCTTGATATTACCGTAATCGCCATATTAATTAATTATTTTGCCATGACCAAGAAAGATGTTTTTGATCATGCCATGACTGCGGAAGGTGTTCACGATTTCACTGTGTCCACGGATGGTGATCGCAATTTCACCGTGACCGCAGACTAAAACAGGTTTTACAGTGCGAGTTCAAAGTTCAGGCACAGTTCCTGATTCAATAAATTTATGCAAACTTCCCGGGATTCTCAGTCTGTATTGTTACCCTGGTAGGGTCTCAAAGGGGAGACTTTATTAATTCAAATTCAAATATGAGACTCAAGCCCCCTCTTGCCTATACGGATGGACGCCTATGCTTTTTGCCCAAACATCCTAATTATACCACAGCAAGGCACGGCTTTTGATAACAAGTTAAAATAGGTCTTCTGAATTTGATCTTGTTAAAACCTGTGAGTTTGTAGAAAGCTTTAAAGGCTAGGTATAATTCAAGATGTAACCTGCTATACTTTCCCAAAAATAGTATATTTCATCACTAGGGTAGAACCGGTAAGTCACCCCTCAAGTTAAAGTTTTTTTTTTGCTGCAGTAGTTATGAAAAAGTGATTTAGTTTGAAAAATCATCTGTTTTACTTACTGTCAACCAGATAAAAATAATTCTTACCTCCTGCTTCCCTATATCCTCAAAATTCATGAAAGTTGATTCATTATTGGATTCTTCCTTAGCAGTGTCTATGTTCTGAAAAATCAGGTTTTTAGTGACTATAGTTTTTGATTTTGGATAATTATGGTAACCACTGACATAAGCAAAATCCAGGGATTTAATCTGCAATCCTAATCCTAAAAACTTAATCACTAATAAAGAACACAACTTCAAATATGTAATAAAAATACAACAGAAAACGTTCTGTAAAAATCATAATGTTTTTTTTTTCTTAGGTTCTTAACTGTTAATGCTAGTATTACAGCAACATTATGAGCATCTCAGCGATCGCTGTATATACTGTGATAATTTCTGGTGATTGTAGCCACAACGGTAATCACATCTTTTAATTGCAGCTAAATTTGTGAAGATTTCCTGTATTGTAGCAACAACCATGAACATTTCTTACGATTGCCACTACACCCGTGATTTTTTATAGGCCTAGTTTCCTGCAAACATGATTGCTGATGATGCAAAACAAACAAAAAATAATGTTTTGGGGCAGATTTTTCTATGATTATTCGAAAGTTAAAATTTCCCAGACCCTTAAAAATTTACTAACGATTCACAGATTTTTACCAGTTGCCTACAATTCCCGGTTTTTCATGTATTCAGGTCGGCTTGAAACCACATTTTAACATACAATCACACTCTAAAATCGACTTTAAAAAGCAAGGTTTATAACCAAACTAGATCTGCATAGACCTGTATAAACAATTAATTTATTAGGCCTACAGTAGGTAGTAACCGCAATAGCGATAGAACAAAAGTCTCTAGATTCCAAGGAAATGTCGATTTAACTTATGGTTTTTCAGAGCGGGTGATTTGACCTTCATTTTTAGACAGAAATTATTAATCCTAGTGGGCAGCGACAGGGAAGTGAGGGTCTATTGTATTGGAGAAATGAATAGATAACTTTTTAAAACTTAGATGAGAAGTATTATTCCTCGTAAGGTAGCCTACAGTGGACTATTTTTTTAAAAGTTTTACCTTTAAACTTTGCTGTTTAATGTAGATCCTTAAAGCAGAATCTGCTTGCTCACACTGGTACTTAAAATCCAAACTTTGCTCGAAATTATACAAACAACTGTGGCACATGAGGGATGGTAGGCTATCATCCTCCTCCATCTGAAACAAAACATCAACAGATAAAGATAAAGGTTTTACAAGTTCAATTTTGGTACTTAAAAACTCAAAATTTGTAAGTTGTTTGATTTGAGTTTAATTTAAAAGATTTAGGCCTAATAATATAGGTAACCTTCTATTTAATAATATAGCCTACGTTAGATGTTTTTCCCTAATAAAATAAGTTAGGCCTAACTCTTACTACAAATCATAATATGCATAACATGCAAACCAGAAAATGTAAGCTCCAGCCACATTTAACTTCTGCATAGCATGTGTGTAACTTACCGTGGCAGTGTAGCCTAGGCGTATCATTAAAGTAACCAAATGTATATATACATTTAATGGGATATTTGGATTCAGGAGGTAAAAAACTATAAACCAAGGTATCAAAATTTAAAATTCATTTGAAGGCGCCTAGGCCTATACTAAACAATTACCGTCTCTCTTACAAACATTTCATCCAATAATATATCATAGGAGGTACACATCCACAGAGAACCTACGATATATTATCATATGACGATAAATATTTAAATATGCCTATATATATTTTAATCTGGTTCGATATTAATATCGCAATGATTTTAATTTTATCATATGATATAAATAAAAAAACAATAACAATAACATTAACGAAGCTGTTTATTCCTTAGTTTCCACTTAAATATTTTGGAATATTTTTGAAGAACAGGCTAGCAATTGATAGGTTTTCAACAGGACATTTTCAATTTGAAATATTTTTTATTATTTTGAAATTGAGGCTAAGTAGGTAGTCTACTATCTATTAATATATTTGGATTATTTGAAATTTTGATGCTACATTAACTTTATTAGATATATAAAAGAGTGTTTCGGTCATAATCCGTTACCATCACAAAGATAAAACATTTTCAGGCGGTACGTGCCCATAACTTTATTTTTTCTAATTACACTTGTATAACTTAATAAGTTAAAACCTTTTATAGGTACCGGATAATAAATAATGAAAAATACAATTTAGAAAACGTTTGTGTTCGCACGCTAGGCCTATACAAATTTAGAGAAAACACACAAAATAGTAGAATATAACTAACTTACTGCAAATTTTAAGCTGTACGAGAAGTTTGGTTGGTTAGGTTGGGTTAAGTTAAATATCAACTGTTCTAACCAAACCAAACTTCTCGAACAACTACAATTTGTTTTTTGAGTAGGGAACTGAACTAAAATTAATCGTTATCTCATTGTTGGGACAAAGTTCAACAGTGATTCATTACCGCGGGCCGCTGCTATGGCGACGCTACACAGTGAACAGTTATCCCTCCCAGACATATAAGTTAAGATAAGACTGACAACGATGCTGTCGTAAGTTATAGACTATACCTGGAAATTATACCATTCTAGGCTACTAAACAAAGTATACTTCTGTCATAGAAAAACTACGTTTTGTACACTTTAATGTTAATTTTCATAAGTTTTAGACTTGTGGGCACATAAGGGATTTTGACCAGCATTTCCAATAAGAAGTAACTTTACGCAGACTGTCAGTCCACACGTTGGTGTTACTTTTAGCCGCGCCTGTACTGGAGGGTTAATTAGTATCAAATATTGTTGCAAATAGGCCTAGGCTACCTTAATCTTATCACTTGCTTGAATCAAGAATCAAGAATTTATTGACCATTCAACAATTACATGCTATCAGTCTCGTCACAAAAAAAATTACAAAATGTTGCAAAAACACACACATCAATAAAAGTCAAGTAGCATACAAGAAATAAATAAATTAATAAATTACGTCTGCATCATGCATCACATACATGCATAAATTACAAGGTACATTTACATAAATGGCTACACAGTCAGCAATGGTCTACAATAATGAATAGTCCAGATCAAAAAATTCACAAGGGTTATAAATCAAGAATCAAGAATCAAGAATTTATTACAACAATTTACAAAAAAACATTTTGTATAGTTGAGGTCAATATGAAATGTCCTGTGGTTAGCATTAGGGCCTATAACATTCAATAACTAGGCTACTTTAAATAATTTAAACAACAAAGTAAGTTACACAGATTTAAGGCCTACATCAGTCAGAAACTAAAAACTAATATCAATGCCAGACATGAAAAATTCACTTAAACTATAAAAAGGGTGATTTAATAACCAGCAGAAAAGTTTACTTTTAAATAACTTAAGATCAACACCGTGTGCCTCAGCTGGCAAACGATTAAACATCTTTAACCCTATATAAGAAAAAGACTCTTGTGACTTTGTTAGCCTGACTAAAGGTAACTCTAAATTATTCCTATGTCTAGTAAAATAACTATGTGAATGTGATCTCAAGGCTACAGCATTAATATTAACTTTTACATAAACAAGACACACATAAATAAATAAATTAAAAACAGTGAGTATTTTTTCCTGAATAAACAAGGGTTTGCAATGGGCTCTGTACTTAGAAAAAGTAATGATTCTTAAAGCCTTCTTTTGTAGGAGCAAGATTCTGCTAACATCATGACCACAGCCCCACAGCAAAATACCGTAGCTTAAAATACTATTAAAGAAGGCAAAGTAGGCCATCCGTAGGTAGTGTCTAGGGATTAATTTTTTAAGCTTGCGGAGTAAGTAAATAACTCTTGAGAGCCTACTACAAACATGGTCAATGTGCACACTCCAGCCTAATTTAGAATCCAGGTATATACCCAATAATTTAACATTATCACAGAGTTGAGGAAAGTTTAAATCATGGTTACTTAAACTAAATAAAATAGATTGAGTCTTACTATTATTCAATAGAAAACCGCTACTTTTGAACCAATCGTTACATTCAATGAGACAGTTGGACATATAAACATTAAGATTATCTAAACTGTGATTAGGTCTACTGCAGAAAAAAGTTGAATCATCAGCAAAAATTATAGAATTACAATTTACATTAACAGGCAAGTCATTAATTACAACTAAGAATAGAAATGGGCCAAGGACCGATCCCTGGGGCACGCCACTCTTCACTACCGACACCTCAGAGAGCTTATTGTTATACAAGACTTTCTGAGTGCGGTTGGCCAAATAGGTCCGAAAAAAGTTTAGCTCAACACCTCTTATGCCGTATTGTTCAAGTTTTGTGAGAAGGATGTCGTGCGGAACACAGTCGAAAGCCTTTGAAAGGTCACACATGGTGGTGAGTGTGCTTTCATGCTTTTCAAAACCATTTAAAGCAGCAACAACAAGGCTACCAACTGCGTCCACAGTTGACAGTCCCCCTCGAAAGCCGAATTGGGATTTAGAAAACAAATTATTTGATTCAAAAAATTTAGTTACCTGGTGTATCACAGCCTTTTCCAAAATTTTTGAGAAGATCGGTACAACGGAGATCGGTCGATAGCTCTCAGGACATAAAAAATCACCTTTTTTGAAAATAGGCACAACTTTAGATAATTTAAGGGATTCTGGAAAATTACCAGACATTAAACAAATATTGATACAAAGGGTAAGTGGGGATAATATCACAGATAGCACTTCCTTGATGAGAACACTGCTGATATCAAAGATATCACGGCTTTTACTATTTCTTAAGCCAATCACAATATTTGCTACTTCCTCACTAGACACTGGCTTCAGAGTGAAATCTGGTACGTTGATGGGCACCTTCATCATATTTTTAGCAGCAGCAATGGAAGGCGGCACTTGGTTGCGGACATCATCAACCGAAGAGACGAAGAAGTCACTGAAGATCTGCGAAGTCAGTGAGTCAGCCGATGGAGTAGTTTTCCCCGTGGATGAATTATTAATTAACTCCCATGCACGTTTGCATTGGTTGGGCGCATAGGATATATTGTCAGCATTAGACTTGAGTTTTGCCTGGTTAAGAGCTCTCCGATAACTTGCTTTTGCTTCGACATATCTCTGTTTAGCAGTGACAACTAAAACATTATACCTTTCTGCCCACTGCCAAAAATCGTAAAGCTTTTCAACTTCTCTTCGCTGTTGGGTTAGTTCATGACTGTACCATTTCATTTTAGTTTTATTCTTACTGTTTATAGGCTTAACAGTCTTAAAGGGGAAGCATTCCTTCATAGCATCCAGAAAAGTAGAGAGAAACTTGCAAAAGATATCGTCCTTATGATTAGATAACACTTCATCCCAGTTTACGTTTAACAGAACCAACTTGAAAGATTCTATTTTAGGTCTACTGAAGTCCCTGATCAGCTTAGGAGTAGGTTTTACATGGTCGATATTTTTAGCCAGACAGATCGATGTTAACAGAGCATTGTGGTCAGACAAGGGTGGTGAGAGAACTGAAGTGTTTGTATCTTCTTCAGGTAAGTCTGTAACCACATTATCAATGCAAGCACCTCCACGGGTAGGCTTAAAGTTTAAACAACGACAGTTAGAAGAACGCAGGACATCAAGAAAGTTTACAGTAAGGCTATCCTTAGAGTGAACGTCAATATTAAAATCGCCACAAGCTATAATTGGTAGGCCAGCTTGTGATAAATATATCATAAGCCTATCAAATCCATCCAGGAAAACATTGTGGTTACTATTGGGGACCCTATACAATGATGCTAGGATTAATTCCACAGTAGGCTGCTGCATACTAACCTTCACACATACAACTTCAAAGTCACTCTCAATACAGTAACTGCTCACATCAATTTCTTGGTAAATTAGGCCGCACTTTGTGTATATAGCAACACCACCTCTGGTCTTATCAGTTCGGCAAAACATCGATGCACAATTGTAGCCCTCGATAACCGCTAAGTCTCTGTTGGACTCAGTAAACCAATGCTCACACACACAGAGGATGCCTACGTCATTAATGTTCATTAATACCTCTACTTCGTTAATTTTATTGGCTAAGGACTGAGCATTAACAGAGAGAATATTCAGCACTTTATTGGATTGACCCCTTAAGGCAGACTCCAAAACACTTACCCTGTGGATAACTGGGTCTGTATGTTCGAGTTTAAATTACCAGTACTTGCCCTGGAAGATTTTATTGCTCTGGTAATGAACTTTGATACATATATATCCCTGGGCCAGAAATCTGAGGTGTAAGCCTCGTTTAACAGGCTTGCCGGAATTCCAACTTTAAAAGAAGAGTAATCTTCGGGATGTCTGGACGTTAACTGCTCCACAACATATTCGGCTTCTTTTCTGCTGATAAGATAATCCTTCACATCAGTATCCTTAGTGTTAGGTCCAAAACGAGAGACAAACAGAAAAACCTTTCTGCTCGCAGTTGTGAGGTTATGTGACACAGTCGAGCTACCTGTTATGAATTGTCCACTTCTATTCTTAATAGGCCTGTGGCCCTTGACATTTTCGTTTGATGCACTCTGATTCAGACTCGACACATTTCTACCTCTTTTCCGCGGTCTAACCTTCTGAAAACTCTCACCGTCATTGCTTGGTGTAGGCTCTTGGCTGCCATCAATAGTTGTATGTAGGCCTATATTTCCATCTTGAGATGAGTTAGAGTTAGTACTCTCCCAAACTGTCCCAATGGTCAGATTTGTGACACCCTCAGACTGGTTTACGTTACTAATTGAATTGGAGATACTAGTATCGGGCCCTAGGCTACGAGATACATTGGACCCATTACAATTACGATCACCCGTCACTGTTTGTTTAGTGTTAGGCTTGTCATTTGCAGTAGACAAATGGAGACCTTTGTTTGTTGCTAGAGCCGACCTAGGCCGATGACCGATGTTGGATGTAGGCCTACTGGTAGTCATTTTATTGGTAGAAGAGAGATCTAGGCCTGATCTTGATAGGCTGTGAGCACTAGGACCACCCACAGTTTCACTAACTCTAGGACGTTTTAACATTCCAGCATATGATATGCCATCGTTAAGTAATAAATCACCAATAGCTTCTTCTTGGCTAGTCAAAGCAGAGGTTAGTCTGACATTGTCAGACTGGAGTTCACTAAGTTGTTTTCTCATTTCAACTTGATTCTTTGTGAGTTCAAACATTTGATCAGTTAAAATTTTGATATGATCAAAACAGCGGCAACAATTTTCACTTTCACTATCCTTTAATTCAATATTGACGATTTGATTACCAGTGTTGCTTTCCTTTGCCTTTAGGTTAGAACGAGAGCAAAGGCTACATAACCATGAAGACTCGACACCAATATTACCAATATCTTTATTGGATTTACCCGCACATTCAAAATGGAACCAAGAATTACAATTTCCTTGACATTGAATTCCACCGGTACTTTTAGTTACGTTTTTACTACAGCTTCCACATTTAACCAACTGTCTTCCACCCGCCATCTTGATTTTTTTTTTTTTTTTTTTTTTTTTTTTTTTTTTTTTTTTAAATAGGGCTGTTAACCAAAAAGTGTTTAATCAGCCTGTCTTTAAACTTGTTTAGTGGCAGGTCTTTGATTGCAGTAGGAAGAACATTGTACAGCTTAAGTGCAGTTACCTCAAAACTTTTTAAGGTCCTGGAATAATAATTGTAGGCTACTTAATAAATATGTGATTCTTTTGCCTAGTAGAGTAATTAGCCTGTGTAGATTTTCACATAACAATAAATTGTGGACATTCTTTTTCACATAAATTAAGCAGTCCAAAACATAAATAGCTGGAAGAGTGAGTAGTTTTAACTGAACAAACAAAGGCTTGCAGTGTGCTCTAGGCCTAGTTCCACACATTATACGTACAGCTCTCTTTTGCAGGATTAGTAATTTAACAACAGAGGAGTGGTTACCCCAGAGAATAGTGCCATAGGATAAATGACTAAATATGTGAGCATGGTAAACAGTTACTAGTGCATCAATGGAAACAATCATAGGTACTCAAAACTCTAAGCAGAAAAATACCTCTACATATTCTGTTTACAACAGTGTCAATGTGAGTTTCCCATCCCAACCCAGGCTCAAGATGAATTCCCAAAAACTTAACAGGGTTTGCTTTAGCAGCATTGAGACGGCTTGAAAACCAGAAGGAAGGCTGTAGGCCTAAGTTATTTATTTTATGCTTGGCTTGGGTACAGTTTCTTAACTGGGCTATGCTAATATTGATTGAAACTATCGATTTGATTAGTAAACCTTCGTGCGGTTTTTTCACCATCAGCAAGTTTGGTTGGTTAGGTTAGGACAATAATAGGTTTTTTACATACCTCAGTCAAATAGTCCAAAAATGGTATTGCTCAACAGCTTACATGTTTCGTTGCGATGACAACATTATCAAAGCTTGCAACTCGTCAAAAACACATTTAAAACACGAACACGAACACAAAGACATTAATACGGTACGAATACACAATTGACATTTAGATAGCGCTATCATACTGATTTGGTCCGGCGCGGCGCGGGGCTGGTAGCAGACTCAAAGGTACATGTCTGCTACCAGCCCCGCGCCGCGCCGGACCAAATCAGTATTATGATAGCGCTATCTAAATGTCAATTGTGTATTCGTACCGTATTAATGTCTTCTGTGTTCGTGTTCGTGTTTTAAATGTGTTTTTGACGAGTTGCAAGCTTTGATAATGTTGTCTTCGCAACGAAACATGTAAGCTGTTGAACAATACCATTTTTGGACTATTTGACTGAGGTATGTAAAAAACTTATTATTGTCTTAACAATATAGTCCAGGGGCCGAAACATGAATTTTGGTTAGGTTAGGTTATGATAGTTTAATTTTAGGTAATTATAGATATTATTTTCAATTTGATAGTTTCAATCGATGTTAGCATTGCCCAGTTAAGAAACTGTACCCACAGGTAGGGCTAAGTTTACTTAGAAAGTTAACATTGATTAGGACACTTTGAAAGCTAAAATGAAATAAAAACTGTTTACCTACCTCAACAGATATTATTGTTTTAATGTGAGTCGATAATCCAAAAAGACGATCATTTGCACTATGACCAAATATTGGCAATAAAATATTGCGATCAGATAGGCAGAATCTGCAAATTCTTTTTAGATTCAAATACTCCAATTTTACGTTTTCAAATTTGCTCACTCGGTTTCTCATACTGATCTTCTAAGTCAGGCGATGCCTATTTACTATTTATTGAAACTAGCACAAGTATTATATTATAGAGTTTATACACTTAGGCCTAGTCCTGTCATATTTACATTCATTTGGATGGGTTGCACATTATGACATGACATTAGGCTATTATCTTGTATGTTGGATCGATAAATCAAAGTCTTCAATAAGTTATAAACTCGTATTAATAGCTCTTGAATGTAGGTTTTGCGGTACAGTGATTGTTGTAATAATTGGTTGTTAAATTTGTATATAATTAGGCCTAGTCTGAGATATTTTAGTGATTTCTGATTTGCTTCTTTACTTTACTTTTACTATGGCTTCATTTCATTTTTGGCATCTATTTTTTTTATTATTATTAATAGCATTATAGCAGACGACGAAAAAAGAATAACAACTATTAGTCAGGCTACACAGAGTACAAGTACATAGAAAAGATCATATAATCAACATATTGGGTAAAGTGAACCAAAGATTAAAGATACTCTTTTGAAATACCCAGACTGAAATTAATTGCTTCAATTATTAATTCTCAGTGCACTATTTATTCTTATTTAATTTTTAGCGAATTTCCCTAGAGGGAAGTAGCTATTACCGTCTTACATCTTACATACGTCCTCTTCATCGCAGTCGTAGAGACTGGAGAATCGTCATTTAGTTCTTTCTCATTTCTTCTTATAATAGCCCTATGTGGTAGTTATAATCTTCATAGAACTCTTTGATGGTGTAGTACTATTATTATTATTATTATGTTATTCAAAGTAGTGTGATTGTTATTGAATCAAAGCAAAGCAGAAATTTTCCTTTTAACCTTGTATCGTTTATTATTTAGTCAATGTGGTTATTTCATGTTAAACATTCCTTCAACACAACAAATATCCTTCAAATTAGAAAAAAATACTTCGATATATTTTCATCCATTTCTAAGTTCAATCCTTTTTTTAGCCTGAGTGAAAATTTAAAAACGTACGTTTTCATGTCCCTGGCCTTTTACTTCGTAGATACTGGATATGTAGTTTATTATTATGTGTTTTAATATTTTTTGGGACGGGGGCAACATGTTACACACATTTATTTGGTTTTAAATAGGTTCTAGGTATTTTTTTCGTATTTTTAAAGTCTCGAAATTCACGACCATGACGTGTCCCTAGGGTACATTTTCCAACTTTCACGCTGTTTTTTAGACTAATTATTCATGCCGAAATATATAAAGCCATATTTTTTTGTCATCAATGGTTATTAAACTTACAAAAAAGGAGCATATTATAATTTTATTGTCATTGCAAACTGACTACCATGACAAAATAAGTCTGTCCCTCGATTTGGCGTCACGACCATTTGTGAAAAATTTTCAACTTTGAAGCACGACAGTGGCAAGCCTGGCGTCGATGGAGTCAGTTGGTTTTAGAGACTAGTTCGGGGTGTACGTCAGGATTGTAGTGCCGGTCGTTTTGAGTTGAAATTAGGAATTACAAGATTAATAAAGGAAAGATTGTGTTTTTTGTAATTTTGGTGTGTCCATGACCGTAAGTAGTCATTCGATGAAGTAGACATGGTGTTAATTTTTGTTTATAAGATATTTCAATTGCTAGATTAACCTAGAAGTTCACTTTGTATCCTCGAACATGAGGTGCAGGGCTACCACCAGAACAGAGCCAAATAACACGTAATTTCACGACCAAAGTTTCACGACCATCGCGGGTTTTTTCACGACCAATCCAGCCTTATGGATTATAGTGTGTTTGGTCGTGACAATAACTTTAATATAATTGTAATTTGAACAGTTTAGTTCAATTGAAACACTTATTTTTATTATAACTAACAGTATAATTGAAGGATTGTTTAGAAAGATTTAGATTATTTCAGAAAATTCACGACCGTACCGCTTGTCCCTGACCATCACGTTTATGATTTCTATCATAAAAATTTCAAAAGTTAAAATATCGTCATATTTCAATGTTTTATACACAAAAGAAGCACACCTTTATACAAACATAGCGATTTTTCGGGTCTCAGGTAAGTTTTTTCGGAGTTATACAAACTTAAAAAGATTTTATTGGCTTTTTTTCAATTTTTTGAGTTTTTTTCTAGAAAGACCAAATATACCAAAAGCTCAGTGACCTTTTTAATGTATAATGGTCATAAAAGTAAATTAGTTTATAGCAGAACATAGTTATAAAAATAATATTAACTATTTTTAATATTCATTTAAACGTCTGTTATGGTCGTGACAGGATTTTGTGTTTTTCCACTAAAGATGCTCTTTTTTAAAAAAAGTACCAAAGATATTGCGTTACCATCGACATTTTATGAAACTTCAAATGTTAATGAAATAAAAATAATAATAAAAGTTTTGAAAAAAGGGGAAAAAAATTTGCAAAGTGCTTTTTCCTGAAAACGTACGTTTTTAAATTTTCACTCGCCTACTCCCATGATTCTTTTACTTATCGCATGCTTAACTAATTTATATAAAAATAGATAGGCTATATTTGAAAATTTTCACAGTAACATAATTTATTTCTCAGACGTGACTAAATAGTCTTAATTATTATAGGTAACGTTATCCCTGGTTGTATATACTATAGTAGTATAGAGTACATTGCAGAATTACTGGCAAATAAGTAGGTAATCCAAATGTTAATATCCTTCCTCCATGTGTGTTCCCTCAAGATAAGAGAGTGACGTCACGCCATGACAGCCAATAGAATTGTGCATCACACAGTGTTGCCAGCTTCCAGTGAATTCCCCCATTCCCCGGAATCCGGAGAATCTGTTTTCTTTTTCTTTTTTTTTCTGTGCCTAACAGGCAAGACTTTCAAACAGAATGTGGACTAGTAACCCTAGACTTGAGAAGGAAGACCCTTTCAGAAAGACTAGTGTACAAAATATTAACACATACGAACCATCCTAGCTTTGAAAATTTATCGTATTTAATGCTGCTCACAAACAGCTATTCCTTCTGGGGTGAAAAGAAAATACCTTTGTATATAAGGGCAATGGACACAGCAAACTCTTTAAACCCGATACATAACCAATATATTGAATTTACAATGATACACGAACTACCACTACCAATAGAACTGATACAACTCAAATTAGAATGCAATACAATGATAAATAATAAGCCTATAGATAAGAAAGTTAGTAACAACATCTTAATACAAGAATGGAACGAAATGCTTAACATAACCTATAAACATAAGGATATCTTTATTTACACAGATGGGTCAAAGACTAGCGAAGGTATAGGCTCGGCTTTATATGTACCATGTAGCAATACTAGGCTAAACTTCAAATTAAATGATAAAACTTCCAGTTACTTTGCGGAAATTTATGCGGTGTATAAAGCTATAGAATATACACGAATTTTCAATAACAAAGAAATTGTTATTTGCACTGATTGCCAATCAGTTGTAAGGAACATTGAGCATGCAATTCATGGTGACTCAAATTACAAGGACATGGTTTTAAACATAATAAAAGAAATTATTAATAATAACTCCAATAGATATACCATACAATGGATACCTGGACATGTAGGCATAAGGGGCAATGAGGTGGTTGACGAATTAGCAAAAGCTGCAATAAACAACGAAATTCAACAAGAATTCTACGTCACAATTGACGACCTTAAATCATTTCAAAGAAAAAGAGACGATGACATTATGAATCATAAATTAATAACAACATACAAAGCACAATGGTACAAAAAAATCAATATATCATTTCTCAGAAATCCATGGTTCAAATCGACAAACATGAACAGAAATGAAATTATAAATATATGTAGAATAAGATTTGGACACGCTAATGTAAATTATTGCTTATACAGAATAAAATGTTATTTTACACCGCTATGTTTAAAATGCTCAATGGGAACAAATGAAACTCTGGACCATCTCATTTTACAATGTCCTCAATATGACTTCGATAGAGAAAAATATCTTAAAAAGACCAAAGAATACAGCAACAATTTTTCAAAGAACCTAACCGACACAATGAAAATTGCAGATGAAAAAATCCACGCTGAAATAAACAAATACTTAAAAGCAATAAAGAAAAGAATATAAAAACATGCAAACCCATATCACAAAACATAGAACACAAAACACAGCTCAACAAGTACATATATGTTTTCTCAATCCTTTGGGTGCTTCATCCGTGGCCAACCTTGTTTCGGGTTAGGACATTGCTTGATCGGCCCCAAGCAGAGAAGAGTCACCTTAACCTTCCATTTCATGAAATCCGTCAAATCTTTAGAATCCCGAATCCTACTTTTAATTAACAAAAACAACATACACCACGATATACCACATCTATGACAAAATCTATTCACCATTGAATTATCTGGAAAATAAGATTGTGTGTACCAACGGACAACCACAGAGAACATTGAGGTCTCATGGGTAAAAAAACCCAGACAACCTTTTCGGCAAGGAAAAAAAAAAAAAAAAAAGACTTGACATAGCAGTCATGAGTCTACTTGGGTTATAATTTATTACTTATCTTGTTATTAATTTCTTCTGTGGTTGCCTGGGCTGGTTATTTTGACACTTCTTTAACCTGAGAACATATATTGATTGTTAGTTACACATACATGTATTATGTTTATAGTATTTTTGATGTTTCTTTGTAAGTATGTTTAGGTTAGTTTGTGTTCCATGTAAAAGAAGGATATCAATCTAAAGGATGGTTTTATCAGGATTAAGGGTTAGGGTGCAAAATCTTCTCGGCCAGGGGTCTGTCAGGCATAACCTAACCCGAAAAGGAGGGGAGACCACGGAAAGAAGAACCGTCGGCCACAGGAAGTATGTATTGTGTCTCAGTGTATGTTGTTGAATAGTCTCTTATGTATTTCATTTTCCTTTCTCTCAAATGTTCTTTTTGATAATGACCAGGAAACTTGATAGTTCTTTATAAATATTGCAGTCTAGACTTGATAGAATTGTCCTAATTTTTTCTTCATTGCTATTGCCGTTTATTTCATTGATTCTTTTAAAACATTTGTTTCTAGCATATTCATACTGTGGACACTCTAATATTACATGTTGTATTGTCTCGACAGATCCTGTTGAGCATTTCATGCATTGAGGGGAGAAATATAATTTCAATCTATGCAGTGTTTCATTTAAGGTTGTATGTCCAATTCTAAGCCTTATAATGTTGATAATGTCAGTTCTTGCCATCCTAATGCCATTGAACCATGGGTGTGCAAGACTATTTACTTGTATACAGTATACTCCTATACCATCTAGCTTTGGTCGATGAATGTAATGTTTCATTTTTGTGTTCTTGTATTGATTTCCTCTGATAGGCTTTCAGATCTGACATAGGTAGATTTATACCATTAATTTCTGTTCCATGTTTAACAGCTTTATTCCGTCCATTTTCCGGGGTTCTGAAATTTCCGGGGGATCCTGGTTGCTGTATTAGCGAATTTCCCTATAGGGAAGTAGCTATTACCGTAGGTCTCATGGTAAGACTTAGGCCCGGGACCGATTTACTTTTTCATTTTGATGTCCCCAGAGGCCAAAAACACCATTCGTTCAAATAAATTTTTATATATGTATATATATATAGATTTATATATATATGTGTCCGTGAACACGATAACTTGAGTAATTTTTATCCGATTTTGATGAAATTTGGTTTGAAGGTGTAAGGCGGGATAAACTTGAATGAGTTCGCGATCCAGCATGATCGGACCATGGGAACAGGGTTTTATGGGCTAAAAATTGGGTTTTCTCACTTTTGACCCTGAAAACACAAAATTTCCCAATTTTTCTCTAAACCTTCTTAAAGAGCTTAAAAAAACAAACAATTCAGTATATCAAAGTGTTTTTGTACAGTTATTGGATACGGAGAAAACTAAAAAAATTGTAAATTTAAAATTCCCATGTTATTCTTATGGAGAATATTGTAAAATGTTGTAGTTTGCTTGTGTATGGATATCTTTTGTTCAAACTTGGCAAATATATTCATTTTCTACTAAGCAATAATTATTTTACTTAAAACACACACTTTATTGGTTTCCTTGTAGCAGCAAACCTAGGTACCCACTCGTTAAACCTAATGTTTTTTTAATAGATCGATTGAGAATCAATTCAGCCAAATGGAAATTCGCTTAGACAGCAGGTTTGCTGCGGCGGGGGTATTTTTATTTCAGGATTAGTTTTGCAAACAGTATCATTTGGAGGCTTCTGATTATTAGGCCCGGTTCACACGAACGACATACCTAGCAGACTAGGCTTGTACTAGGTAAGCACTAGGTAAGCACGACTGGGTAGCGGACCACAGGATCAAATGGAGCCGTTCACACGAGCCTAGGACGCCGACTAGCTACTCTTGTTCGAGCTTGTAGTCCCAAAACCTAGTCGGGCCCCGCTTCCCATTCCGTCGTGGCAACTACCCAGTCGCCCAATCGAACTACGTAGCAGTACATGTAGCCTTATGGGAGCGTTCACACGAGCGATCGGGTAGTCGAAGTGCAACTCGCATTCTTACCTTTGTTCTCATTGTGCACCAGTGATGTAACCGAGTGGTTTTGATATCGATAGTTTCACCTAGTCCGTAGACATGTCGCTCGTGTGAACCGGTGTGATCCTGTGGTCCGCTACCCAGTCGTGCTTACCTAGTGCTTACCTAGTACAAGCCTAGTTTGCTAGGTATGTCGTTCGTGTGAACCGGGCCTTACTCTCTGGGTCTGGGTTGAGATTCTTCTTTTTCCCCGGCCTCAGCATAGCACAGCTGTCCTGGCGCGAGCCTTTCAAGACCGGAAAATGCCGCGCTTCTGCGCATGCGCTAGTAACTGGTGGCGTAGCAGCAGCTATTTCAGAAAGTCACGGTCACTAACCACTAACTAGCGTCGTTGTCGTAGTATTTACCTTGACTGCACTGCAACTGCAACTATAGTTCCTCATAATTATTATTCATATCGTTTGTTATTCTTTATGTTATGATCGAGTTATGTCTGAGTTGAAGTTGGGGTTAATGTTATTGATAGATTTTGATTGCTGCTGTGTTGCGGAGGTCATTTATTATCGATGATGTGCTCCTTCTTCAATGCGAAGATTCTGAGAAATACGAATGGAAGACATCAATAACACTGGAGTACTTTGTAGTTTATGTGGAAAAGTATATTTTTAGTTTATGGACGAGAAGTACAGAAGTATTCCAATTAATAAGCCAGCTATGTTCAACAAGGCAAGGCCAATAAAATAATTTGTTTTATTCACTAGCGCTTTTGAATTGAAACCTAGTTTCTGAAAGCGCTAGTGAATAAAATAAATTATTATGTATTAGCGTTGTTGAACATTTACATTTTGTTATAAATTTCATTGTAAGCAAGATGCCAATAATTCTCAAAAAGCTTAGACCATTAAAAATGAAATGAGAATTGGGATCTTCTCTTTTGGAAAACATGTTTGGGTACAATGAAGATAGATGAATAGATGATAACGGTAACGTAGCTCACCCAAGTTACTTAAAATTTGTTTTATAAAATAAAGGAGGTGCCAGAGGTTACAGTAAGTAAAGTAACACATACATAAACATAATCTGTAAAATTCTTCATTCAGTTACAGTAATTAAATGGTTTGGAGTTAAGTGCGGGAGAACCGTTCCAGTTTCAAGTAGATTGTTGCAAGAGTTGCAGTGAAGATACTAGTGTGATTTTCTGAAACAGCTGCAGCTGTTACAAGTGCTACGAATAACGCTTACTTGCGCATGCGCAGATACGCGGCATTTTCCGGTCTTGAAAGGCTCGCGTCCTGGCATGGCATGGCAAAAGCAGCTGATGGATGATTATAATGTTCATTATTTGTAATGAAAACGAGACCTTGCCGTCAGACCACCACCGCCCACCACCGAGCCGTGCAGAACACATCATACCGTGCATAGCCGAATTGTTCGTGGGAAATTGTTATCTCTATCACAGTCGCTGTCAAAAAGTGTCGTTTGTAGGTTAAATTAAAATTAATTTAACTGTCATAACTTAACCAAACTAACCAAACTTGCTGATAATGAAAATTTTGAATTAAGGTTTACTAATAACAAAAATAGCTCTGTTCATAAAATAAAATTAAAAATGTCTCAAAATCAATTATATCATTTTTTTAATTATAAAATTAAACTATCATAACCTAACCAAACCAACCAAACTTGCAGGTAATGAAAAAAATCCAGGCAATAAGTTAGTGCCTCCGGTAGATTTCGAACTGGCTACCTCCAAATTATCAGCCCGGCGCGCTGTCCACTACACCACCGAGAACTACGGCTGTTCAACGTATCCGTATCGTTGCGGTAATGGTGTTCGCTCGAGCAGTGGTGGGCGGTGGTGGTCTGTAAGCAAGAGTTAATTTAATGAAAGACTATAGTATTGTAACAAGTTTTTCCTTGCAATTTTCTAATAAAATTAATTTGTAACCATCTTTGTCTAGAGTTGTCATATTTCACTTTTCCCCATCCCAGATCAATTTAAGAGGCTCTAGTCAATTTCTAGTCAAAATAAATAATTAAATAAATTTATTCCAGATCTGTTGAGTTAAATTATTTTGTCCATAGAAAAAGACTTGTAGAATACTGTAGTTAGTTACAAGAAACTTTTATTTAAATCTTACAATTAACAAACTTTTCTATTGACTCATATAGCATCTATGTGCCCGTTTCTTCACACAAGCAGGTAAACAGAATTAGCAATTTTATTTTTCTTGAATCAGAATTGTTTCAAACTGTAAAATTCCTTCTTAACCACATTTAAAAAAGTTAATTTATAAAAGTAACTTATAATTTTTCTTATATAAAAATTCATAAAACTTGGAAAAGTTAAGTTTTTGTATTTGCGCTGAAGTTTTCTCCCCAAAAGCTCCAATTTCAGTCTACGTTGCACTCATTGATAGCCACATTAGGATGGGGATCTGCTGCAGTACTCTAAATAAAAAATCTCTCATTACATTAAGGATAAAAGAAAAAGAACTTAAGAAACGATCCCAATCCCAATATCATATCAATAACTCCAGGGCTAACCCAAGCCTGCACACCAAACATTTCTTCACATAGAAAAAGAAACCCATGGCTCTATCCTTGAAACAATCAAATTCCTTGTAATTTCATATCTATGACAGCAAATACAATTATTCTTCCTACTTATATTCTTTTGGTACTGTAACAGATTAATAGAATGCTAATACTAAAACAATTCCGGATATATTTTGGGGCAACCGGAACCGGGGATACGAAAATTGATCTTCCCGGGGAATCTTTGATATCTTTCCTCGGAATTCCTTCTAGTCGTGTTGGCATTTGGCAACACTGATCACGCCTCACCCCGTCCCTTGCGTCCCGTGAGCCTTGCACGAAAAAACAATCACACAACACAATCACTCACACACAATGTCACAATAATATCATCATGGTAATGATTGAATCTGATTCTGAAATCGAAATGGAATGGTACTAACTAATGGTACGGTACGGTACAGGTACAATAACAATGTTGAATGTAGGAACCTTGTCAGTTATTTTGAGATACCTACGGTTATACAAATTTAAAAAATAAATTAGTAGGCTACGGTGTAAGCAAGTATCTTGAATAATGGACAAAGCAGGAAAATCCTTACAACAAAAAATAGACGACTACGAAACACAGGTAACCTAGGCCCAAAATGCCATTTTCTTTGGTTAGCTGTGTAGGCCATTGGTGTGAACCTGGCAATAACTCCAGCCATAAGTAGTGCGCCTACTTAGTGAATTGAATTTATTTACAATCCTTACTAGGCTAGATAACTCATTTATTGTTACTGCACTAAACAAGTTAATTTATTTATAGACAGGGCTCGATTTGCGGGGGAACGTACCTGTCTTTCGGGAAGATAAAATAAATGGGCAAGTTTATTAATCACATTAAAGAGGTTACAGTTTCTGCACCTCATTTTTTACAAATCAAGCACTGTTTATAGAAAAACTAGATAGAGTTTACTAAATATTTATTGTAGCCTACAAGGCCTCAAACATACTGCACTAAATATTAACCTAGTTTTTTAACCCTTTCAGTGCTATGTGACGATAACTTAACTTATATCATTGTGCGTCTTTTCCCTGAAAAGTGCTATGGATCGATATATTGTTGTTCGTGTTACATCCGAATTGTGCTTAATTAAGCGATGATATAACTTACCGTGCCGACTCAACTTTCGATCGTGTGAGTTTAAATAGGCATAAGTTACCCTATCCGTAGACTCGGTTGTTGTTTTGAAACCATTGGTTTCTTTCGATTCCTCATATGATCGAGGCCCGACATATCGTCCCTTAACACTTTTGAGATCTGAAAACATTTATTTTTGAGTTTTTTTTTTCTCACACACTAACTTAGACTTCACCCCCGTGGCAAGCCTACCACCATGGATAAAACATAGTCCCTTAGTAGATAAGTTATCCCATCCTTATGGAACAGCAGAAGCTAATTTTATTGTTAGCTCTGTCCGGTTTTGCGTAGATGTCGTGTTTTGTAGTAGGCCTAATTTGTTTCCATTATTTTAGGTTTAGTTTCTCATCATTTGTGACTTATTGTTTGGATATATAGCTAGTAGACGAGTTATTGTTTATTATTAGATAGTTTTATTTGGTTAAACAAGGTTTTAAATTACCGGTGCTGAAATAACAAGAAACAAATTGTACACGACTTCTACAGAAAACCGATAGTGGACTAGAGTCTTTGTAATATGGCTCGAATAGACAAAATCTCCAAAAACGGGATAAAAGCATTGCCAGACGGGATTTTACGGTCAATTTTAGTACCAACCTACACTAGAATAAAGCTCGCATTCTAAGCTACGGGCTGGTAACGATTACAACGTTCCCCGGCAATGGCGTAGCTCACATTGAAACAAGGTTGTTGCTATGCTAACATGACGGGCGCGCCCGCCAGACGCTTGGTGTGCCAACTGCGCATGGCGGGCCGGCCCGCCACTCGCGCACAATGTGTTAACAGGAAAGGATCTTTAGGTTCATTAAAATTACGTACTGTAGGTATTTTTTCATGGGGATTTAGGCTTACTTGCTTTAGTATTTCCAAGTTAATATTTGGTTCTCTTTGATTGGTAGATTTATACCTTTATTTTTGGAAATTGGCTCCCATGGCCAAACCATGGTAATGACCCACTATGGTAATGATGGTGGTGGTTCTCATTAAGCAACACTAATAACAATTGTAAAAGGGACATACACAGCGACTTGAGGACCTACTGAGCTCATTGCTACGGGTCTCTAGTGCCCAAACAGCCTTAAACAACAGTGCAGATTAACTTAGCAAGGCCCTGCATTAGTACCACAGAGTTAACTTAAGGTTCCATAGCTTTAGTTGTCATCCCCTTTTTAGGAATTCACGTTTAAGAGGGTATTCCTTAATTAACCTACTAAACAATTAAGTTAACATTAAAAATTTTAGGCCTATAAGTTATTTAGAAACAGGGAAACCATCATGAGTGGTACCAGTTTTTCATTGTTTTAAGGTTCAATGTAGTAATTACATTACTAATCAGGTATCTACAGAATTAGGTAATAGCAGGCTTTTGGTTTTTTATACACAGTTGATGCTCAATCTTCCCAAATTTAAGTTTAAAGTTAACCTAGCTAAAAGGATAATTAAATCAAAGTACCATTAGTAGGCCCTATGCCTATAATCAAAATTGCTATTTGATTCAAGGTTGCCTTAAAAAATACATTTAAAAAATAACAAAGTTAAAGGGTGAAATAAGACAAATGTGTAGAAAAGACCTGACATGTGAAGAGGCTAAAACTAATATAGTTCCTTTGACAGTTGTCGCAGATCAAAAGAGCCTTGTCATTAACTGAAAGTGAAGAAGAAAGAGGAAATCTATTATGTCTGGAAAAAGATTTGACAGAATTGATTTCACTGACAAGAGAAACTCTAAACACTATTCAAAAATCGCCAAAAAATGAACCAAATCCTAGTACAGACGATCCATTTTCGGCTGAATATGCACTCTTTAGGGTAAGTAACATTCCATTTTTTATTTTAACTAGATGAAACCCGTTGAAATCAACGGTTACTCCTAAGGTTTTATACAAAAATTCAGCTAATGGTGGATAGAATGAAGTTATTAAAATCTTGAATATTTGACTTAATTAATAAGTAAAAAAGGAAAGGTAAATATACTAATGAAGGTGATATTTCCAGTCATTTAATCAGCAACAGGTCAAGGCCCCACTAGAAAAAACAGGCCATGCTGCAGCGTGGGTAGCGCAACACTACGTCACAGTGGTGGATAGTTGTACTAAACTCTTACCATTAAAATCTTACAAACAGTCAGCTTGTTTATTTACCTAAAACATATGGGGATGGTGATGGCAATGAATTTATCAATGAAATCAATCCACTAGTGTGACGTCATGGATCCTGCAGCATGGCCTGCTTTTTCTAGTGGGGCCTTGAACAGGTGCCCCGAAAGTGGCGTGGAATCTTCTGTTTGTTTCTTGTTCATGAGTTGTATTCATGTTAGTTGTTAATAGCCTCTTTTACCATAGTACAGGAAAATACCCCCACCGCAGCAAACCTGACGCCTAAGCGAATTTCCATTTGGCTGAATTGATTTTCAATTGATCTATTTTTAAATAACATTAGGTTTAACGAGTAGCCTACCTAGGTTTGCTGCTACAAGGAAACTAATAAAGTGTGTGTTTTAAGTAAAATAATTATTGCTTAGTATAAAATGAATATATTTGCCAAGTTTGATCAAAAGATATCCATAAACAAGCAAACTACAACATTTTACAATATTCTCCATAAGAATAACATGGGAATTTTAAATTTACATTTTTTTTAGTTTTCTCCGTAACCAATAACCGTACAAAAACACTTTGATATACTGAATTGTTTGGTTTTTTAAGCTCTTTAAGAAGGTTTAGAGAAAAATTGGGAAATTTTGTGTTTTGAGGGTCAAAAGTGAGAAAAACCAATTTTTACCCCATAAAACTCCCCATAAAACCCTGTTCCCATGGTCCGATTATGCTGGATCGCGAACTCATTCAAGTTTATCCCGCCTTACACCTTCAAACCAAATTTCATCAAAATCGCATAAAAATTACTCAAGTTATCGTGTTCACGGACACATATATATATATATATATATATATATATATATATATATATATACATATATAAAAATTTGAACGAGTGGTGTTTTTGGCCTCTGGGGACATCAAAATGAAAAAGTAAATCGGTCCCGGGCCTAAGTCTTACCATGAGACCTACGGTAATAGCTACTTCCCTATAGGGAAATTCGCTAAAAGGAGGATAAGTTATATAATTGGATAAGTAATCTGTTGGAGAGAGTGCACGTTACTGATACCTAACTTGCTCCCATCTTTTTGAAAAAAAACAACCTTCAGATCGTATTTGGATTGTATTAGTGACATAGGTACATCAATTTTAGTGGGAGGTGGATTAAATTAAATAAGTTTTGATGGTTGATTTGATAATAGCACAATAAATTAATTAATTGCCTTCCCTACGATTGCATTTTTAATAGATTCATTAGAATAATTTTACTGCAGCCAACAAACAATTGTTTAAAGAATAACATAGGCTAGTTCAATTTAGAATATATTATACCGTATAAAACTAAAGTTCAGTTGGTCATGAACCTGAATTTCATACCTAATTATATGTATATGACAATGTAGCACTTTTCTTAAGGCAATCCTGTTTTCAGGCTGAGCTAGCAGAGCTGGAAGAAGACATAACATCCAACAACCCGGATGCCTTAGAACCAGGAACGTCATCCATCAGTGAAGAGAATCTCCTGCAGCTGCAGGTACTTTATTAAATACAAATTTAACATTGAATCCCTAGCATAATGTAAATACCCCCCGCTGCAGCAAACCTGGAGACTAAGCGAATTTCCATTTGCCTGATTGGATTTACACTAAAATGTCTACTTAAAAATATAACATTTATTTCCTATTTAAATAGAATTAGTTTAACAAGTACTTAGGTTTGCTGCATCAGGGAGGGTAAAACTGTTTTTTTTTTTTTTTGTAAAATGTTAATAGTTAGTATCTAACAAATAAAAACATTTTCCACATTTGATCAAAATATGTTCATAAACAAGCAAACTACAACAGTTTACTTTTTCTCCATAAGAATAATATAGCCATTTTAAATTTACATTTTTTTTTATTTTCTCCGTAACCATTAGGTGCATAATAATGCTTCAATATACTAAATTATTTGTTTTTTTTAAGCTACAAAATGATTTGGAAAGAAATTGTAAAATTTTATGTTTTTTGGGTAAAAAATGGGAAAAACCTATTTTTACCCCATAAAACCCCCCGTAAACCCCCGTTCCCATAGTCCGATCATGCTGGTTCGAATGTAGGTTTACACGTTTATGCCAAATTTCATCAAAATCGGATCATTTTTGCTCGAGTTATCGTGCTAACGGACACACATATATATATAAATACTAGCAGAGTACCCGTCCTTCGTACGGGGTTGGCGTATAAGTGTAAAATGTTTATTGAAGTTATACTCTAACTTAGATAAAATTAGCTTCTTTAAATTTACGGTATACTTAGTATTACACATCTACCATAGCAATAAAGTTCTACCTCTCCACCTAAACAATAGAGAAAAATAAATTATAAAAAATTCGCAAAATATCGCAAATTATTCATGCAATTAAAAACATAAACACAAATTTACACAATCCTACTTTGACAGTTCTCATTGCCTATCACAGTTTTTTGTGGCTGGTTAGTTCAAATTAGCTGTTTATATAAATGCAAAACAATAATAGTGCTGCACCCTGTTGGTAAATCTTATAACTTTTTAATACTTTTGCATATCATAGAACCAACTTTTTTAGTTGAAACATCTGACTAAATACTTTAATTCCCTTTAAATATGAACACTCATAAGGTTAACATGGGGAACTACAGAACCACTGGGGCGGAGCCTGAAACGATTTTTGAGATAAGAATATGCCTATATGTTAATCGGGAATATGATCTATCATCATGCCAAATTTCAGCCCAATCTGTGCGGTGGTTAATGCGTGATTGAACTTCAAACAAACAAACAAACAAACACACAAACTTTCACATTTATAATATTAGTAAGATATATATATATATATATGTTTTTGAACGGATGGTGTTTTTGGCTTCTAGGGACCTCAAAACAAAAAGAAAATCGGTCCCAAGTTATAATTATTATGCTTTATGTATAGTGCAATTCTTCATGAAGCATTGCATTTCTTGTTTCAAGTCCTATTCAACTTACTAAAACTGTATCAAATAAAATCTTTCAAACTAAATGTCACAGTTGGAAGAGTCAAAGATAAGAAGTGGTCACACACATTAATGTATCCTAATCAATCAGTGTTTTAGTTTGTTTTGTTTGAACAAAGTTGCATCTTGTATAGAACGAGACAGTTGGGTTTGTATAGAAATGTACGAGTGATTGGAAAGTTGTAGAGGGACTGTATGCTTTGAGGAGTATCCTTCCAAAATAAATTCCTAGGGATGGGCGTGTCCCAAATTTTATAACATTTTTGGGTAAAATATTGGGACTTTTTGGGGAATATATGTTCTCGATCTTAGTGTGAGATTCTTCGGGACGGGATTTGTTCTATCTGGCAGCAGTGATTTCCCCGCAGTCGCGAGTGACGATGATGAAGTCACTGCCATTGCAGGAGATGATTAAAATTTTGTGGCTGTTGCGGGAGATGATGTTGTTGTATTCGTGTTCTGAGAAAGTTTTTGCGAATTCGCCGTGATCGTGAATGAGTTCACGCTTTATGGTGGTTGACACAATCGTGGAAGAAAACGCTGGTGAGAATCATGTTTCACAGCCATGATGACATATAACAGTACAATAATGTGTGTTATTTTGTTGGTCCCTATTGTTATTTACAAGATTTCTAAAACAAACTAAAGTTTCCCTTGTTGCACAGGAAAGAAAACCCTCACCTGTCCTCGTCCCGAAAATCAGGAAGGAAATCAAAATTCTGTCTTTGAAACACTTAAACTAAAATCCTGTCCATTCCTAGAAATTACACATGATGGGGACCATTAGGCTAAGTTGTGATGGTAAGTTGTGAGTTTGGCTGTTCAGTGTTCAGTGATGATAATAGATAGGGTATCATTTTTGCATTACAATTAATGTTGTATTATATACCATAGTTTCAGCAGAATTACAGCAGATTGTAGTCAGATCATCGTTGTAGAATCCTATTGATAAGGAAAGTGACTTATCTGTTAAGTTTGATAAAACCATTGAATTTACTAAAATTTATTGTTTTAAAGTTGTTACTTGTTATTGTACCATATGTTATATACTCCTTTTTAATTTTATACTCTAAATACTCTATTTACTGTATACATATTCTTTAACATAGTCAGAAATTGTGCTAAAATAAGTCATTGATTGCAAATAAACCTAAGCTTTCAGCCCATGTAGGCTTATTTCTTGAAAGTTATTTGTTACATTGTTACAGTATTAGTTTCTTTGAGACCATTATATGATTTTATTTTATCACCCACACTATTAAAACTTATATTTTTATTTTTAACATTTATCAAGTTTTAAGCTTTTTTGCTTCATTAAAAGTGTACCTAATATTTAGTTTTGTTGTTGAAATAAACTGTATTTTGACTTGATATGATTTTGTTCCTTATTTTCTATTATTTAAACAAATAGGGGGGGAGCTGTTATGTATTCGCTAATCCAGGCGTCCCCACCCTAAGGCCCGCGGGTAGTATGAGACAACCTTTTTGTTAGTATTTTGCCCAAATTTTTTTCAATGTATTTTCTTTACAACCAAACTTCCTTTGGAAACACTGAAGACAGAACAAGGATTGGTAAACCTTAGCTAAATGTCTGATTATCTCATAAGACATACAATATGTCTTCTCAATCAATCTTCTCAATCTCATTTTACTAGACATAGGAATAATTTAGATTTACCTTAAGTCAGGCTAAGCAAGCCCCAAGAATATTTTTCTTGTGTTGTATCATTGACTTTATATCTACACTAGACTTCCCATAGTGTACTGTAATCCATCGCCAACAATTTCAGCCAAACTAGTCGAGCAAACCCTCCATGCAGTGTCGCTCCTAGCAGCCGTGGCTTGAAACTCGATCTGGCTCTGCCTCCAGTGCAGCGCGCGCACACGTAGTGGCATGACGTAACCGACGTGCCCGTGCGTATACCTCCCCCCACAAATCTCTCAACCCTCCCCCCGCAACCACCACCGCTGTACTGCCCGCCAGCCACAGACGGCCGGCGAATGCGCTCTGCTTATTCTTTGCAACACGCCGCCGGTATCTCCGAGCCCAAGCATTGTGCTCGCTCGATCGCACATCTGCCAAACTTACCTCTTTGAGAATACAATTAATTGGTTATATTTTTAGACTATGTAATTACGGAAAGTAAATAAAAGATACGTCTTATAACACTATGTAATTCCCAAGTAGTTTGTATACATTATTATAAAACTAAGGAAGAACCGTTTTGATGTAAATAAAATAATGATAAAATTAAATTGCTTTAACTATAAGCTTGGTAACTGTATTAATAGAATAAATACTGAAATTAGTGTGTACTTTTAAAATAGCTGATGGCAAAAACCTTTATAGGACATCTATTTAATACACAGTTGTAAGCCTGTTTTCTAAGTGACTACTGGACCGAATTACAAGATTTATATGCCAAATTAAAGGCAATAATACGCAACGCAGATTTGCCGAATTTCCTTATTTTACTATATACGTTTTTCAAACGCCCTTCAAAGGCTGAGTCATTACAATTCTTACTGAAGAATATGAAATCAGTTATAATTGTAAACCATTTGTCAGATGTGAGATGTTTGTTATTATTTTTATAACAGAACATTTGAATTAAAAAGGTAAAGAACAGTGATGGTGTTAAATGTGCTCTGGGAGTACCTTCAAAAACACTGACTTTTGAATTGGAATCGTTAAATTGGATTTGTCCTTTGTCAATACTGCAAATCTATGAATTTCGAGACAGGACAGACTAACAGGGGCACAAATACATTGTCCTCATGTTGTCCCAAGGGAAGGTAAAAGTAGCTCCTTATCAACATTCTGAGCTCATGGAAAATCTTATCAACAGGGGGGCTACATCCAATGTAAAAGAAACAAAAACAATTTCAAAAAACTATTTGAATAATATAAGATCATACAACTATACAATTTGTAGTGAGTTCTGCTTAGTCTCAATCAGATGAATCAAAATGTGATTTTCTATATAATTTTAAGATTAACGACTTCTTTTACCATAAGATAGGACCGTTAATACCCTCTAACATTGTCTTTTATTGCTCTTTTGACTCTTCTTATGGCTCTCTCTTTTGATAATGGTTTAATAGTGACTCTCTCAGTCTTTCTAGTTTATAACAATCGAAACCCGCTATTAGCGCACAGTTCGTAAAATACGATTTGTAAAAATAATACTGGAACAGTAATTAAAATCTGCTTTCAAGGACGACACTTGATGGCCATAAAGAACACACAGGGATGTTTGTATATTTATTGAATGTTGAAAGATGTTCACTAACATTAAACCTTTTATCAAGCCAAATATATTTTGTCGTTTCACAATGTTGCGGCTTATAATATTTTTGTAAAAGTATATATTTATTTAAATTTAATTTTGAGAACAGGAATCACAATAGGAAAACGCGCGAAACAGTTTTGGCAGGGGCGAAAAACCTTCACCTCCACGGCGCGTGCGCATGTCAAAACTCTTGGCCTTGAGACTATTTTTCACCGTGTTGGGGGCGAGAAAACCACGTTCTTAGACACTGCTGACAGTTGCGTTGTTGCGTTGCTGTATTGGTTAGCTGTGGATGTGAGTGATCCTTGAAAGATACATGACATCGTTCTTTGTGAGCCGTAGTGTTACTATTGTTTTGTTTTACGTTATCCGGTTATAAATTACGTCTACAGCAGTACATTGGATTGTTATTCTGCAATGGATATTAGAATTATATTTAAGTTATTGAGTTAAGATTATGTTACTATGTTAGAGGGATGTCTTGAATCATACTCTAAATACTATTTTACAACACACAGACACTCTGTTTTCCTTTTTTAATAGTATGGATGCTTAAATATTGTATGCCATCAATTATGTTGGATTTATAAATAATCATATTAGGCACCCTACCTAGTTCTGAATTCTTTTTGGGTTTGTTGAGCCTGTCGTTTAATGCTGAATAGTACTTTTTTCATTTTTAAGAACAAGAGAGCAAAGGCTCGAGTAATTTGTAAAATAATAATACATCCTCCAAACAAATTGGGAAATTACCGACGTTGTGAGGACAACCTATTGTTACTAGAGGATGGGTTTATTTGTTTTAATTGTCTGTTTCCGGTCATGCAATTTATATCTATTTGCCATTGAAAAAAGACTTAAATAAAAATTAAAAACAAATATAACGTGCCTAAGGTCAAGTGATTAAAAATAATTCATTTTTACTTCCTTATGAGGTAAGGAAGCTACAATAAGGGGGTGCACACACCCCAGATCAAGGAGGGAAGTGTACACCCAAAAGATAACTTATTTTACAAAAATATTTCTCAAAAATACAAAATTCATATTTTTAACAAAATAAAAAACCACATATACATAACATTCTAAAGAATAAGCTCAGAAAATTTTCTTTTTATATAATTACAAGACTGCATACAGAGTCCTTGCCACACTAATTACTATAAATTATAACATGGAAATGAACTTGATTATTGTTAGACTTTCTCTTACACAAATTACGTTCATTTCAGACGGTAAAAATCATTGAAGAAATGGCCTCAACATCAGCTATTGCTACAAACTCAGTCAAGGAGCAAAAAGGGTCTTATCACAGGTGCTCTTTTATTGGATGTGGATTAACACAACGAAAAAACCCACACCTACGTTCATTTCAGACGGTAAAAATCATTGAAGAAATGGCCTCAACATCAGCTATTGCTACAAACTCAGTGAAGGAGCAAAAAGGGTCTTATCACAGGTGCTCTTTTATTGGATGTGGATTAACACAACGAAAAAACCCACACCTGCATTTTTTCAGGTTTCCCACAAGGAGGCCAAATGTATTGGAACAATGGCTGGTCAACTGTGGTAATGAAGATCTAATTGCTCTTTCGGATAAAACTTTGTATTCGAGGAAGGTGTGTGAAAAACATTTCACAATAGAAAGTTTTACAAACCTTACAAAGAATTATTTGAAAAAGGACGCGGTTCCTACATTACTGTGCATTGGAAATTATGAACAACAAGAATTGCATGACCAGTCTCCTCAAGAATTATCTTTACCTTCAATTGAAAACTATACTATTGTTTCTCAACAGTCTCCATCAATAATTGATACCCAAATTCAACCTCAAACGAGTCCCTCACCGGCCTCTCCAACAACTCCTAACACTCCTCAGTACAAAAGATTTAAGAGTGTCAAAAACAGAACACCAACACCACGCAAACAGTTTTTGACTCCAGTAAAGAGGAGGCTTTTGTTAAAGTTGAAGTCGTCAGAAAAGAAAACAAAGAAGTTTCAAGCCAGAGTAAGGCGCATGAAAAACAAAAAGCATACATTGAGCAAACAGGTGATTATCTTATCTTTACAAGGATTGTTATACCCAGCTGTGTCTAAATTCGTTGCTATGCAACTAAACCATGTCAGCTCTATTCTCTGCAAAATGTTATCTCAATCAGTCCAGTAGTTATCAAGTGATGGAACTTCAGAGTTACAAACATTTATACTTTCACTATAATATTAAGTAGTATAATTTCTGCTAAGGGTTTGTTAGGTCGAGTTGGGCTACGTTAGGTTATTTTTAGTTGAAACCGGGGCATGAAGTAGTACTTCAATTGGCTGTACAAATTATCTAGTAGTGGCGAATTAACGGAAAAGGTCCATTTAAAAATAGAGTGTTATACCGTAATAGTATTTCATCACTAGGGCGTTAAGTGACTCTTTTCGACCCAAGCTTAAGTCTTATAACCGAGGCTTCAAAAGAGCGAGGGTTTAAAAGACACTTTTTGTCCATGTGATGAACTATATTTTATTGTCATAATTGCAACATAATTTAACAAACTAAGCTAGAAAACAAAAAATAATGATCATGTAAAGAGTTATCTATCTTCTTATTTTCTATGTTTATCTAAGTTTATAAAGAGTTATCTTCTAACTTTTTTTCAATTTTGCTAATGCAAACAAGCAGCTGTTTAGTAAGTGATTATATCATTTAACTAGCTGTTAGCCACGGACTTCACCCCGTTTGTCTTCATGAGTATAAAACTATTGATTGGTTAAGGCTGAAATAAACAAAACAGAATACAGTAATACAAACAAATAATCACACCTGATTTTTAATCCTACTATAATATTATAAATGATAAAGTTTGGATGTATGGATGTATGGATGTATGTTTGTGACAAGTGAACGCAAAAAATACTGGTCGGATTGGGCTGAAATTTGGCATGATGATAGCTCACATTCCCGATTAACATATAGGCATAAATCCTTTCGGGCTCCGCCCCAGTGGCTCTGGAGTTTCCCATGTTAACCTTATGAGAAATGGAATTATTGAATCTTAACAGCTGTTTCAACTAAATAAGTTGGTTCTGAATAACATACAAATAAGTACAGGTGAGGTATTTTTAACATTAGGTTTATGGAAAGTTCCCTTTAGAAAGGAATTACGACCTTAAAGGGCAATTTATGAAATAATAGATAGTTTTGCACAAGGTTTGTCATAATGACGAACATTTTAAGTATATGGTTTATGGGGGTGTGACTTGCAGTTTTCTCAAAAGTTCATGGATACTTTGGGACTTATATACGGATTTATTACAATTGTATTAGCGTACATCATACCATCAATATGCCAAACTATTGACAAGAATTCTACAATAAGCTACAACAGATTAAATCAATGTATACGACATTTTGATACAGTGGCGGATACAGAATATTTATTTGGAGGGAGCCGAGATTAATTTAAGGTTAGGTTATGTAATTTCAAGTAGACACGCCATGACTTTATCTCAGTTTTGCTGTGGTAATTTGCGCTAAATGTGACCTTTACTTTTCCAAGATCACGCTGAATCATTAAATTGGTCTATTAAATTTTAAAAATGTATCTATTCAAGCCAAATGAAGAAAATATCTCAATTACTAAATAAAAAAACATTGATCAAGATTTAACAGTGTGTCATTCCATCTGTAAACACTTATCCGAATCTAAGGAGTCAAATACACGATTGTGATTATCATATTCGGAAGAGTTCTAACTACTGTATAAGTATTCTTTTGTGTAAACTGCAAAACGTTAACATTTCAGTAGAACGTCGAACAGATTTAAATTACAAACAATAAAAATGGCTACCACTGGACTGACTGAACTTTTCATTACTCCACTCCCCTGTCGCTGGTAGATATGCTGGTCTCTAGCAGTCACTGCTGCAAGCGAAGATGTCGAAGATAGCCGGGCGGCGGGCGGTAGCTCGATTTGGTCTGAAGCTAACAGAACTTGCACAAACTATCACTGTCTGCCACAGTGATGAATTTGTGTATGATTCATGATAAAAAATTTATATTATGGTACCTATTTTTTCTTCATATCCATTATTTCAGAGGGGGCCCAGGCCCCCTGGGCTCCCACCTTATATACACCCCTGTTTTGATACATGCGATTGCTTATAATCAAATTCTACAACAGCTGACTTACTCCCCAGGGAGTAAAAGAGCTAATTAAGACCCGCAACGCATGTATTAAAAACGACTGCTTTTGCTGCAGTATGACAAACAATAGAGTTTTTGTTTGTGGTTGCTAAGATTAATTTGTATGTAAATAGTGTGATAGTAAAAAAATGTAATTCTTGGTTACCAGTCTCTCTGGCCTGTTAAAAACATATCTCTTCTAAACGTCCATTTTGCAGGAAGAAATCCTTGCCCTTAAGGGAACCAAATGTCAAGCACCGTACAGTCATCATTGGCAGAGAGCCGATACCAGCAGTAGTAGTGATAGTCAGGGCTACCACAACGCTCTCATTATAGATGTAGAAACACCTAAAGTAGCCGAGGACCTATCTCTCATACAGGTATGTTGATTTATAAAATATTTTAATATTTTTATTGACTAAGCTTTAATTAGCTGTTTATGATACTGTTAATAGTTAGCAAAATAAAAAAAAAACAAAGAAGAATACTTATTGTTGATCAATCATTAAACTTATTTATTATTATTTGAATGTGTTACCTGCAAACTTGAGAAAAACCTTCTCATCAGGAGGAAGAACTTTATATAAATGTAAATAATATCTATTAAACTAAGATAAAAGTGATTACGAAATGAAAATTGCTTCATACAAAGGAAATTGTTATGACCGTGATCGTGAAAATGGTCTCTGAAAAATTTAATGTCGGATTGTCTATTCATCTTTATCATATTCTTGATTCATACTGGCACTAAAGATTGCTTCTCTCTTAGCTGAGAAGAGAGAAACAAGCTCTGGCCGTGAGGTACCAATCGTTCAGTTATTAACAAGTTATTGTTGTTTATACTTCATAAGAAGTAACTTTTTTCATCAAAATGTCTTGCTTTGTATTTGTATTTGCTATTGGATTGTTGAAGTATTGTCTATTCAAATATTTATCAAAACTGTGCTTTTGTACCAATGTTATAGTAATAGTATGTTTCTGGAGGATATTTTATGTAAAACCTTATTTTGAATTTCACATTGCATCCATTCCGCCACTCACAACGTAGATGGTTGAGGTAGGACAGGAGAAAAGTATCTTTATCCATTTGCTATCTCTCCATAACAGAACGTTAGTTTTTGCATTGGCTACTTCAGCGTCAATCAGATCTTCCCAGATTGTGTGTTCCAAAAGCTCTGCGAGAAAGTCTTGCTGTTTATCAATCTTTAAACCTAGCGTTAGACGAAGTACCTTCACGAATATCCTTAATCTATGGCACAATTAAGGGTGTAACATAGAGCACAAGGGCCTAGGTTTTTAAGATTTTTTGAGAGAACAGTAGGCTTACCTAAATGGGAAAGAGTACAAACTATCACAGGAAACATACAACTTTACACTATATACACAAAACATTAGAATATTTCACTGTCACTGACAGCATTTTCAACTACGATAAAGAAAACTCTCTCTTCCTTAGTTGAAATTGGTGTCAGTGACAGTGAAATATTCTAATGTTTTGTATATATATAGTGTAAAGTTTTGTCTTTCCTGTGCTAATTTGGACTCTTTCCCATTCAGGTAAGCTTGCTGTCCTCTCAAAAAATCTGAAAAACCTATGCCACAATTAGTACATTATCGGCCTCATAGGTTTCTAAGCTAACAATTACTGTTGTTTGGGTTTTCTTATAAACATTTTATTACTGTTTAGTGTTAAAGATTATTTCCAAAGTGTATGGAACTTAATTTATGCTTTGTTTAACAGGTACGAGTTTTATTTGTGAACCCAACAGAGAAACAGATGTGTCCGTGTCCATTCTACCTCGAGGGAAAATGTAAATTTAGCGATGAAAAATGCAATTATTCCCATGGAGAGATTGTTCCTTTTTCTGACATCAGGGAGTACAAGTAAGTGTTTGCTTTTACAAGGTATGATGCAACTTCTTATTTAGATAGTTTCAAAAGTTCAAAGAACAGAGAATACAAACATAGAAGCTTGTAAATACCAGCTTGTAAAACTGCAAGAAATAATTTTTTTTGTAAAATTAAAAATTAAATACTAAGGGAATGTTAATATGATACCTTGTTTGTAATATAGGTAATTATTTTGCAGAGAGCCTGATTTCAGCCTAGTAAGAGAGGGAGCTCCAATTTTGGCCAAACAGAAAGACAGCCTATGGCATCGAGCTCGTGTAAAACAGATTGTTGATGACAGCAAAGTCAGGGTTCAGTTTGAAACCAATAGTCACAATACTGTTGAAATGGACCTTCATGATGTACTTCCCCTATGTGGTAAGTCCATTTCAAATCTGTTATATTATTAAATGTAGATGGTTTTTGTGCATCTTTTTCTTCTGGGTGGACGCAAAATTATTGAACCAACCACACTAAGGTATATCATGAATCTGGGCAAGCTGGCCAACACATCATGTGATCAAAATCCCCAGAGGGCTTACCTAACAAGCTGAAAGTCGACGACTCAATCCTGAGATAAGTTGGTAGAATTGTTAATGGTACAAAACTGGACCTAGCTCTGTCCTTGATCTTTGGACTCGTAGTTTCAAAGAATAGTGCTGACTAAAGTAATAGCTGATCTGAGTCTGCAACAAAGCTACGTTAGGATATTATACTTCTCCACTTCTCTTCTATTTATAAAAATACACCATTAGTTAAAAATATAACATTTTTATATTCCCATCTCATATTGATCAGTAGATTAAAGAATGTTTTTGTTTGTGACCTGACTCAATTGCTTAGCACTGGTAAAGCAACTAGTTGGGTGAGTTGGTGGCTCAGTCGGTAGCACAATGAACAACCAACCCAAGGGGATGTCAGGGGTTCGTGTCCTGACGCCCTCTACTACATTTTATGAGCACAGTTCACTCTTGTACTGTACTTGCTCATACCTTTATTTGCTAAATACGTTGGCCCAAGAGTTGTCTGGGTTGAAACTGAAAGAGGCTATCAACCTCTTAAACCTCTTGTTCATGGTATCAATAGGGCCACAGAATGGTTTGCTGCCAACAGCTTTCTTTTAAATAAGGACAAAACCTTGGACCTAATTTTTAGTCTTAGGGAAATTCCAGATACTATAGTGTCTAATAGTCATGTAAAATTTCTTGGTGTTACATTGGATCAAAAATTGTCTTGGGAGCCTCATATAAACCAACTTTGTACTAGGCTGAGTCGATTAAAGTGCCTCTTTAGGAAATTAAGTTGTGTAATCCCAATAGATTGTCTGTTAAATGTTTACTATGGCCTCTTCCAATCAGCAGTAAGCTATGGAATAATTTTTTGGGGAAATAGCCCACATGTAAAAAAGGTTCTTGTAATTCAGAAAAAGATTCTAAGAATAATAGCCAAAGTAGATGTTGTTGAACACCATAAACCAATTTTTATTGATTTTAAAATTCTCACTGTTGTTAACTTGTATATTTTTAATTTATTGTTAACTAGTTTTAAGAATTTAAATGCTTTTAACTGCCGTAAAGATGTCCACCAGCACAATACTCGATTCAGAAATAAACTTGACATTCCCTATGTTAGACTGGAGAAATCTAAGAAAAGTTATGAAATAGTGGGCATGCAATGTATTAATAAGATACCTACATTTATGTTCTCTCTCCCATATAATTCTTTTAAACAAAAAGTGTTCCAATGGCTAGCTGTTAATCCTTTTTACGAACTCAAAGAGTTTTTAGACCTTCCTTCTTCAAAGTTGTGTTTTTAGTTTGTCTTTGTGTTAACTATTATGCCTTCACCTAATGCCTACAACCTGTCTAATTTTGTAATGTTTTGCTAACTTTCAAATGGTTGTTTTTACTTCTCAATAGTGATAAACTCTGTGATATTAGTTTAAGACCAATTAAATAACTTAAAATGCAATTTTCTTTTTTCGTAGACTTCAAAGTACACTTTGTAACTTAATTCTTAATTTGACAACTGCTCTGCATGAAAAATGTTTGACTCTTCCAATACATTTGTAATATGTCTACTGGAAATAAACATGTCTTATGTCTTAAAAATGTTTTCATAAAACCGTGTGTTGAACAGTTTAATAAACTGTAACATCGGCTGTTACATGCATATTTCTCACAGGTAGTCCTAACTAAGTAATGTAATGAATTCAGTGCAGCTGTCTGTTTGCAGGTGTGGCGGGAAGTGATAACAGCAGTAGTGATAGTGACAGTGACAGTGATGACAGTAACAACACCGAGGTAGAAGCTCCTGTACAAGAAGACGTATTTATGAGAATGACCACAACAGCTCCATCCACCAAACTAGGAGAGTGGGAAAAACATACAAAGGTAATTCTTTGTCATTTTAAATTATTATTTTTCCTAGGATGTAATTTATTTTCCAAGAGATGCCAGTTTAGCCTTTAACTGTGGTAAAATGGTTTTGTTTTATGTATTACTTTGTTCATAATGGTAAGTTAAATATATGTAAAGGAAGAGTTTTAACTCAGTCTATTAAAACTGAGTGAACTGAATTGAACGTCCAGTTATAGTAGAAGTGTTAGTCATGGCCACCCTGGGTGAGTCAGTCAGGATTTGTTTGGCTTGATACATTTATCAAGGAAAGTAATGATAGTAGAAACCTTTAGGTCAAATAATTGAATTCTGCTCAACTACAGATTGTTTTTGAAACCATATTACTACATAGTGATACATCTTACATCCACTATCCATATCTATTTGTTTTTACCTGATCATACAGTTCTGTATTTTATCAGATTTACACAGTTAATTAGTCGCTTTGGTATTTTTATTGTAATACCTCCAATAATACATAATCTGTGCCTGGGTGGTACTTGTCTTATTACCCACCAACCCACCAGGTTATAAAAAGTCAAATATAGTCACTTGTATCTTATGATAGAGGAAGATAATTCAACGTGTTATACATTCATTAATGTTTGACAGGGTATTGGATCCCGCTTAATGGCCAACATGGGGTACGTTGTTGGCTGCGGACTGGGGAAACGAGGCGAAGGTCGTATAGAACCTGTAGAAGCTACAGCCTACCCTCCGGGCAAGTCACTTGGTAAGGATTAATATACATTTTAACTCTTACTCAGGATCTTCCTTAATTTGTTCCCTACCAGTTGACTCACTCCTGTGTATATCTAGTCGTGGGACAGTCAGGAGCAGGATTGCCTTTGGGAGAAATTGAGATCTGCCCCCCCCCCTCACCCCCTAGATTAACATAGCTTTAAACACGGGCATAATGAACTGAACTCGGGACTATCCTGACGGAATCGGGATGGGTGGCAACCCTGGTCGGCAGTGAATGTGTTAACACTATGAAATTGATTATTTATGATTAAATAAGACGGTTAATTTCATAAAGATATGTATTGTTATTTGTTATTCTATTCATACTTACCCTGACATCCATAATTTTATAGGAGGGTAGTTTTTTTTTTAAATAAGGGCTGTCTTTATGTATGGAACCATAGTTCGTTTGTATGCTGCAACAATACTGCTCGCCACTTACTGGCATCATTTTTGAATAGAATGACACCATTTGCAGCACTATGCTTCACTGTATGTTTTTACACTGGACAATGGATATGATATCAATAAAAATAAGTTATGGCTTTATACTTAAATTCTGTTTGTTCCTCAGACATGTGTATGGCTCTGAGGGAAGCAGCGGGAGGAGATCCTGACATGTTCAAAGCAGAGAAACGACAACGTAAACAACAACAAAAGCTGTTGCAACTACAAAAGAAGCTCAAGGAAAGAGAAGAATTTCGGACGGATGTATTCACCTTCCTTAATGACAAACTTGCAGGTAAGATATGAATTTCAAAAGAATTTTTCCTTGAATTACTTGTGAGAGTGATTGTAATAATAGTTCATTTAGTTGTTAATGTCCAATATCATAGCCTCCATACAAGGTCCCTAGCACCCAAAAAAACACAAAAGAAATCAAACATTCTTGACTTCAAGACTTAGTTTTTTTTATTTAATTTTCTAGAATTATATTTACGGATTCACTAATGAAAGTCAAACTTTTTTGTATTGTTATAAAAACTGATTTTGTACAAGTTTGAACCCAAGCATTGATGGATTTTTAATATTATTCCGCAGTTATCATTTAAAATTATTGTAAATGTGACGTATCAGCTATACATAACAATATTTTTTCCTTCAGGTAAAACTGATGCCAAACCCAAAGCTTCTCATCAAATCCTTGCCTCATCTTCTAGCAAAGGATTGGCGGTAGAGAGGTTTCAGTTGGCAGAAAACATTAAGAAGAAGCAGAAGGATATAGGAAAGCTGAAAGAGTCTTTGAAAAGGCACGAAAGTGGATCTTTGGCCCATAAGGCAATAACTAATAAAATCAAAGATGCTCAGTCCGACTTGGGTGTTTTACAAAATAATGACACAATGATTGCAAGGGAACAAGGCCAAAGAGATAACAGGAAGAAAATGGCTGTGTTTTAAAATTACATTGTGATTTTGTACAAAGTGTAAATAACTCTATTTGTATAAAAAATAAATTAAGCTAACTTAAATCAGGTAGTTGTTATTTTTATGTATAGAGAAAACCTTAGATTAGAGGCAAGTTACTCACTTTGTAATACAGATGTTAACAGACTATTTTAAAAAAAACAGAAAAAATTCAAAAACCTATCAATGTTAAATATGGAACCATTGGCCAGGGGTGGACTGGGATGCCGGTCTACCTGCCACATGGCAGATACACCCTCAAGAAAATGGTACCAGGCGCCCTCAAGACAAAAAAAAAACACATGGTGATGCGCCCCAGGGCGCCAAGTGCAATATTTCCTTGTTACATCTGCATTCAATCAAAATGGGTTTTAACTATTTTATGGTGTCAGCAACTAGTTTTCTTCCTCGGAATCCTTGCAGTAGGCCTACTTAAATGAAATTTATTATTTCGCTATTGTGCAATTGTAATTAATAGTGATGCTTAGTGCACAACAGACTAGGCGCCATAAACGGAGCCTATTGCTGATAACGCAACGTTTCCACTGATGAACACAATTCATGAGACTGGCAAACTTGGTCATGTTCTGTAGACGTTGATTAGTAATTTTATGTTCCTATTTATTGCACTGTACGGAGCGAATGCCAATCTTGATTGTAGTACATATTTCCGTCACCGCTGGTACAAGTGCGCTGAACGGTGAATATGCGGGTCCTGCGGCCCACGTTTCATTCCCGAAAGACGGTACTGGTGGAATTAAAAATATAATTATAATATTGTATGTTATTTTTAAACTGGTTGACCCACAATTCCCTCCCCCCCCTTTCAGCTCTTCCCCTTGTTTTTGTCATCAAACTCTTAGCAAATAGCAATAAAGAATCTTAATACTGTACTACTTAGGAGAGACAAATCAGGACATTTAAGTAGGCCTATGGTTGAAAATTAACTTCAAGCAACAAGTTTTATTAAAAAAGTTACAAAAATGCAAAGATTTGCATAAGATTTTGTAGAAATAGCTAAAAAACTATTTAAGGGGTAATCAATTTTCTCCGGGCCCCCCACACACCCCCTGGGCGTCCTCTTTGTGGTGACAGTGGTTAAGTTACTGAGCTTCATTATGCTTTCAGGCCTCCAAGTCGTCCTACTTTTCCTACTTTTTAGTAGGAAAGTAGGAAAAGTCCTACTTTTTACACATTTGTCCTACTTTCCTACTTTTTTATAAAAATTATGTCGATTTTGTGATATTTTATTACACTTATTAATGTTTACTTATCAATATTTCCCAATGAGAAGTTTTTTCCTAAAAAATATGACTGACTGAGATAATTTTTTTATAAAACAATTTGTTAAATGATTTTAAATTTTAATTTATAAGTTCCAGTACCGGTAGTATCTGTATGGTTAATCTTATCAACATTGTTATTGGGTGAAAACATTTTTATTTTCAAAGACATGGCAATACTATTGTGATAGAAAATAAAAATTGTGATTATTATCAGTGCTTACTATTCTGACATGTCTTTTAGATTCCCCAATGAAGTAAACTGAGGGGAAATCAATGCTCCTGGGGAGCCCTGGGATACTAGTTCAAAAGTAGTTCACTTTAGCACTTATCGGTCCAGTGTTTCCCTGATTAGCCTAAACATGATTTTTTGACATAACTGTATTCAAAATAAATTAAGGCTTAAGTTCAAGTTTAAATGTCCAAGTTTCGCTGGCTCAAATAGTTTTTACTCATTACAATTCAAACATTCCTACTACTTTTAAGATCGCTCTAATCTAACTAATTCAAAATACTTTTGGAATATATTTTTAGAATTTTATATTATATCTAGTTCCGTACTTTATAGGCCTACTTAAATAACTATTCATGCTTCTGTTTTCCACCCAAAAAAATTCATTTTACTTTTATATTAATTTTAGTTCTGAAATATTAAATAATATAAAAAAAAGAACAAATTTCTTATTTACAACACCATTTTAAACACAAATTAGGGCTGGTTGGTAACGTTAGGGAAACATATTTATTTTTATCCTTTATTTAATGCTGCTTGTCCTAAATATTTTTTCGTGATGACTGTAGATAATGACTCCTTAACATTTTAATTTCTCTTGTGCGTTACTTCTGAATATTTGGTGTACAATCTCAGCTAAAACTATATCCGGCCTTTTAGTTGAAGATTTTTTAAATAAAAATAATTAATTATTGATTTTAATTTTAAAATTTATATATAGAATTATTTTAGTTATGTTTCCAAATTGTCTGGACATATTTTGTGGACTTCTTTCTTGGGCTAAAGCCCGGTTTTCCTAGGCGCGGAAGCGGAGAGCGGAGAGAGGAACGCGGAGAGCGCACTCCACTTGTCTTAGGTAATTTAATGTTTCTGTTTTCCTAGAAGCGGAGCGGAACACCATGTTAATTTTTTTTCCGCTCTCCGCATTCCTCTCTCCGCTCTCCGCTTCCGCGCCTAGGACCCAGCTTAAGACAAACATAAAATTCCATATAAGTATGGGTCTAAAATGCCTGGATTTTAATTTGTCGGTCTGTTTGTGATTTTTAAGAATTATTTTATATCTTGGGCATTTTTCAAGATAGAACTTTTAAAATGGATATAAATGTGTATTTTAGAAGGTGATAAGAGCTTGCAAAATTTTGATCCAATATCTCAAGCCGTTTCAATATGGCAGCCATTTAAAATATTTAATGCCAAATTTAATTTGAAACCGTAAATATTTAGAATATAGTTTCCTGGATCAAAAAGATAGAGAATTCAAATACAAATCAAATGAGACCTTGTTTTTTTTAAATCTGATGACAAACAACCAAATCAGTTTTTTTCTAAATTTGTTTACGCAACTTAATAGGACTACCCATACTGCTCTGAAAAATAACAAATAAGAATACAGTATGGTAGTGCTATTAAATTGCGTAACCGAATGTTGAAAAAAAACTTATTTATGGTTGTTTGTCATCCGATTTTACAAACACGGTCTCATTTGATTTGGATTTGAATTCTCTATCTTTTTGATCCTGGAAATCATTTTCTAAATATTTACGGTTTTCATGAAATTTGGCATTAAAGATTTTAAATGACTGCCATATTGAAACGGCTTGAGATATTGGATCGAAACTTTGCAAGCTCTTTTCACCTTCTAAAATACACATTTATAACCCTTTTAAAAGTTCTATCTTGAAAAATACCCAAGATATAAAATAATTTTTAAATGTCACAAACAGACCGACCAACAAAAATTTAGGCATTTTAGATCCATGCATACTTATATGGAATTTTATGTTTGTCTTAGCCCCAGAAACAAGTCCACAAAATATGTCCAGACAATTTGGAAACACCCTGTATATTTATATACACTATTATATTTGATAAACTATTGTGTATGCTAGTATTATTTGGTTTTTAATATATATTGTATCAGCAAAAAAGTTCGATTTGTATGTAAAATTAAGTCCTACTTTTCAGTAAAAAGTCCTACTTTTTGCTGAAAAAGTCCTACTTTTCCTACTTTTTTGAGGCCAAAAACCACTTGGGGGCCTGTGCTTTCTAACAACACGACAATCCTAGGTAGCACAACATGGCTAAGAAATTTATCTTTCTAAAGCTTCAATTAATGTATGGGCAACTGATGTCCTCCTAACGAATGAATGAATCCTTTATTATTTCAGTACAGTACATCAGTTACAATGGTACAAAAAACAATTTATGAAATGTAATCCCCAAATGGGCTATATGCTTGTGGTTGGGGATTGAGTCCATCATCCACACGATAAAACAATAAATTTAGGCTACATTTAAAAAAGGGAAAATAAGAATGCACGCATACATCACACGTTCAGTTTGCACATGCAAAGAAAAATGTTAGGACGTCCTAAGTATTCTTACCTTGAGTAGAGATGTTAATTTTGTCTTACTTTTAAAAAAAATGCAAACAAAGTTTTTTTTACAGTAATTAATATTCAAAAGTAGAGAAGTTATTTGTGTAACTAGTGAGCAAAGTGCAATTAGCTGCAGCGGCTCGTGTAGATTTTTTCTCAAGTGCAGCAAAGGTCATTTGCGCTTGTGTTACACATTATATTTTTCCTACAGTCACTATTAAGCAAATAAATAATTAGCCTTACAAACAATATACAACACCTTTTTAGGTTAGGTTAAACCCAAGCGTTGAACGGATTGGTTGTGAACACCATGGTTGTGCATGGGAGTGTGTGCGTTTTTTTTGTTACAGTCTCTAACGAAATTTGGTAGTTAGGAAAACAGTTGTACCTGATCCTTGTATTGGTGCAGAAAAAGACAGTCATATTCACCAGCAAGGAAACCCCAGCTTTAATAATAAATAGTAAACTGAGCCAATGGCGCAAATTGTTAATCTCGTGGATTTTTATGCAGGATAAATTGCAAAAAAAAAGAAATAACCATTGAAATTAAAACACAGATTTTATTGCCTTAAAATGTACATCGATCTGATAAAAAAAACCTTTTTACAAAAAAGAACAGGGGCTTGTACACATAAATAATGCAGAAAGGACGCTATAAGTACAGGCTACGTATCACTTTTCCACAACTTTATTGTTTTATCTTGCTCGAGAGCTGCAGAAGCGATGATGTTTTCTGTGGGATGGCAAGTGGTGCATAGTACGACATCTGAAACAACCACAGTGCTCATTTAAATAAAGGATTTAGGAAAACAACTCATTAGCAACCTCAATAGGATTTGAACCATACATCTTATGATATCTCTTGACTTGTGATCCGATGTTTCGACCACCAATCAGATATCAAGACCCCAAATAGCGTCGTTGAAGTGGAAACTTGGATCTATTGGTCTTGACTTGTGTCATAGGTAGCCTAGTGCAACGTCACTGGCTTTCTTTGTATACTGCAAGAAGCTCTTGAATATTATAGTAAAAATCTGAAGACTGTCTTTAGGCAAGTTTCATGTGTGGTTTTGATTTGCTGCATTAAAGTTAATTAAATGTTTTTCCTATTATATTTAGTGATGGTCGGATCCAGATATCGACTACCGGATCCGCCGGTTCTGAGCTAGAACCAACGCCCGATCAGATCCACAAAAAATCTGATCTTGGGCTAGATCCAGTTTTAACGGATCCAAGTTTTTTTTTTTTAAATGGAAGTTTTTTTAAATAAATTTTTTAATTTAAATTATTTTATTCTATCATCACGAAGTGTCCTTTATAAAGTACAATTCATACATAAGAACAGGTGTTTTGTTATAGCGATGTATTTTAAAATAAAATTAATAGTGACTATCTGTGTCCATTTACAAGACAATCTGTGTCCTTCTACAAGACTATCTGTATCCATATGCAAGACTGTCTGTATCTATGTACGAGACTATCTGTGTCCATGTATAAGACTATCTGTGTCCAGGTACAAGACTATCTGTGTCCATGGCCATATACAAGACTGTCTGTGTCCATGTACAGGACTATCTTTGGACACAGATTGTCTTGTATGGACACAGACAGTCTTGTATATGGACACAGACAGTCTTGTTTATTATTTTGTTTGTCCTAGGACGCTAGGCACGAGCCCGGAATCGTTTTTCACATTACTTCAGGCTAGTCCTAGGGGTTACGGCATTATCACTTAGATAAAATCCTTTGGTGATTTGGCGGGATTTGAACCCGGGACCACAGGAACCAGAGACCCGCACTCTAACCACTAGACCAGCTCGCTCCCCCAGACAGTCTTGTATATGGACACAGATAGGCCGGCCGCACACTGATGCGACAAAACGTCTTTTGACAAAACGTATTGTCGAAAGACGTCGGAAGGGAGTGGCCTACCATGCAGTTGAATGGAGGCATCGCATACTGATGCGACAGAGGCTTCAGACGCGTTGTTTTGTCTGAAGACGTTTTTGGGTGTTTTTGTGATCGCCTCCAATATTTTGTCTGAAGCCAAAACGCGACCAGACAAACAGTTCTGCGCATGCGCGGAGGGCGGACACAGTACAACTTATCTATATATTGTAATAACTTTTCTTACAGTTAGTAGTAGTTCATTTTCAATTCATGCAGAAAATAATAAAACTATATTTTAATTTCAAATACTTTAACTTATCTATACAGTTGTTCATTTTCAATTTATGCAGAAAATAATAAAACTGTTATTTAAATTTTAAATATTTCAGCTTGATTCCTTATTTTGTAATAATTTTCTTTACAGTTAGTAGTCGTTCATTTTAGATTTATGCAGAAAATACAGACAATTTATGCTCCCTTCCTTTGTTTAGTTCTTCAAGTTGTATAAAGTTCCACAACATCATTGCTACGTCCACTTCCTCATTCATTTTATTAACACCACACAATATCTGGCTTTTCACAACACTGGTCTACGGGTGACTGAATTTAGTTTTCCCTCCTGTTTTTGTCTTTTGTCTGAGACCTCCGCACACCAATGCGACATTTTTGTTTTCCGACAAGACGTGTTCCGACGAGACGTTTTGTCTGATCAGTGTGCGGCCGGCCATAGTCTTTGACATTGCCTACCCATAAGACTTATTGACGTTGACATATATTGTCACATTTCCTAGCCATATGAGTTTTTGACATCAACAAATAGGCCTACTGTGAAATTCCGAAATTCAGAATTGCCTAGCCATATGAGTTATAAGCCCTTGGAAAAAAATAAAAAAAACCGTATATGAATCCGGATCCGGTACGGACATTTTCTTGGATCCGCCCATCACTTATTAGGTTAAATTTTAGAGAGTGCTTTTTACACCTTGATTAAAATACCAGATGTGAAGTTTTAAAATTTATCATTTTATTTAATTAAAATAGTTTTCAAGTTTTTAGCAGACGAAAAAACAACATAAAATATCTTATGTATGTAATTTAAGGCTTTTTACCTGTGTGTCCTTGAAGTTTCTGTACAATTTCCTTGGTTTGTAAATTCCAAATGTACACTAGGTTGTCTTCAGAACCTGACACAATCCACTGAAACACAAAAAAATGCATTGTTACTTGTTAGTATAATTGTTGATATTTTAGACTTTGACTTAAATTATCTATACTTATAAAAGGCAAAGCCCTCACTGACTCACTCACTCACTCACTCATCACTAATTCCCATTTACCTAGGAGGCTGAAATTCGGTACACAGATTCTTTGGGCATTAAATAGGAAAACTAAGTAGTTTTTATTGTTTCGGGCTCTGCCCCAGTGGCTCTGGAGTTTCCCATGTTAACCTTATGATTTTTCATATCTATATATTAATTTGAAACTGTTTTTCTTTGTCATAGCTATTTTGAGAGAACGGCTGGGTGTAGAAACTCGGTAGAGGTGTCTAAAGAAAGGTCTTGGTCTGTAGATTAGCCATCAAAAGAAAAACATGGTGAATTCCCTTGGGGCTCTGCCCCAGTGGCCTTTAAATTCCCATCCCATGTTATTCTTATGGAGGAAAATGGGGTTTTTGTCATAGCTAATTTGAGAGAACGGCTTGGCGTAGAAACTTGGTAGGGGTCTCTAAAGAAAGGTCTTGGTCTGTAGATGAGCCATCAAAAGAGAAACCTGGTGAATTCCCTTGGGGCTCTGCCCCAGTGGCCTTTAAATTCACTTCCCAAGTTATTCTTATGGAGGAAAATGGGGTTTTTGTCATAGCTAATTTGAGAGAACGGCTGGGCGTAGAAACTTGGTAGGGGTCTCTAAACAAAAGGTCTTGGTCTGTAGATGAGCCATCAAAAGAGGAACGAGGTAAATTCCCTTGGGGCTCTGCCCCAGACGCCTTTAAAATTGCCTCTTCAGATTTGTTTACATTACGACCATATGCATAATTCTACACTACTTTTTAATGAAACAGCTGTTAATATTTAAATTGTGATTTATTGAATTTGTCAAAATAAAGTACAGTATTTGCAATGGGGTTTTCTGATTTTAAAATTGATTTTCTTCTGCATCGTGTCATGTTTTGCAATATAATGTTCTATTACCAAATCAGTGGAAAATCCTAATATCACAGTAACTCTTAAAATTATTTCTTTTGGAGTTAACTTATATCTATTGTATGGGTTGGTTTCTGCCTTTTTTACCACTTCTTGGAGATTGTACGTAGGTGATATTTGTTGGCATATTGCATCTGTAGACGAAATTTGGGTTGGTGTAATTATTACAATGGAAAAGAGCGAAAAATCCTGGACAATTAGATATAGGCTAAAAATAAAACTGAATTAACACTGTTCTACATTTCTTGAGCAATCATTGAAATAATCGATTTGCAAACAATGGAAACATAGAAAAAGTCATAGAACACAACCAAGTAGAAGAAATAGAAATAATTTTTTTTTAAATTTATAATCGTTGTCATAGACAACCTAAAGCGGCTATGAGAGGGAAAAATTTGTAGAAAACACTAAAACAAGAAGATAAGCTTTTTGAAAAAAGAGAAGATATTTACAAAAGATTTTGATTATATCTAACTGTTGTGTAGATCGTGAGTATTTCCATAATCTTTGAGTCGCCTGTAATGCTTTGCAATTGCTCGAATTCGAGCAACAGGTAGACTAGTTTAAAAGAAATTGAAATTAATGAATCTTAACAGCTGTTTCAATTAAACAAGCTGGTCCTGTGGTGTTCAATAGCATTAAAAAGTTAATAAGTTTACCAACAGGGTGCAACACTATTATTTTTTTAAATTTAGGACAACAGCTAATTTGCAACCAAAAGGTGAGTTAGCATAGTGAACGAGCTAACCTAAAGGCAAGTGAGCGCAGCGAACAAGCTCCGATCTAAAGGTGAGTGAGCGTAGCGAACAAACTTCAGGCAGGACGTGATTGAGCCATGCAAACGAGCTCATCTTGAAAATTAAGAAGTTAAACGGGGCAAAGCCCGTGGGTACAGCTAGTTTTTGTATAAAACTAATTTGACCTGTAGGGAATAAACAGCAGGCTGATAGAATACTTATCTATCCTCAATTCTACGTTCACAGTGCGGTACAAATCTTATGGGAGATAGTTGTGCTGTTCAAATTACTGGAAATATTATGTTGGTTGTCACAAAGGTTGCGTCAATGTCCTCACCCCTTGTGAAGGATGAGGACAGTACACTTAACTTACTTCTGTAAATTTATGAAAATTATGGATTGGTGATGATTTTTTGTTCTAATGATATGGAATTTAACTCTGATATAGTAAAAACTAGCAAAATTTTAAACAGCGCTAAAACAAGTGAAACAAGCATTTTGTGGGTCCTAATGTTTTTAGGAAGACTAGAGTTGCTGAAACTCCCATTTGAAATTCATGCCTTATGGATACTTAGTGAATGTGGAATGGAGTATACATTATTCGGGGACAAAAAAAGGTTAAGACTGTTAAATTCTTTAGATTTTTTCAATAACTATACCTTTCTTTACACTTGGAATTTTAAGTGACAACTTTCAATCAATAATACACTACGGAAGCTACTCCTACTCTTTAAAAAAATGTAATTAATAGAAAAAATTATGTGTATGCCTACCTTTCCACCAGTCACTGAGAAGTTAGCGAAGATGCAATACTTCTCGTTTCGATGCCCCGTATATGTTTTCAAGCACTTGCCCTTGCTGTAATCCCACAGTTTTAACGTGTTGTCTAATGTGGCTGCCAAAATGTACTTCCCATTGGGCGAGAACTTGACAAATGACACTGGGGGATTGTCATCGTCAATAAGGGTTTTCAGACACTGTCCTGAGGCTGTGTCCCAAATTCGGCTGAAAAAATTATCAAGCGTTTCAATTAAATCAGAAGATGCGTTAACAGTGAACTGTTTTCTGAATATCTAGAAGTATATTAATTAACTAATAAGTAAAGAGTGCGCCAAAATAACCTGACGGTTTTTAATACTAAATAACTCAAGAACGAACTACAATTTCATGTATTAAATAACGTTATATTGTACACACTACTATGCCATTTTCATTTATGAAAAATTATATCACTCAGGTTATATCACCTTCTCCTGATCACAGGCTTCCCATTTTTTTTGCATATTTGCAGTCACCTTCGCCTGATGAATAGAAGCAATCTCTTCCCTGATACACTGCTTGAGTTCAAGGATGGTTTGAAATTTCGAAACAAACATTATTGCTTTTTAAGTATCCCCACAGCCAACAGTCACACAAAATTAAGTCTGGGGATCAAGCTGACCACAGCACATCGCCAAACCAAGAGATCACTTTACCGGGAAAGAGTTCACGCAAAACTGACATTGAATGGCTGTATGACAAGTTGCGCCGTCCTGTTGAAACCACGTGTTAGTCATGTCTATCCCTCATAACATCCGCAGTTGTGGAACCAAAAAACCCTCAGTATTTCCAAATAGCGTTCCGAGTTTACAGTGACAGGGGGGTGTTCCCACTTTCGTCCTCAAAAACATAGTCCGATGACTCCAAACAGTGCCACACCACACTGCACCACACTAGACGGTAACTTTCTTTTGACGACGTGATGTTTTACCAAACATAACCTAAAAATGGCCTAACATAAGCAATCGTTCACTACAACAATGAGGTCTCTAGCTAGTATAACAGCTGACTTATTACAAAACAGAAACCGTCAGGTTTTTTTGGCGCACCCTTTATATTAGTATACTAATAATAACACTTCCAGAAGTAGTTGTTTAACCCTTAACTAGGGGGGCCTGTACCATTTTGCACAAAAATAAGATTGAACGTTCTTCTTGCATGAATGAATCCATTCAGTTAGTAAAGTAATCAATATAAGATAAGTATAAACAAATCATATAACCAAGCTGAAGATCACTGCTTACAAATTTTCTTTGAAAACTAAACTGGTTACGACGACTACACAATGTTTGTTATTTTTTAGCTTGAGGGGAACACAGGCTTTGGATGATGCAACGTTATTTTTGTAAATAGTTTTTTTGTATATGTTTTGTCTATTATATGGCACAAAGGTAGGAAACGTGCATCTTGTTAGTTTAGAATAAGACTCAAATGGACAAAATTTAGGTACTATAAATGGCTGACTTTGACTGTTTAATATAACACTGCTGGCGTGAATATGTGCAAGAGTATAGGCCTAGTAGCCTTAATCTTTTGGTCAAATTTTCTCCGGAGGGTAATCTAGTTTAAGAAGCCTTCCCAAACTTATTCATATAACTTATTTGTTGGTATTTTTTACCAACACTTACTTATTTGTACAACAAAAAGAATTCTGATGTCCAAAAAACTAACCCCCCCCCCCCCTCCACTCCTTGGGAGACTATGATTTACACATATTAACAGTCCAGTACAAATTCAGTTCTGTAAATTGTATTGCCAGTACCTACCATAAGCCGTCGTAGCTGCTAGATACTATGAGAGATCCATCCCTATTGAAGTGCACAGCACTCACTGGATCTGAGTGGGCTGGTAGAGTTTTCAAACATTTACCAGTACGGACATCCCATATCCTCACACTTTCATCAAACTGTAAACAAATGCTTGGTTACCAACGGTAGCAACCAATGATATTAGGCAAAGCCCTACTATTTTAATAATTTAAGAGAAGTTAGCCTGTTTTACTACTAGTATTGTTCAACAACTATTATACAAATTTTCTACAGTAGTATAAAGTCTGTATAAAGCTGCAAAATTAACACTATAAAATCTGTCAGATCACAATGAAATTTGGCCCAGCCCATACAGGATTCTGACCAATATCTGTTCATTAGCTCCTTCATGTTTAGATCCGTTTTATTTGAGCTACAGAAGATTTGGACCCTCTTTTGTATATGAATTAATTATACTCGCTCGCTAACACGCCTAAAGCCTTGTATCCAAGTCACTACTTGTTTGTCTAGTGCTGTTTTGTATTTACAGTTGTCTTGCTGTACTCTTTTAATGTTAGTTGAGTAACTGTACTTATTTTGCATATAAATAATCTGTGTCATTTTGTTTTGAAACATCAAAACTAGAGGAAGCTTACTGTACAAAAAAATTACTTGTTGCATGAATGCTGAACATTTTTCATAGCTTCAGTACAAGTTATGACAGTTATTTTTAAAACGTTTTGGCCTTTTTATGGCTAAAAGTATTGGTTATTTTACACCAATTAGATCTTTAACTTATGACACAATAGCCTAAAACATTCTTAGGTTTTATAGTTGTTGTTTGCAGTCTAACAGAGCAATTAATTACTTTTAACAAATATCTTTTAATTTGCGCTCCTACTGAATATAAAATGGTAATGTATTGTTGTTAATAAAAAGGGAGTCTTTAAATATGAAATGAAAATAAGAAAGTTACCTAATTTATTTGATTGCTAATTTAAAATATGTAGGCTAAATGTTTTTTGAGTTGGACTTCTTGATAAAACTAAAACACATTTAAAAAATTCATTTTTTGTTTGCAAGTGAATATAATGGGTAGCCGAGTGGTTATAGTGCTCTCCTAACAATCAACAGTTCGCCGTTTTGATCCTGATAAAAGTCAGTAGCTTTTTGATGGTTTGAAACTGGACCCAGCTGTTCCTGATCATTGGGCTTTGAATAAATGATCATGACTAATGATCAATCTGATCTTAGTCAGTAACAAAGCTACACAGATTATCTCAAACAATTCTACACTCATCCTTCACTAACATTTGGGTTAAAATTCACACCTAGGTGACATCCCCATCTCAATGATTGATAATTGATTGATGTAAGTATAAAAGGTACTTATTTTAAAATACTTAACGAATTTGTTAATTTAATAATAGATATAGAGAAATTGAAACTTACCGAACCGGACACAATCAGATTTGACTGTGGGTTGAAGTTACAGCAAAACACATAATTACTGTGACCCTTAAGTGTTTTTAAACATTTGCCCTGCAACAAAATTACTTGTTAATTAAATGTACTTTCTAAACCTGAAATTAAATAAAATATTAATTAATTAGTGCAAAACTTAGCAACTTAAAATATTTTAAACATATGTAATCTTTATAAAATTACATTTATTAGCCTAATACTATGGAATCCTCCACATATGGGCCTTGGAAAACAATGTTATCAGGAATATCCAATCACCAACAACTATCCAGGAGATGCAATCAATTGTGTTTCCATGTCCTGCTCTTAGTTTTAGCTCTTCAACCTTGTGGTATTTCAAGCTTAGTATGATTCCGTACCCTGACGATAAAATTCAACTATTTTATTGTGAATTGACACGTTCATTGCGGTTGCGTGGATGAGTGTGCGAAAATGTTGATTTTAGTTTCATCCAATAGGAGAGGCATATCATAGCATGTACAGAGTCCCAGACGTTGTGGACATAGTTTTACAAGAACCCAATAGATAGCAGCACTAAACAAAACTGCTAGCCGGCCCTAAGTATTGCCAAAAGGAGGGGCGAAGTACCCGGATGGATACATCATAAAAAATAACGCAATGTCGCAGGTAGTGTTGTAACAGCTGTTTTGTTTAAAAACAGCAAGTGGTATTTGCATATTTTTAAGAACTAGTGTACATGTTGCTCGAATTCGAGCAATTGCAAAGTATTAAGGCCTACAGGAGTTATTTCAAAACGAATAACAGTCATATTTACAATGAGTTTAAAAGAGTCAACTCAAAGATTATCTGTGCTCATGGAGACACTCACGATGTACATAACAGTAATCAACATTTCCTGATATTTCATAACCTGATTTTGCTTTTTAATGTTTTCTACAAACATTTCCTGACTTATAACCATAAGGTTCTCCATGTTTATCTTCGTTATTGATAAACCTAAAGCATTCCGGCCAGTTTTCTCCTTCTTAAATCCCCTCGCTGTACAGGCAACACAGGTCATTGATAGAGGGCCAATTGAGAACGAAAAGTCGTTTTGGGGTGTTAGGGCGCATTTGTAACCTAATAGTTGAGATTGTCCAGGGTTAGGTGCTGACTGTGATAAGTTAAGCCTATTACAGCTCCACTGTTCTGTAGCTGCGGTCGTTATCACGACGCCTACTGTCTACACAAATAAGTTAAATACACAGATTTAAGTTACAGTCATGCTAACACGATCCGTCATAGCGACACATAAGAACGATAAATACAGAAATTTCAGATACAACTGTAATAACACGATCCGTCTTGGGGGTTATGTTTACACTCACTCAAATAGCCTAGTAAATAAATGTACTCAATGCGTTTCATTGAATTAAAAAAAATAAATAACAGCAATTAAATTATACAGCTGATCAAAATGTAAACAATTATGTTCTTCATAAGGCTAACATTGGAACTTTAAAAGCCACTGGGGCAGAGCCCAAGGGACTTTTCCAAAAATGTAAGGCCAATTTGCAAATCTACGCGGCACGCTCTTTCCAATGAGATATCAATGGATAAAATCGGTTAAGAAATGGCAGAGGAGTTCAAACCAACAAAGTTTCATGTAGCGTATTAATTATAGTACCTGGGGACAGAGCTTTGCTCGGGGAAAATCATTAGTTTACTCTGAAAGCAGTCTTAGTATTGCAGGTACATAAATCCATTCCCACAACTCCACACTGCTCGCCTTTACTACTTCCCTTACCACTGCCTACGTCGTGGACCTGTTTCCCTCCCTTCCCATTGCATGTTAGGTTTGCAGATACATTAATGTAATTGCCAAAGACAGTTCCCACACTCTGCACTGCTAGCCTTACTACTTCATTCACCACTTCCTACGAAGCGGACCTGTTTTCCTCCCTTCCCATTGCATTTAAAGATTGCAGATACCTTAATCTAATCGTCATAAACAGTTCCCACACTCCGGATAGCTCAGCTTGACTACTCCCTTCACCACTTCATACGTCGTGGGCCTGTTTTCCTCCCTTCCCATAGCATTTTAAAATTCCAGATACCTTAATCTAATCGTCATAAACAGTTCTCACACTCCGGACAGCTCGCCTTGACTACTTCCTTCACCACTTCCTACGTCGCGGACCTGTTTTCTTCCCTTCCCATAGCATTTTAGGATTGCAGATAGGCTACCTTAATCTAATCGTCATAAACAGTTCCCACACTCCAGACTACACGCCTTGACTACTTCCTTCACCGCTTCCTACGTTACAGACCTGTTTCCCTCCCTTCCCATAGCATTTTAGGATTGCCAATACCCTTATCTAATCGTCATAAACAGGTCCCACACTCCTTACTACTCGCCTTGACTACTTCCTTCACCACTTCCTACGTCGCAGACCTTTTTCCCTCCCTTCCCATAGCATTTTAGGATTGGACTTACACTAACCTTATCTTCATAAACAGTTCCAATCCAAATAAGCTTTACGATAACATTTTATGATTTCAAATACCTTAATCTAATCATCATCAACAGTTCCCATACTCCGGACAGCTCGCCTTGACTACTTCCTTCACCACTCCCTACGTCGTGGACCTGTTTCTCTCCCTTCCCATTGCATGTTAGGTTTGCAGATACATTAATCTAACTGTCATAAACAGTTCCCACACTCCGGACAGCCCACCTTGACTACTTCCTTCACCACTCCCTACGTCGTGGACCTGTTTCTCTCCCTTCCCATTGCATGTTAGGATTGCAAATACCTTAATCTAATTGTCATAAACAGTTCCCACACTCCAGACAGCTCGCCTTGACTACTTCCTTCACCACTTCCTACGTCACGGACCTGTTTCCCTTCCTTCCCATAGCATTTTAGGATTGGAAATACCTTAATCTAATGGTCATAAACAGTTCCCACACTCCGGCCAGCTTGCCTTGACTACTTCCTTCACCACTTCCTACGTTGCGGACCTGTTTCCCTCCCTTCCCAGGCATTTTAGGATTGCAGATACCCTAATCTTATCGTCATAAACAGTTCCCACACTCCGGACTGCTCGCCTTTACTACTTCCTTCATCACTTCCTACGTCACGGACCTGTTTCCCTCCCTTCTCATAGCATTTTATGATTGCAAATACCTTAATCTAATCATCATAAACAGTTACCACAATCCAGACTACTTGCCTTTACCACTTCCTTCACCACTTCCTACGTCGCAAATCTGTTTCCCTCCCTTCCCATTGCATTTAAAGATTGCAGATACCTTAATCTAATTGTCATAAACAGTTCCCACACTCCGGACAGCTCGGCTTGACTACTTTCTTCACCATTTCCTACATCGCGGACCTGTTTTCCTCCCTTCCCTTAGCATTTTAGAATTGCAGATACCTTAATCTAGAATCGTCATAAACAGATCCCACACTTCGCACTGCTTCCCTTTACTAGGCTTACAATAAATCGAGTAATCTTCAGTATAATCTTTGCTCAATAGTAACAAGTGATGTTTTTCCTTTTGTACTATATTAGTAATTTGCTAGTATCCTGTGGGAAGTTGGCTTATTATGAACACATGCTACAACTTCAAGTCTTTTGTTTACTTTTTCCTTGTTATTTAATTCAACCAACATGGTTACTTAGCAACCCATAAGACTAAATGTTAACCCTAGCGCTGGCAAACGCCGGATATACGGCGCGAACGGCCGCGGCCGAAATGGCAACGCCGGATATACGGCGCCAATGCAGGTGTTACGGTAGGCCTATAAAATTTTTTTTTTTTTTAGTTTTGTTTGCTTTTTAGGGCTACTGTTGTAAAAAATAAGTTAAATAATTCAAACCAGAGTACTCTGGAATTATATATTATATAAGGTGTATGGTTTTGTACATGACCTGGGTTGGATGATTATTTGGTACTAGCGCGGGGGTACGATCAACATAATAATAGGGCTATCAAACAAAATACACAAAGTAAGCTATATAAACTATATATTTTTGGAATCAGCACAAAATTTACTACAACTTTACAATTTACCTTATGATGATAAGTCTAACCTGCACTTAGCTACACGACGGAATATAAAACATTTTATAAAAAAACTAATAATGCCTAAAATTTGGAAAAACTAACAAAAAAATTTTTTTGTGGTAACCATGTAAACCACCTATATTATTGTTCTTTGTTTTATTCTGAACAAAATGATATATAATAATCCATAGTTATGTTGCTATTTCTAATTTTTATGATGGTTTAAAAATGATATTACATAATTAATAAAATCCCTATGCCAGTACAGCGTTACACTACTGCCAGCTCTAGGGTTAAAAAAATGTGACTTTCAGTTAAATTTTTCTACATAATTAGATTTTTGTTGGCAGTTCTAACTGCAGTAAACTCGTTTTTAGGCCAGAAATAAACTATATAGGCTACATCATTTGAAGAAAATCGTCGGAGCCGTTTTTGAGATCTTTGGGCAAGCAAGCAAGCATACATACATACATACAAGCAAACATTGCTCATATTAGAGTATAGGATAGATATAAAAGCTTGGTTACTGGTCTATGAAAATATTTATTCCACTTTAAATGTACAGAAATTGACTTTTAATTCATATATTGTTTTGGTTTTCGATTCTATATTTTTTATTTTCAATCTTTTAATAAATTTAAATTAATAATACGCGAATTAATGAGCTGGAGTCACCCGTCTGCTATGTTATCTTATGGGACGTCTAGCGCTTAACAACACTACTTGCGAGGTTACCAATTCTTACAGGCCGTTTCCTACCACCGATAAAATAGTCGGATCTGAAAACAAATTATACTAGATTGTGTAAAACTGGCACAATAAGCGGCAAGCGAAACAACGTCTCACGGCAGTGGCTAATCTCACACTGGAACAATAGTTTGTAAACGGCGCTTTGAGGAGTGGCAACACCCATCGCTCATTGCTGGTGGAACGAACGACCGTGGAATACCGATCATTCACTCCACCGTGCATTCGATCCCCTGTATAGTACACTTCAAAATGTATTTTCTACCTAGGTCAGTCTTCTTCTAGGGCTGACTGTAACCAGTGGATCAAATGAACAGTGGATCAAATAAACAGTGGAGCGAACGAACAGACAGAAAATTTGTAAAAATTACTCGATGGGGCGGACAACCGTGGAGTGAATGCAATAGACCCGATGATATGACCATGTTACTCCCTATTTCATTCTGCTTTCATTAATGAAGTTAACGAAATTTGGGAATTTTACACCATCCGTCTTCTACACTCTATTATCAATAGTGAAATTCCTAAGTAGGCTATTTTTAGATAACTTCAATTTTATTTCTGACATCAGCACCCGTGCCACTCGTAGAGACTCTCTCCTTTTATCTACACCAATTCACCGATCAACAGTTTTTAATAAATCTTTCTTAGTATCCACCGTGCATTCGATCCACTGTATAGTACACTTCAAAATGTATTTTCTACCTAGGTCAGTCTTCTTCTAGAGCTGACTGTAACCAGTGGATCAAATTAACAGTGGAGCGAACGAACAGACAGAAAATTTGTAAAAATTACTTGATGGGGCGGACAACCGTGGAGTGAATGCAATAGACCCGACGATATGACCATGTTACTCCCTACAGTAGACCCCCTCTTAACCGACCCTAATGGGACCGGACCTAGGTCGGATAACTCAAAAGGTCGGATAAAACGGACAATCCCTAAAATAATAGCATAATGAAGTGCTATTCATTTGGAATTATATAATCATTATTTTGAAATCATAATTGCATTATTTATCAAATAAACTACTCTTATCTCCTTTTTCCTATTGATAGAAAAGTCACAAATAAACACAAAACACGGTTAAGTCAAATAGGCCTACTTTCAGTGGAATATATTATAATACCTGGCAAGAGTCAATAAAATTCATATTTTAATAACTTTGGTACTGTAATTTATTAATTGATGCTTCACAAATCCTTCGTAATACGGTACAGAACCTTTTGTCAAAATTGAAGATACAAGCAACCATTTTGTTACAAGACAGGACGTTTATTTATATCCTCTCATTGGAGGCTCGAGGCACAAAAACTATCTTAACCTTGGAGTTGTTAACCCCCCTTCCTGCCCTCCCTACAAGTTGCGTTGTTTGTTTACTCCAGCGATAAGATAATCAGTTCTCAAAATCGTAACACACTTTATGATGTTATAAATTTGCCGCACAGATAACAAAAAGATCAGATGCGCTTGAGCTACGAACAATGATGACAAACTGACAATAGGCTGTGCTATATTTTTTGTGATCAACACAAAATAACTTATTCTTAGTCATATCCTGTGGAGATAAGCGTATGGTTCGGTTCTCATCGCCCAGCGTGGGAGCGGAAATGCCGAGATTCCTAGAAAGCGGCGGTTAAAACGAGCTGCTCTCAAAGCAAGGTCGGTTAAAACAAACTGTATTATTTTACGATCGAAGGCGGATAATCCGATTATCGGTTAATACGAGGTCGGTTAAGAGGGGGTCTACTGTATTTCATTCTGCTTTCATTAATGAAGTTAACGAAATTTGGGAATTTTACACCATCCGTCTTCTACACTCTATTATCAATAGTGAAATTCCTAAGTAGGCTATTTTTAGATAAGTTCAATTTTATTTCTGACATCAGCACCCGTGCCACTCGTAGAGTCTCTCTCCTTTTATCTACACCAATTCACCGATCAACAGTTTTTAATAAATCTTTCTTAGTATCTGCAATTCGAATGTGGAATTCTCTACCTGACCATACTAAATCCATAATAAACCGTGCAAGATTTGGAGCAGAGATAAAATCTATTGAGCAGCAGGCATGGGTGAGTCTCTGGCACTGGTGTGGCAGGTTGTGTGAATGGAATTTTTAGGATTAGTAAATTTAATTTCATCATGTTTACCTATATAATATGGTACTTTAGACTATTAAATTTTATTTATATAAGAGAATATTTTTACTTATTTTTTGGGGGTTAAGTGGTAAAGAGGACTTGCAAGTCCTAACTCATTTCATTTCATCAATTGAAGCTATAATCCATGTTTGAACACAACATTACCGAGCTTAGTTCCCAGATCTTGAGTGTCTTGTCGTCTGATGCACTGACTAGCAGACGACTGTCACTAGACCAAGCTACATCTGAAATGCCCAATTTGTGTCCGGAAATCGTCTTCTCAAACTTGCCATCATAGGCACCCCAGATTTTGATTAACTTATCAGCAGCTGAAACATATTACAGTACATAGCAAATCAAATATACAGTATCAAGTATTATTTATTAAAAATATATAAATAAATAGGGTATATTAATAACAATACCCCCGCCGCAGCAAACCTGCAGACTAAGCGAATTTCCATTTGCCTGATTGGATTTACACTAAAATGTCTCCTTAAAAATATCACATTTATTCCCTATTTAAATAACATTTGTTTAACGAGTACTTAGGTTTGCTGCAACAGGGAGAGTAAAAAGGTGTTTTTTTGTAAAATGTAATAGTTTAGTACAAAATTAATGCATTTTCCAAATTTGATCAAAATATGTTCATAAACAAGCAAACTATAACAGTTTACTTATTCTCCATAAGAATAAAATGTGAATTTTAAATTTAGATTTTTGGAATTTTCTCCGTAACCATTAGGCGCATATAAACGCTTCAATATACTAAATTATTTGTTTTTTTAAGCCCTACAAAATGGTTTGGAAAGAAAATGCTAAATTTTAAGTTTTTAGGGTCAAAGATGGGGAAAAACCAATTTTTTCACTATAAAACCCCCCATAAACCCCTGTTTCCATAGTCCGATCATGCTGGTTTGCGAGCTCGTTCGAATAAACGTAGGTTTACACGTTTGAACCAAATTTCATCAAAATCGGATGATTTTTGCTCGAGTTATTGCGCTAACAGACACATATATAAATATAATATATATATATAAATATAATATATATATATAAATATAATATATATATATAAATATAATATATATATATAAATATAATATATATATATAAATATAATATATATATATAAATATAATATATATATATATAAATATAATATATATATATAAATATAATATATATAAATATAATATATATATATATAAATATAATATATAAATATAATATATATATAGCCTATATATATATATATATATATTAATAATTGGAAACATTATAACAACATTAAGTACCCTTTTAAATTAATTTTAATTAAGAAACGACATGTTTCGACACTTAGGTCATAGTCATGTTTTCATACAAATACAATAACAAATTAATGAAAGGAATAAATATAGTCATATGTTAAGCTAACTTAAAATTTAGAGGATCTTGATCTATTCTTTGTTTAATTTTGCGTATATTATATAATATTTCTGTTTTATTGCAATTGTAGGATTTTTTCGAATATCGGATTATATTAAAAAGTCGGAAACAGCAATCTCAGTTAAAGAAACAAAATTTATGAGTACCTAATGTAATATTGATTGACACAAGTATTTACCTAATTTTTATATTTTACTGTTTAAATAATCCGAAAATTAAATACTAATCCTTAAACCTGTAATTTATCAATAACTTCTTAATAGTGATATGTCGATACCAAAATTATTTGAATCTCTGTACAGACACATGAAAAATAGATTATTAATACTGATAATTTCAATTTTACCAAATTTTCTGTAATGATTACTACACCAACCCCTGTCTTTATGTACTTTCATATAGTATGTAATTTTGGAGTTATAGGTTGTTTTTCAAGTGACCTACAGAAATAATTAATGCAGAAATTAAAAAAAATTTATGTAGCCAATTTAAATTTTAAACCCTTCTAAACACATTCAATAAATACCATGTTAAAGGTAAATGAAGATATTACAAAATAGAAAAAAAACGTTCTAGAAGTGTGCAAATTTGAAATTTTTGGTCAAGCCAAACTCGAGGTTATATCGTGATCATCTAACACTGTAGAGACACCATTTTCTGCGATAACTGAAAAAACCTGAATATCTCACTCAGTAACAGAAACATCACCACTGTCTTCCGTGGTCGTGACAAAATTCTGATATTTTTCAGAGGTAACGGAAACATTATAATCCTCTCCAGCGGTCACGGAAACTTCATAGCCGTCTCCCGCGGTCACGGAAACGTCATCGTCTGCTCCCGCGGTCACGGAAACGTCATCGTCGTCTCCCGCGGGCACAAAAACGTTATCGTCGTCTCCCGCGGTCACGGAAACGTCATCGTCGTCTCCCAAGGTCACGGAAACGTCATCGTCGTCACCCACAGCAAAGAAAACGTACAACTATAACCCAGAATGCCAACCGCATGGTAAAAAGCATTAAGCGGTTTGAGAGAGCTTTGCCTGTCAATCCGTAGGTAGCGCCACCAGCGTTGCTATGCTATTGCATGGCAACAACGCTGGTGGCGCTACCTACGATTGACAGGAAAAGCTCTCTCAAACCGCTTAATGCTTTTTACCATGCGGTTGGCATTCTGGGTTATAGTAGTACGTTTTCTGTGCCCGCAGTCACGAAAACGTCATCGTCGTCACCCACGGTCACGGAAACGTCATCGTCTGCTCCCGCGGTCACGGAAACGTCATCGTAGTCACCCGCGGTCACGGATACGTCATCGTCGTCATGCGCGATCGCGGTAAAATCACTTACAAATCCCACGGCCGTTTGGACATCATCGTCATCTCCCGCGGTCACGGAAACGTCATCATCTGCTCCCGCGGTCACGGAAACGACATCGTCGTCACCCGCGGTCACGGAAACGTCATCGTCGTCACCCGCGGTCACGGAAACGTCATCGTCGTCACCCGCGGTCACGAAAACGTCATCGTCGTCATGCGCGATCGCGGTAAAATCACTTACAAATCCCACGGCCGTTTGGACATCATCGTTGTCTCCCGCGGTCACGGAAACGTCATCATATGCTCCTGCGGTCACGGAAACGTCATCGTCGTCACCCGCGGTCACGGAAACGTCATCGTCGTCACCCGCGGTCACGGAAACGTCATCGTCGTCACCCGCGGTCACGAAAACGTCATCGTCGTCGCCCGCGGTCACGGAAACGTCATCGTCTGCTCCCGCGGTCACGGAACGTCATCGTCGTCTCCCGTGGTCACGGATACGTCATCGTCGTCATGCACGATCGCGGTAAAATCACTTACAAATCCCACGGCCGTTTGGACATCATCGTTGTCTCCCGCGGTCAAAAAAATGGTAAGTCAAGTCAAATGTGATGTTTGACGTGATGGAGCCAAAACACTGCTACCAGTATCCATTTTAACACCCCACATTTTGATTGTGAAATAAGAAGTCATTCATAAAATACATAAATACACACATACAAGTACATAACAAAAGCCAAACTAAAATTACCAAAACATTGACAAAAAATACAAATAACTCACACGAACTGGCCAACCACTCTCCATTGGGACTGAACTTAACCGAAGAAACTGCTTTCGTATGTCCAGCAAGTGTAAACTTCAATGTGTAGTTTGGTTTCTGAAATAGAAAACGCTCAAGGTTTATTTCTACAATTTGGTGTACAAATGTATAGATAATCTTTGATTAACGTACACCGTAGCCTAGGTTGAGAAAGAGGTGAATTAGGGTCTATGGGATTTATAATAATGGATTAAAATTTAATAAACGATATGCTTGGACATACTTTCTCCCATTGGCCTGTCAACCGCTATTATAGGTAAGCGGTGCGAGTAACTATGATATTTCAAGGAAAAATCGCTAAAGTTGCAATAACTTTTGAACCGTATTTGTTACAGCAAGGGGAGGGGGCAGCACTATATTGTTTTAGAATTATAAGGACTATAGCATACTAGTTTTAATCAAAACCGGCCTTAACAAAAATAAACGGTATCAGCATTCTGACACATACTTTCTCCCATAAGTTTGTCAACAACCTTTATCATATTGTGTAAGCGGTGAGAGTAAATATACGGAATTGGGATTAGTATAATCTTGTTAAGAATTTAAAGGACTACATACAAAATGTTTATCAAAATCGTTTTGGGCCAGTTTTGTGAAAATCCGATTTTTCCGTTATTTTATGGGGGTTTTTATGGGAAAATAACATAATTTACAATAACTTTTGAACCGTAATTTTTACAGAAATGGGATTTGTACCATTTTGTTTAGAATATAAAGGACAATAACATACCAAATTTTTATCAAAATCGTTCGGGCCGTTTTTTGGGAAAATCCTATTTTTCCGTTATTTTATGGGGTTTTATGGGAAAATTCCCATAAAAAATTAATTTTTTTAAAATGAAAAAACTATCAAAACTTTAAGGACCATAACATACTATGTTAAATTAAAACAGGATTTTTTTCAAAAATCCTATTTTTTGTTATTTTACGGGGTTTTTATGGGAAAATAACATAATTTACCATAACTTTTGAACCGTAATTTTTAGAGAAATGGAGTTTGTACCATTTTGTTCAGAATTTAAAGGGCTACAACATACTAAATTTTTATCAAAATCGTTCGGGCCATTTTTGAGAAAATCCAATTTTCCCTGTTTTTTATGGGTTTTTATGGGATAATCCCTATTAAAAATCAAAATTTCAAAAATATGAAAAAAACGCCTGGAGATACCATGGATTAGAACCTACATACCAAATTTCATCGAAATCGGACCACAGGTGTAGTCCCTAGCTCTGTACACATCCAGACACACAGACACACACACAGACATCACTTCGAAAACCACTTTTTTGGGTCCAGGGGGACCCAAAACGAATATATCCACTCAAAACTCAAACTCGAAAATTTTGACGAAAACAATACTTTCTCCATATACTATGGTATAGGAGGAGAAAGTAAAAATCAGATTGTCCATTTTATAGGGTTTTTATGGGAAAATAACATACGTTAATTTACTTTTGAATTACAATTTTTACAGCAATGACATAACACAGCAGTTATAACATTTTTTCTGAATTTAAGGGCTAAAACATACAACATTTAACTAAATCAAAATTGTTAGGGCCATTTTCAAGTAATTCAAGTTTTCTGTTAATTTATAGGTTTTTATGGAAAAATCCCCATTTAAAATAAAAATTTCAAAAAAGAAAAACAATGCCTGGAGATACCAAGGATTAGTACAGACACAAAATTTCATCAAAATCAGATTTTGATGACATTTTGTGTTGGTACCAATCCTTGGTATCTTCAGGCATTGTTTTCCATTTTTTTTAATTTTTATTACCGTATGATTTTTAAAATCTATATGACCCAAAAACTCCCGCGGGTTCCAGCAGGAGTATCCACTCAAAACTTAAACTTGAAAATTTTGCAAAATGTAAACAGATTGTATCTAACTGTCATATTATAGCTCATGATTAAGCGCAGGTGCGAATAGATTTCTTTAGGGCATCACCCCCTAACCTTAGATTCCTTTGCAGAGGGTACTTTTAAAGGTCAAGTTCTTTTTAACATTTTTTTATGTTAATTTGTTTTGCCTCGGAAATAATTTTTGAATCCTAATGACATGTGCATTTTTGCATGGGTCCCTCATAGACTTTTATTGTTACAGAGCTTGCCAAGAAACACACAGGTAAATGGAGAGTGTATCTATCTTTGTGTTCAACACTTCAAACTGATCGACTTTGAACGTAATCGAGTGACAGGTTTTTAATGGCTCTTGTCAAGTATGTTTAGTTCTGGTGGATACAATGAATATATCACAGCCAGCAAGTCCATACAAGAATACCACAGAACTAGAAAAGTATAGACAGCCAGTAACATAGCTTCTCTGACATAAAACACTAAGAACAAGATTATAAGCACTTACCAGTCCGGAACTTGAAGTTTTGGTGGGATTTGGTTGTGCTAGGGAGCCTCCCAAAGAAGTGTTCACTCCGCCAGGACCCCCATGCGGAACCATGTTGTTTAGGTATTTCCTTTAAAACCTTTAAAAAGTATTAAAAACTTAGTTTATTAAATTTAAAAAAGATACCAGTAATAAGACACTTCAGTCTTTGGGCAAAACAGTGTGCTGTTCACACAGATGCTACGGGTGGACTAGTAACTGAGTGGAAGGCTTGCCAAAAAACACACAGGTCGTTGGAGTGTGTGATGGCAAACATAAACAGGTCCACGACTTGGAAGTGGTGAAGGAAGTAGTAAAGGTGAGAAGTGTGGAGTTTGGGAAACGTTTGTGGCAGTTACATTAATGTATCTGTAATACTAAAATGTTATGGGAAGGGAGGGAAACAGGTCCAAGATGTAGGAAGTAGTGAAAGAAGTAGTAAAGGTTAGCAATGCAGAGTGTGGAAACATTTGCATTTTGTATTATTTCTATAAAGATTTGTTCATTTTACTTTAAAACCGTGAAACATGATTGCTCCACTCAACTGGCTTTCACTGCTATGAAAGCAATCCTAGTATATTTCTTCTTTAGCCTTTTGCGTTTTCTTAAGCTAGCAGATGTTCTTTAAATCTTTTAAGAGAAACAAGCTGTCTGGCTCATAAATATTTAGGGCAGTCGTCGCAATTAATAATTTATAGACGCCATTCTGGTAAGAAATTGGAGTTGTTGTTTGGGGCCAGTAAAGACAATTTTTAAAACTGTCTATAACGAAACTGTGGCGTTTTTGGCTATAATATTTTTACTTGTAAATGTATCGTTTTGTCGTTTAAATATGCACACCTCCCCGTTCGCCGAATAAGGCGGTGACACACTATCTATCTTTTCCCCGATCAAGACCACAAACCGAGCAGGGAGAAGAGTAAATATCAGCAAAATTTCAATCCGAACATTTCCCCTAACAAGACCAAGACTAGACAAATTCTACCGAGAGCGGCAAAAGGGAGTGTAGAGAGAGATGGGGAGCGTGTGTGAGTGAGAGCACGGAAGCAGTAATAAAACATGAAATAACTTTACCGAATGATCATTTTAATTGCGTTGATTGGAATTATGTTTATATTAATTTTTGAAAGGATTTAAGTATAACATCAATTACTTAATTCAAGTTTAACATTATTGATATCATTTATTTAACGGTTTCAACTGTATAATACATTTTCAAATGTGACCAAACAAACCACAAAATTACAACATAAATGTCCATAACACAAACAGCAAAATGTTATCCAACATTTATTTATTTTACCAACTTAAGAGTTTAATTACCATATTAAATTAGAACTATCAACGCTAGCGCAGGCGGCCGCTAGGTGCGGCGCTCGCGACTACGTACAGGGCAAAAATATACCGTGACACACTATCTTACATCGCTCTGTACATAGGACCGATCTTTCACCAAAAATCGCCTCCAGAGCGCTTGGCCTGATGTCTTGTTCGCCGTCTGGATCGGAGTAGGGACCCCTGACACACTATCGAACATGATTCCTTTGACCTCCCCTGCTCGGTTCGGGGAGTTGATCGGGGAAAAGATCGATAGTGTGTCACCGTCATTAGCGTGTCTATGTACTAATATGTGAATCGATGACCTACTGATGAAGTAATCATTACTATCCTCTGACGGCTTAAAATGATTCTTGAAATTTGAATCTATATGTGGCCACTTAGAACGGTTCTAGGACCTTGGAAGAGGGAGGGTCTACCGTGGGAGGGGGGGGGGGGCGAATGGGGGTCCCCCGAGAAAGGAGGGGGGATCTGGGAGGCCTTCCTTGGAAAATTTGTTATTTTTTAAGCTGTTCAGCCTCGTTGCCGGGAACCGCCACTGGATGAGAGCAACAATTTGCATTATACATAGTAGGGCCAACACCAATTTATATAATCAACGTAATCCAGAGGCTAAAAAAATATAAAAAAAACTTATACTAAACTAAAAAAAAAATTCCAGGAAAACAAACTCTACTTAAAATAACTAAACTGAATAAATAAATAAATAGGCCTACTTATAAAGTCAAGTTATTTGACACGTGTCTAAACTTCAATTAGCCTATGGCATGTTCCCAAGTTAGATAGGAAATCATTAAAAGGAAATGTTGGTACAGTTCTGCAAAGAACCTACAATATAACTAAGATTAATATTAGGTTTTTGGATTAAATATAAGTTTGATAACTAAGGTGTTTGGACTAGCCTAGCCTATAAGATATGTTTCAAGACTTTTTACACATTGTGCTGCAGCGCAAGTTGTTAGTTATGCGGTTAAGTTAGTTTCACTTTTAACCTACCTTGTTTATGATAATTTTCCTAACAGGGTTTAAGTTACAGTTCCGCAGAGAACCAACAATATTTCATGGGATGAATAATGAAAAATATCGGTTCGATATTAATATTATAGGCCTATTGAATTCAGGCCTAATCATAACAATATAAAAAAAAAATAAAGTCAAATTAAATTATTTTTAACTTATCTCATTATATTAAATAAAGTCAACAACAAAAGTATTGACTTAACCCTAGAACGGTAACTTATCGTCATACAGCATGACGCTAAGGGTATCAATACGTAAATTTGACGTACATAGGAATTGCATAGAGTAAGGCATCGCCATACAGTGAGACGCTAAGGGTATCAATACGTTAATTTGACGTAGTGCCGGCTGTTTAACTATACACAAGCTGGCAATTTTACTATAAGCTACACAAAGGGTATTGACATGTTTAAGTTTGGCATATGCGATCCAAGAAACCGACTAGCAAGGAACATTAAGAAACACACACTACGACCAACCAAGGCAGCCATCACAAGGCAAATGACTGCTGAGATCACTGCTGGAGGGAGAATAGCGTCGGTTGAGGGGGTGGGATGCTAAAATTAACTTGCCCTACGTCAAATTTAAAATTTAATTGTGATACCCATCGTTAACAAAGCTTTTTATTTTTCTATCCTTCTTTTTTAATATTTGTGTTGTTACTTTTTATTAAATATAGGTTGTTTTTGCTTAAACTTAGATATTGATAGTTTAGTTTATTAAACATGAACAAAAACTTAAACAAATCATAACAACATAACAAATCATATAATAAATTTGATGTTTATACTTAGGCCTAAACTTAGGCATAAACATAAGTTTATTTATTTTGTGGTAGTAACCATTTACAAATATGCTTAAATTAGGTAATATGCTGCATGATATGATAAGTTACATATGTATACATAAGTATACCTTAATACCTGCTGCGACGTCGTTGACCAGAATTTCTGGATAGACTGTGTCAAGGATAAAACTAAAAATACTATGTACAGTAGACTCCCTCTTATCTGAACTCCTCCGGACCGAGGCCAGTCCAGATAACACTTTTCCAATTAAACCGACGTCCCTAAAAACTCGTTAAACGGACCGTTAATTGTGATATTCAACTTAACTCCTTAACCGCCGTCTAAGTAGCCTAGTCAAAATCCACCATTGCCACTTATTTTTGCCGTTTTTTTGACGATTTGTACTTGTCATTTAAAAAATGGTACCAGTTGTTTTTTTAAAGAAAATAGTTATCAATATTGTTTGTAGACATCTTCAAAAATATTAAGCTTTAACAATACTAAAATTTGAGATTGGGAGGGGGGGGGGGTTTGGGGGGGTTCGGGGGTTTCTTGAGTTATAATAAAAATGAGTCCTACAATAAAGTCTACAACTCTAATAAATCGTCATCCTCAAGCATGTCACCAGCCATTACGACTAATATTTACTACTCATTCAACAAAGTAAATAACCACCAAAAACCACAATTATAATGACACGCACAGTAAACGTAAGCTTCCCCAAGCACAAGTTTTACTGAAACTACGAACAGAACTGATCGGGACCATTACTGACCTATAATACCACTAAAATCCACCAGATTGCAGCACTAGTCAAGCAGCACTGTCAACAACTTGTTTACGTACGTATATCAGAGATAAGGCGGGAAGTGAGCTGTTAAAAATAAAACACAACAGCTGATTACGTCAACACGAGATAACTCGTACGTGGCGGTTGCTCTGAAAACTAGTAGCGCCCGGCATATCTTGTGCGTGGCGGTTAAGGGGTTAAATTTAGGAGAGCATTGTATTTAGACCCGTGATCACTGGTCTTAAATCTTTCTCACGAGAACAGTCGTTTCAGTACTGCCCACTTCCTGCCGATCTAGTACGGTTCAACCAATGTGCTAATAAAAAAAGTCATTTAAACTTGTGGTGCGTAGTAACATTACTAAGTTACATGACATTTTTTTTTTTGCCAATAAGATAGGCCTACTTAAGTTTACTCTTAGGCTAAATTAACTTACATTGGAAAAACCAATATTTTGTAATCAATATTAGTTATTAAATCGGATAAATATTGTAAAATTGAAGTTCATTGTTACATTGCCATAAACCTAGCTATTGATTACTGTAACATGAACGAACTGGTATTCAATGCGGGGAAAACCAAGCAGGTAAATGGAAACGAAGAGAGATGAGATTTCTGGCTGTCCAGATCTTTAGGTCACTGAATCGTCAAAGCATCTTGGTTTGGTTATTGACAGCAGGCTCTCATAGGTTGATCACATAGATGAGCTATGCATGAGATTGAGCAGCGCAACCTTCGCTCTAAGACGCATCAAGTGCATTAGTACGACAGAATGCCCTAATAACATCGTATCATTCTCTCTTTGAAAGTCATCTCAGGTATGGCATTCAGCTTTGGGGAAGTGCCTCTCTTCGAAGTGCTTCACGTGTGCTGGTCCATCAAAAGAGAGCGTTAAGAGTCATGGCTGGCATAGGCTGGAGGGAGAGCTGCCGAGAGCCTTTCAAACAGTGGAACGTTCTCACTGTGGTGAACATCTACATCTTGGAAGTTGTTTCACTCGCCTGCTTGAAGGGTCTTCCCAAAAATGAAGATACCCACCAGTAGGCTACAACACTCGTCGCGCAGGAGACTTCAACCTTCCTGTCCACCACAGCAAGCGGTTTGAAATGAAGCCACAACGGAGCGAAGTTCTTCAACCTAACTTACTTCCAGATGAAGTCAAAACTGCAAAACCTAAAATGTTTAAGACAAAACTGAAGGAGTGGCTGCTAGTTCGTCCATTCTACATGATTAATGAATTCACCAACTGGCGGAGCGACTGAATATATCGAACATTTTATTGTAAAGCAAGAAGAAAGTCTATCTAATTGTTTGTATATAGGGTAAGTTAAGTTACAAACTTTGTATTTTTGACACTATTTCAATCTTGAAGACTGCAAATAAAGCATCTCTCTCTCTCTCTTGATAAATCGGATAGATATCTATTCATCCAGTAGGTTAAATATTGTTGGTTCTCTGCGGAACTGTAACTTAAACCCGACAAACAAGTAAAGTTAAGTAACTTAGGCACATTATCATTAAAACTAAAGTTTAAGTTAGCCTAAGTTATAACTTATTATTTATTAAATAGATAATTAGGTATAGATAAAAATAAGGTATCGTTAAGTTACATCGAAGTTGATACATATTGTAGGTTCTCTACAGGAACTGTAAGTTATCCAAAAATGTTAAGTTAAGTAGGCTAAGTTAATGGCTCATAAACAAATCACGTAATAAACATAAAACATAGCAGTACAGATCGTTTTATCAATCGTCAAATATTTAAAGTTAATAGACTTTCTAGGGACTAGGCTAACTGCTTGTTTCTCAACCATACTTCTTACCATTCACTTAGGGTCTGGGCCATGTCCAATAAGCCTAGAGCCTACCCAGTAAGCCTACGTGTTCAAACACATTCAATGAATAAACGCTAAATCAAGAATAAATAGTGAACAATTAAACCAATTCACACATTATAAGCTGGTTAAATTTAACGGCAGATAAAACGATATTAGTTTATTCTGCTTTGTTTATGTTTGTGAGTTGTATCGTCTGGTTCTCATTTTTTGACAGAAAATACCTGAGTCAACATGGTAAAAATATATTTAAGGTAACCTAAATAACTATGGTGGAACGAATGGAAATGTTAAATTACTAACTTTTTCATTCAGTTCTTAAATTACCAATATTTAAATAATTAAATTTCACAATAAAATACAACCTGAAGCACACTCTCAAGTAGAAGTACTTAGACAGCCGTGTCAGTAGAATATTCAGTAAACGGGTCACGTGACTTTCTGGTCAACAGAGGCAGAGCGGCAACCGACTTCCAATGGCTGAGAGTTTGTTAGATTATTTGAAAATGTATTACTATTCTCACTTCCAGAAATTATATACTCCCTATAATTTTAATTTGCTGCACTCCCGAACGACACACATAATACATTTTAGTAAACTACACTGGATATTATACGAGAAAATCAATGGAATTCCTGTAGCTTGTAGGTCATGTGACCAGTTTCCGCCAATCAGATAGCAGCAAATTTCAAAGGATTTTTCACAACTCAAACAGCCAGTTGGTGGAGTAGCTGCGTAGCCATTGCTGTGTTGTGAAGTTCGGTTTGTTAATTTCATATCCGAATTCATCATGGGCATTGAAAATCATCCGACATCGAAATTCGGAGAACTTCAATCGTCAATTCTTAGTGCATGGTACTAAACTAAGAAATAAAATGTTTGTGTTCGTAGCTAAATAAAATGAGGATTTTTCGTGAGTGGGTTCCCCAGTCCCAGGGAAGACAGCCGTAACATCAAGGGAAAGCTTCTAAGAGGCGTAGTGTAAATTGTGTTTTAAAACTATTAGATCCTTCTGCTGTAGTAAGGTAGGTTCCTATTATTTGCCAGAACGTATATAAAGTTTCACTATACTCGTTAATACCAGCACTTACCAGTTAAAAGCGATCGGTCTATGATAATTACACTAAGTTTACCCTATTGGCTTCTTCCCCGAGCTGGGGACCCGCCATGTTGATTAACTAAGCGCCAAAACCTTGTTTTATTACTAGGTTTACGTGGTAAGTCGGTTGTTTTTTGTTAATGCGTTATTAACTTAAAATCCGTACTGGGGACTCTTTGTTTACAAACAGAGATATGTTGAAGGATTCAGTGAAGTCATTACATCACCTTTGATTCATCACTTTCACAAGCTTAGGTAGACCATAGCTTGCCTCCAAATAGTGAGTAACTTAGCTCTTATTTTGGGTGAAAAACGCTGCTTTAACTAATCCATATTTAGATGCTAAATTGTCCATAATTTAACCATAGAGGTTATGCTGTAGTGAAGAATACTGAAAAGTGCCTTTTTTTAAGGTTTTAAGTTAGCCTATTTGGTAGTATAAAATCTAGCCCTAGGCCTAGGCCTAACTTAATTTTCTTTGCCACGGGCCTAAGTGAAGTTACTTATTTAAGTTGGGTTTAACTTAGGCTATGTAAATAAACTTGGACCATTTAAACAGTAGGTCAACCTATCTAACTTATAGGGCATATATCCCTCCGAGTGTTATTTGTCGCTGCAGCGACACATAACACACTTTGTGTAGTGTTTTGTGTCGCTGCAGCGACTCACAAACACTGTTTACGGCAAAGGCTCTAATATGACTGACAAAATCGGATTTAACTGGATCGAGTTAGGTATCGTTTTATTTGACAGATTCAGAGCTTTCTCCGGAGGTCTGTCTCTAAGCGCTATTCATTTTAGTTCCGAAAATATTGTAGCAGACAGCTGACGTGCGTATTTGTAAACAGCTTGATTAACCTCGGATCGATGACTGATGTGTTTTATTACGTTTATCATTGTTTTAGTGTTAAAAATCAAAAGTAGTGATATACGTGTTTTACCTAACAAATTTTTTTGAAACAAATGTTCCTTATGTTCTATGTATAATATTGAAGCCCATGATTTTCCAAACAAAATGGTATAGAACAGTATATTTTAATTAACATTGTTTTCAAGCTTCTCAGATCCGTTTTAATAAATCCTTGCAAATGAGCAAAAAATAGGCAGACATTAAGGCCAAAACAAGGGACACTCGGAGGGATATTTAATAACTTGCGCTAGGCCTAGGCTTATTTTTGTCATAACTTAATTGTTTTGGAGCGGTGGTGCTAGGCTATTTAGGCCTACTGATCACCAAGTCCAAAGGTGTCGTTAGAAAGGTCTTTAGCATGTAAGTTAGTTTTGCCATCAAACAAGAAAACTTTGGATTTCCATCAGGGCTCTGCCCCAGTGGCCTCCAATGTTCCCATGTTATTCTTAAGGAGAAAATATTTGTTTAGGCCTAGCCTACATTTGAACAGATGAATACTTTGAAATTTACACTAATATTTGAAACAGCTGGTTGTAACTTACTACATAAAATTGGAGACTTTTGCTGTAAGGTTTTAATTAGATTACTTTGATTGATGTTTCACTGTTCAAAGCAAAACAAAGCAACACAAGATCAAAGCATAACCAAAAAACCTTTCGACATTTAATGGAGGCTTGACGTTGATCAGGACGGCCAATAGGAGGGGAACGACGAACTTTAACTGGTAGTCACGAACGAAATGCAGCTACAAATAAGTTAATAACTTACTATTGTCGTTGATAGCCGAATACAGCAAGCACCCTTCGGTGTTGGGTTTAAGTGTGTTTTCCAACAGCCGCATGAAGATTTCACATTCAATTTAGGACTGTTGGATAATTGCTGCATAAGCTATTGATTTTCGAAGACAAGGAGGCGGGTAGAACTAAGTACAGTGGAAATAGAAGAGAGGAGATATTACAGATGAGATATTATAGATGAGTGGCAAATGCGTTGGGAGCAGTGTTTTATGTTAACTTTTTAAAGGTTAAACGTTCGGATAGGCTATATAGGCCTACAAACATCAGAAAGAGTCTGGAACATAATTGGGAGATGGACCATTAACTTATGAAACACAGTTTGTCATTTATATATTTTTTCTGTTTGATAAAATGTAGAATCAGTTGTAGGCTAATCACAAAAATGGTATTAAGTGATATATAGCCTAACTTGATCATTACCGGTAAATTAAAAAAAATATTTTTTTCTAGTAGGCTAGTGCGTTAAGTTAGGCGTAGTAGCAAAAGGTTTGCAAATTGCCGGATTAAGTTATGCAAACTTAGGAATTTCAAAAGCAACCCACAAGAAAACCACAAAATAATTTTTTACACAATTTGTCTAGATGTAAACTTAATGGTTGTATGAAATATGATTCCCTACATAGGAATAGGCCTGTCAATGTTTTTGAAATAAGGTTTTACTTAGTCTAAAACTTACCTAACCAGGCACCCACCAAATACCGGACGCGCTGGGTTTTGTTTCAAACAATTACCGTACCTAGTATAGGTAGGCCTACCGGTATGCTTCATCCTGATCAACACCAACTAAAGTTCAAAGATTAATGCATTCGTTGGCTTTTATTCTGTCTGCAGACAAATGGGTTTGTAGATGGTTGTTGTTGTTTCGTCATTGGCCACTTAGATCCAGTGAGCCGCGATTGGTCATGCTGTAGGCCTACACAGTTTTGGCAAATTTCTCAAATCTCTTGTCTCTGTTTCCTTAAAAAAACGTTTGGGTTTCTTAGGCTTAAATAACTACCTCTGCCAATTTGTGGTAGTGTAAATTAACTTACAGTTGTTAAGTACACAGTCAGTAGCCTACCTACGGCATTTAAATATTTTTCTGTTATTTTAAATTAGGAGGATTAAACATTAGGGAGAGGACACGCTGTAGTTTCGTTGAAGCCAGCGTGGTCGCACGCCGCCGCCAGCGCCGTACTGGGATAGCCTACTTAGTGTTTTATTTTTAATTCTATCCAAAATTTAAATCATTAGCAGTAGGCCTACTGTAAGTGTATATGAAAATTTTTCTTAAAGAGAAATAAAATAAGTTTTAGGCTAGGGTACCAACATGATAAACGCACTTTGGCGTCAGAAGCCGCGATGATTACTGAACGTTTGCTCTCTTTACTCAAAGTTTTTTTGGGCAAACAGATCAAATATATAGCTCAACATGATAAATAAACGGTATCAGCATTCTGACACATACTTTCTCCCATAAGTTTGTCAACAACCTTTATCATGTGTAAGCGGTGAGAGTAAATATGTATACGGAAATAGGATTTGTACAATTTTGTTCAGAATTTAAAGGACTATAACATACTAAATTTTTTATCAAAATCGTTTTTTTTTTGGAAAATCCGATTTTTACGTTATTTTATGGGGTTTTTGTGGGAAAATCCCCATTAAAAAATCAAAATTTTATAAAAAATGAAAAAACTCAAAATTGTAAGGATCATAACATAAGTAGGTACTATGTTAAATAGAAACCGAATTTTATTCTAATACCCTATTTTTCGTTATTTTATAGGGTTTTTATGGGAAAATAACATAATTTACAATAACCTTTGAACCGTAATTTTTACAGAAATGGGATTTGTTCCATTTTGTTCAGAATTTAAAGGGCTACAACATACTAAACTTTTATCAAAATCGTTCGGGCCATTTTTGAGAAAATCCGATTTTTCCGGTTTTTTTATGGGGTTTTATGGGAAAATCCCCATTAAAAATCAAAATTTCAAAAAAATGAAAAAAACGCCTGGAGATACTATGGATACGAACCTACATACCAAATTTCATCAAAATTGGACCACAGGTGTTTTTGCTAGCTCTGTACACATCCAGACACACAGACATCACTTCGAAAACCACTTTTTTGGGTCCAGGGGGACCCAAAACGAATAAGTTATATCCACTCAAAACTCAAACTCGAAAATTTTGACGAAAACAATACTTTCTCCATATAACTTACTATGGTAGGCCTATAGGGGGAGAAAGTAAAAAATCAAGAATTTTATTGCCAAGAAATTGTTTTACTTTTATGTTCATAGCCTAATTTAATTGTAACGGCTGTGAAAAGTGTACTAGTGTAAAAAGCGTGTAGGCCTATTTGACATTTTTCTTAACTTTGGCTATTTAAAATCACCTGCCTAGCCCAAAATGCCTTAAAACTAGTAAAAAATGGCATTTATAAATCGAGAAAACAATGAAAAATGCAAATTTAAAATGTAGGCTATAGGCCTATTATAGGCCTACCTCACAAATTAAATTTTTCATTTTAACCTAGCCTATTTAATAAGATTGTTTTATAAACTGTAGAAATTTAAAAAAATTGTATTGTAATTATTTTCCTAAATACCGTACTAGGCCTACCTACTTTTAAATATAGTTAAATTTATATTTTTTATATCGAGATAAACTCTTTTAAAGAACACGAATAAATTGATAATTTGTATCTAGATCTTTTAAAAATGTAATTATAGCAGGCCTAAATCATATGTTCAAAGTCTTTGACAATTCTTTCTAGGCACTTTGATCTTCAATAACAAATAATAAATAATAGATTTTATAGAAATTACTGGCACCATTCGATAGGAAATTTAATTTACTTTAAGAATGCCATCAGTGAATAACACAGGTATTTTAGTTTAGCGGCAATTTTAATTTGAAACAGCGCACACGTCATGTTTTTCCCCTATCTCTCCCATATAGCGGCGGCATTTTGCCACTCTACGGCTCCGCGTGCCCCTCTAGTGTTCTGCTAAAGTTGGCTTCACCGCAACATGTGTATTCCTATTCGCGTGCACTCTCCTTAATGTTTAATCCTCACTAGATTTCAAACCATAATTTTATGGGTCTTTATTTAAAACCCAAAAACTATTGTAAGATTAATTTTCAAGCCTTCCGGGATTGGGATTGCAAAATGTACACCAAGCCTAAGTTCCGGACGCATTTTCGGAATTAGGCAGCGGCACTTTCTAA